CCGCGCTCAAGCGGCTCCCTCAAGCGGCTCTCCACACGATCTTCTTGTGAGTTGGCCGGCGAGTAGCAACACCAACGAAGGATGCACCTTCGCCAACGACAATGCACTTTATTGCGAGCTCGTCATAAGATATCATCACAATCGCAATGTCCACTGCGCAGCGCTCGATTGTCACGCCGTTCTCGGTGTCGCTCCTACTTGCAGCCCTCGTCGCGTACCTGTTGGGCCCAACTGCGCGTCAGACAGCGGTTGTGCTGGGGTTCTTCCGCAGCCCTGCCAACACGGTCTTGGCGGCTGATCAGACCTTGTCTGTGCTTGAGGGGACGACGCACTGCGAAGACCTGCACTATCACCAGGCAAGTGGGCTTCTATTCACGGCGTGCGAGGATGACGCCGCCAAGAGGCATCGCTGGTTCCCCCCCTTGGCCCATTTTGACGACCCGGATATCTTGACATCCACGGCACGCGGGTCGCTCAGAGTCATCGATCCCGAGGTGAGTGACGGCCAATCACCCCATGCCTCGTCTCGGTGGTTGCATGCTCACAAAGTCTTAGACCCTGGCAGTTCGGGCACTGCGTCTCGACGGCTTCGACGGGCCGTTTGTGACGCATGGAATCGACGTCATAGATGATCCCCAACACCCGGCCGGCGAGGCGGTCTACATCTTCGCCGTCAACCACGTTCCCAACCGCGACCACTTCGTCAAGGGCAATTCTTCCGCCCCCAAGAGCCGCTCAGTTGTCGAGGTCTTTCACCATGTGCTCGGCTCGGACTCGGCGCGGCACATCCGCTCTGTGTGGGACGCCCTCATCAAAACGCCCAACGATATCTATGCTGCGTCGCCGACGTCGTTCTTTGTCACCAACGACCACTACTACAAGGAAGGGCCCATGAGGGCTCTTGAGGACTTGAGAAGGGCAGCTAAATGGACTAGCACCATCTTCGTGGACTTCTCACAGGCGGCTGAGGACAAGACCAGTGACACGCAAGGTGTCCGGGCTTGGGTCGCCCTCGGCAACATGCACAACAACAACGGCTTGGGCCACGGACGAAGGCCGGACGAGATCGCGGTGGTCAGCTGCTGCAGCGGCAAACTGCTTCTGGGCACGGTCGTGGATGGGTCCTCGTCGGCGCTGAGAGCCGCACCGCGCAGCATCCAGCTGTCGGAGACCATCCAGTTCGACTCCGTCGTGGACAATCCGAGCTACTTCGCCGATCCCTTTGCCAAAGGGTCGAAGGACAAGAGCGGGTTCGTGCTGCCGGGCTTGACCCGGGCCGTGGACCTGCCAAAGACCACACGGGACCCCGGAGCGACCGAGCCCATCATGGTGTGGAAGGCGTCGCCGGACGAGAGCAAGTCTGGATGGAAGACGGAGCTGCTCTTCGAGGATGACGGGTCCAGAGTGCGGAGCGCGAGCAGCGCAGTGCTGGTGGCGGCTGATCCGGCCAAGCACAACGGGGCGCGACGGGCTCGCTTGTTCGTGACTGGCTTCCTGTCGAAGAACATGGTGGCCGTGGACGTAGACCTGTAGGAAGCAGCTCAAGCACAGTAATGCAGCCGGAACACTTGGGCGAAGCCAAGATTACATGTAGTTCCGCATGTGACGGGTAACTGTACCTGGCGTGGTTCGAGGATGAGAAAGTAGCACAGGGCATGAACCACAGCCACGCGTGACGACTCTACGAGCAAGGCGGAGGTAACAAATGGATGACCTGGAAGTTACCCCGCATCCAGTCCTGCTGGATGCGCGGGGAACCTGCAACCCGCGGGACCGGGCGACGGCCCCATCAAGTTCACGACGGTTGGGGGAGGCGGGCGGGGGGATTCCGTTGCTTTCCAGTTGACGGAGCAGCCACCAGTCATGGACTCACAGCCCATGGGCAGCAGCAAACGGCACAGAGGGTCAGGGGCCGGATCCACACCTACGCTGGCGTCCAGCCCCATCCATCACTGACCCCGGTGCGTCCAGGTGGTTGACGCGCCAAGTTCTCGAGGTAATAGTCCTGCCTGGAGGCGTGATGACCTGGTCGCCCCGGTCGCACAACTGAACCCAGCACGAGGCCTTCCATCACTGCATCGCCGCGACCCCTGCGGCCCCTTTACAACCCATTCCCGTTGTTTTCCCTGTGCAGCGCTTCGTCGCGCGAGATACCCTCGTGTCTTCCTCCCGGCATGGGGCCTCTGCCCGTCACCTAGACGTCCGGTCGCCCGCCGTCGCGGCGCGAGCACAGTCAACATGCCGGCCCGGGGATCATCGCGGGACGTCGGCGTCGCCCGTCGTCGCACACAGTTCTCCAGCTGCGACGAGTGCCGTCGCTCGCGTGTGGGCTGCGACGCCCTCAGCCAGGGCACCCGAGATGACGAGCCCGGGGCCTGCACGCGATGCCAGAACCGAAACAAGCAGTGCACGTTCAAGGTATGTCTCATCGTCTGCCCCAGGCGGCGACCAGCAACGGCGGACACTCATGCAGACACGCCCAATGTAGTGGATGAAGGACATCAAGGGCGCTGGGCCAAAGAAGGTCCCTCTGGGAAAGCGGAAGCAACGTCACCACTCCATCACATCGTCGACGACTGATGGCGCCGCGTCGCGAGACGCTGGAGCGCTCGGCTCTCCGACGCCAAAGGCTGGCACCGCGGACAGCATTCTCAGCATGGTGGACTGGGCAGCAATCGGCGGTCCCGCCTCTCTGCCTCATGACGATCGGTGCAGAACGGCATCGCTCATCGCGCCCTCTCCCGCCGACACCACTTCCACGGCGTATAGCCTAGAGCCCACCGGTTTGGTGAGCAGGGCGTCCCTTCAGATCATCTACGACCGCGGCTTTGATGCCGTGTTCGGCTCTTGGATGGGACGACATGGGTGCCCATTTTTGTGAGTAAAGCCCTCGTCGTCGTTGAATCGGCCAGCTTGCTGAGCAAAGTACGATGGACAGGTTGGGCGAAAACAGCCTCGCGGAGAAGCACGCCAGCATAGCTGCCATTTGCAGCCGTCTCGACGCATGGATGACGGATGCGTCGGATGACGAACCGGTGCCCATGATGGACAAGCGGCAACAAAGCCCGCGAGATCGCCTTATTGACGACTCCTTGCAAAACACCATCGCGGCCTTCTCAGCCAGGTGGCTGCCATTGACGTCCAGCAAGACGGACCCGGATCAATGCCACCGAAACGCCATCCACGCGCTCTGGCGACATGCTCGGAGAGACATGCTGCGTGTCATCAACAGGCCGTCGTACCGCTCCATGCTGGCCCTGTTCTTATTTGCACTGACGCCCATACCCGCCGGCATCCACGAGGACGAAGAGGTGGATGGCATCTCCGGCCAGGCTTGCGTCCATGCGGCCCTTCAGCAGATCCAGACCCTACGAGCGAGGCAGCGCAATCTGCAATTCAGCGGCTCCAAAGTCTCGCCATCCATGAAGTCCAAGGCCATCTGCGCGAGCCCCGAGTCTATTGGCACGTCCGACTTTATCGCCGCCGAGAGCATCGCATACTGGGCCGCCCTGACGTTTGACACGTCCGCATCCCTCACTCTCAATTGCAGGTCCCTTCTCTCCTCGGGCCTCTTCGGCTTCGAAGCGGAGCTGCCTTGGCGACTTGTACGAACCGGCGCCAAGATGTTCGAAGAAACTACCCACGATTGGCGGGCGGGCGGCCTGCTCGAAATGACGGACGATCGGGCGAATCAGATCATTGCAAACGGGACATCGTGGAAGCTGCTCGCCTGGAAGCTTACGGCTGTGTTCAAGGAAGCGTTGAGAGACGGCCACGATGAGTCCGAGGTCCTCAAAGGCTACAGGCGCGTCACCGAGTCTATGCAGCATTTCAACGACACGTATCGCCAACCGCTCGAGCAATGTCAGAGACGAATGCAGTTTTTGGAGCAGCAAACGAAGTTGCGCTGGTGTAAGCTGAAGCGACCCTGTCCCGCACCAGATTGCGCTAATAGCGACGGCAGACTCATTGATGTTGCACTACCATCTCAGCATACTCATGCTCGAAGATATCATCGAGGCCACTGGCCGCTATGACCTCCTACCCGGCCTCAGCACCGCGACCGCAGACGCGGAAAACGCGGTCATGAACACTCTCGTTTTTGGACTTCACAACACCTTCACACTGAGCTTCAAGAATAGCTTTGTTGGCAGTCCCGGTGACGCAGATGGCGACTCGACAGACGCAGTCATTACCGTACCGCTCATCTCCATGGACCCATACCCGCATCACGTTGTCGCAAGCGTCCAGCTGATGCGAAAGGCCATCGACCGCCACCTTGCGATGGGTAAGATCAGCGTCGAGTCTCACACCAGCCTCCAGGCGACACTGGAGCAAACTCTCAGTCAGCTGCCCCAAAGTTCCAAGTCGGTCCAGGCTGCAAGGAACAGGTTCTCCTTAAAGGGACCGAGCGATGGGGCCGGTCTGCACCAAGACCCGTACGTAGATTTGCAAGCGCAGTACGCAGAATAACACGAGGCTCAATGACAACCCCAGACCTGAATAGAGCAGCCGTCTCTCAGTGGACGCACGCTCCCGTCGCGCTCCCGTGTCCCCACGCAGCGTCGAGCATGAGGACGACTCTGCTGCAGCGGTTCATGCGCCCCGCATGCCAATCGGACCCTTTGGACACCCTCCTGGGTTCCTTGACGATCCGTTTCGGTAAGTTTACAGTCTCAATGACCTGCGCTATCACTGGCTGGAGCAACGGGTCCAGCCGTGGACGCAGTGCGTACAGGCGCATCTAAATGCCCCCCAGCTGGGGGAATGCCTCGCTACCGAGATCAAGGGTTGATTGCACCCGCATTTAGTCCCTTCGGTGCCGCATTACTTTGGATATTGGTTGAGCTAAAAGATGTGCGCATCAGGAAACATGAGCGTTGCGTCGGATCCGTGGCTGTCAGCCGGTCGGATCCGACCCACAAACCACGAGGATCGGATCCGAAACAATGATGAGCCACGCTGGCGACGACCTATCCCTCGCGGACAGATGAGCGACAACAGAAATCCTCATCATAAATTGAATCGGCTGTTTCTGCAGTATCATCGGCGTTTGGTCGCTTGAGCTGAAAGAAATGTGTCCTGCGATGGCGCGCACAATCAGATCCTCGGTCGCGGTCCTCGGCGCCGGCTCGCAAGGGCGGCGACTGGCCTACATGGTAAGGCATTTCGTGATCGCAAAGGCACGCTGAGCTAACAGGATCGACCAGTGGTCAAGCAGGGGCAAGGATGTCCATCTCATTGACGCTGCGCCCAAGCAGCTCACCGCCAGCGTCGAGGCTGTTCAGAAGTTTCGCACCGAGTCGAAAGCCAGAGATGGCTTCGGCACAATACGCACGCACGCCCCAAGCACCCTTGCCGACGCGTTGCAGGACTCTTGGCTTGTTGTAGAGGTATGCGCGCCGGCGTCTCACCCATCAGAGTGAGTTTCATGGACACTAACCTGGCTGCTCAGTGTGTCCCGGAGAGGTTGTCGTTGAAACAGCAGGTCATGGCTGAGCTTGACGCGCTGGCGCCCGAGGATACGATTATCGCATCAAACTCGAGCAGCTATTCGTGTAAAGAGATACTCGAAGGTCTTGAGCTCAACCATTCCAGACGCGTTTTGAGCGCGCACACTTGTGAGTACAGTTCCGGCTCCGACAGTCTCAGTACTTATACTGACCCCGCACTCTCCTCAGACTGGCCACCGGAGACGACAGGTTTGTCTTCGCCCGGCCCGTGCCAGCAGCGAGTCATCTAATGACAGGTTTAGTGATTGAGATTATGGGCCATGACAATACCGACGCGTCGCTCGTTGAGGTCATGATGAAGCGATGCGCTGAGCATGGCTTCTCGCCATTCCACGTCAGGACGGACTCTATGGGCTACATTTACAACCGGTACGTCCTCTGTCGGCATGACAATTGATAGTGGCACAAACTGATGTGCTCCACTGTAGAATCTGGGCGGCGATAAAGAGGGAGGCACTCCTCGCTGCTTCGGAAGGCGCCGGCACGCCGGAAGAGATTGACAGTATCTTCCGCGGCGTGCTCAAGACGGCCAAGGGGCCCTTTGAGCTGATGGACATTGTTGGGCTGGATGTCGTCCTCGACATTGAGCAGCACTACGCTGCCGCCCGTGGAGACATTCCCGTTGAGCCACAGCAGTATCTCAACCGCTTCTTGCAGAAGGGGCACCTGGGCGTCAAGAGTGGTCAGGGCTTTTACACATACAGCGACCTAGCATCAGCGTAGCGAACATGTTTCTGTTCCGCCTCTAGGCACCACATCCGAAAGCTCTCTAAACTTTGTTGGACGTCATGTTCTGGCCCATAGGTTTGCCAGTCTCTTCGCGGAAGGCGAATGAACATGTCCTTTCCCCAAATTGAACATGACGATACGCTTCACGTTGCTCCCCCATTTACTTACCGAAACGCCAACAGGGCTCACTGGGTGTGGCGAAAGCAAGACATCTGGTCGATGATACGCGCATGCGAGCTTGTAGCAGAATTGTCGTGTATGTCATGATTACTCTATTCCTAAGCGTCGATATTGCTCTGGCTGGTCTACTTGCACTATGAACGCTCGGCGCAGCAGGGCTACAATTTCCTGGCAGCTTTCAGCCCTTGAACCCTCGGACGATTGTCCGAACCTGGTTGACGATTGCAGTCATCTCTGTCCCTACTCGAGAGATCTGTCAGCGTGCCAATCACATACCTCGCGGAGAATACCAGGATGCACACTTACCGCCTCTCTGGTCTGTGTTTGCGCCATACCATCCGACCCAGTCCCAGCACGCATTTTGGTTGGGGAGCGACAAGCCGTTCCATATGACGTGGAGCGAGTTGTCGATCTTTGTCTGTGGGAACAGGACGATGATGTTGTTTGTATCTAGATCGTGAACTCAGTGCCTTTACTCCAAAGCGCCATGGCTCGAACTCGCGTGGGGCAGCTTACCGGCCCATTTCTTGTATCCAGTGTTGTCCATAAACTTGGAGCCAATCTGGCTGTGGCTTTGCTGGCAGCCGTGCAGTGCGACGTGTAGCTTGCACACCTCGGATCCGTGCCTGCACGCCGCGGGAACGTACAGGTAGCCTGTGCTGTCCATACCCAGGGTCCCATATTTGCCCGTCTGATCGAATGGTACCGTGGTGCCCGTAAGACTCCTTTCATTACGAGCCTTGAGCTTGCCATACATCCAGCCGAGCACGGCGCCAGCGCCGTCGTAGTGACAGTTGCTGATCCACGGCGAAGAACTCTCGCCGCATGGGTTGTCACCTGCACCGTCAAAATCTGTCGGAAACACGTGGGCGGCGCCATCGCTAACGACGAATGACACTTTCGCTGGATCGTCGAACGCAGACAGCTGGGCCCTGAGCTGCTGCATTGGGTTGACGCCGACGGTCAAATCGGCTGTTCCGACTTGCATGAATATGCGCCGAGACTTCAAGTTCTTTACTGGCGCAATTTCCTTGCCAGACCAGACCTTCATATTGGCGGTCGGGGAGTCAATGGCGGACGTTTGGTTGCTCAGACACATCGTGAACTGCGCAACATTTGTTAGCATGCAGTTCGCCAAGAACCACCTGCAAGAAGGCATGGTTGCCTACCGGCTGGTTTCGAGCACAATCGTAGGGCCCGCCAGCAAAGACCCCGAAGCCCGTCTTGAACACGTCCGAGTACGCGACGCCAAGCTGCGCCGCCATGAACCCGCCCGACGAGAGCCCGGACACGGACACGGACGAAGGGTCCACATTGTAGGCTCCGAGGCAGGCGGCCAGCGCCTGTGGCGCTGTGAGGCTCAATAGCAACGCGACGACATGGCGCCGGGTCATTGTATAACGAGACACCACGACTTGTTGAGTCGTGCTGGGAGGAATTGATGTCGAAATGAGAGAAATGTCCAGAATCGAGTTGCACGGCTGCCATGCCACAGCTGCGGTCATCAATTAGTAGGGCCACTGTCACTTCTGCATATTTATATGTCCGCATCTATTCGTGGCGTGCAGGCAGGGAGCCGTCTGCCGTCATGTTGGTGCGTTCGTGTCGCTGCAATGCGACATCAGAGCGAGGTCGCATCAGAGCTCAGCTCCTCTACGTATCAGGCCTTGCCCGAGCAGAAACTCGTGATGATGGAGTCAGGAGACGCTTGGTGATGTCAAAGTCCACTTCGGAACCGACTCTAGCAAATGCTTGCAAGGACGCGACGGCTGGCTTATGGCATGGGTCACGTCGGAATTCTCTCCGTTTCATGCACAGCGCCACTTCCCTTCCCGCGAAGGAGGGCGCCGCCACGTCCTGCCCCCGCACATAGCATGATGCATCGAACACGACAGAAAATCTGGGGTAAGCTCGCTAGCGAACCAAGGCATTGGCGGGATGGTTGTGGGAAAGGGAAAAATGACAGGAAAGGCTTTGCCTCGGCAGGCAAACGCCACCAACGCTCACACCAGCTCGAAACCGGCCGGCTACGCGCCCAGGGTGCTCACCAGACCACTGGCTAGAGTGCGGAGATCAGGGCCTGATGCTGGTCTGATTTGGTGGCAGCTAGCACAGGGACGGCATGGACTGCGTATGCCATCCAGTCTCGGCTTTGTGGGCTCGTGGAGGGCGCCTGTCTCGCTGCGCGGAGGCCCCGCCGCTGACCGAGCCGCGTTCAGAGCTTTGGTGTCGATTGGCGGCCCCAGCGCTTGGGACCAAGTGCCGGTGCTGGGCTCCGGCCCTGGTGGGTGGCGTGGGGGCAGTTGACGAGGTGCGGAACATTACTGAGCGAACTCATTGGCATGACTTGCAGCAGGGCCACATCATCAGCGGCGGATCCGACGGGAGCTTCGAGGGCCGCACGGTAGTTATGACGGCGCTTGGACATTGGCCAGGGCCCTCTTTACCCGCCCGTCCCAGCGCCCGGGTTCGATGTTCAGCAGGGCATTTGTTTGGAGCGATGAGGATGTTCATTCTTCAAGGGCCACACCATCATGGGCCCAGCAGAGCTTCCCCGCCCCCGCGTGCTACCCCGGGTAGACTATTGAGTGGAGCGTGAGGGCCAGGCTTGCCAGGCTCATTCAGGTGGTCCCAGTCTGGCCCGGATCCGAGACATGCGCTGTTCTCTCCTCCCACCAGTTCTGGAACGGAACCGATCTCCCTCCAACGCAGTTCCTCTCCCCAAACTTCGCGCTTGGGGATCAATTGTGGCTTGGCGTGTTGGCTATATCATCATCGGGAGCTTTCCTCAAGTTTTGATGTTTCACAGGACTGTTGGCTCCCCCTAATCTCGACAACCCACCCCCCTTGTGACACCGCAATCTCGTCGCGTGCACAGACTTTTACAACGCCGCGTCAACTCTCTCTCCTTCGCAGTCTGCAGTAGAGCCTCTCGCCCACGATGGAGGCGGCTTCGCTTCACTCGTCCGAGAAAGTCGGCATCCACCAGGTTGCCGATACTGGCGCGACGCAAACGCCAGAGAAGCAGGGCAGCATGACAGATGTGCCCTTGTCGCATGTCAAGGGCCTTGGGGCCCAGGCGCGTTCACCAGAGGAGAACAAGGAGCTGGAGAAGAGGGTACTGTGGAAGGTGAGTTGCCACCAACGCAAAACGGCACATTGAAGTTCGTCGCCGCTGATTACTTGGGGTGGCAGATGGACATTCGCCTGATACCCATGTTGGCCCTCTTGTATCTACTCTCTTTCTTGGATCGTGAGTTAACAACGCCACTCGCACAAACGTTTCGGCCTGCTGATGATGTTTCTCGTCCGGCGCAGGTGGCAACATTGGCAATGCCAAAATTGAAGGCCTCCAGGAGGATTTGAACATGCAGCCGGCCCAGTACAACTGGTGTCTGACCGTCTTCTTCTTCACTTATGCGGCATTTGAGGTGCCCAGCAACCTTTTGCTCAAGCGGCTACGCCCGAGCCGATGGCTTCCGCTCATCATGATTGCCTGGGGTCTCGTAATGACCCTCATGGGCATAGTCAAGAGCTACCATGGCCTATTGGTTGCCCGCTTGTTCTTGGGAGTGACCGAGGCCGGTCTGTTCCCTGGCGTCGCGGTAAGTGATAGACAGTACCAGCAACGCCCGCTCAGTACAAAATGCTGATCGCGCCCGCACAGTATTACCTCACGCTTTGGTATTGCCGACACGAAATCCAGCTTCGCCAGGCCATGTTTTTCTCGGCCGCATCCATCGCAGGCGCTTTCAGTGGACTTCTGGCCTTTGGCATCAGCAAGATGGATGGGGTTGGCGGTCTTGAGGGCTGGAGATGGATCTTCATCCTGGAAGGCATCGTCACGGTCCTTGTCGCCTTTTGCGCCTTCTTTTTGATCTACGACTTCCCCGACACGGCCCCTTTCCTCACCGAGGAGGAACGCGACTTTGTCGTACGCCGACTGAGATACCAAGGTCAGACGCCCGTGACGGTTGGGGAAGACATCCAGGGCGGTGCCGCGACGCCCGAGCAAATCCAGGTTGGCGAGGCGGACGAGTTCCAGTGGAAGTATGTCCGGCAAGCCTTTGCGGACTGGCAAATCTGGGTCAACATCTTTGTGTACTGGGGTGTAAGTGCCATGCCTCTCGCTCGGATTCCTTCCTGCCCGCTGGCCATTCTGTCCTGGCCGCTACATGCACGCACATGGCAAATTGCTCACATTAGACTTGACAGATTGTCTGCCCTCTGTACGGCATCAGCCTTTTCCTGCCTACGATCATCAAGAACCTGGGCTACAAATCGAGTACCGCGCAGCTCATGACCGTCCCAATTTACATCACGGCCGCCATCTTGGCCGTCATCGTCGCCTACTGCTCCGACAGAGTAGGGAAGCGCAGCCCGTTCATGATCACGCTGATGTGCATCATGGCCGTCGGCTTTGCCATGTGCGTCTAGCCAGCTCTTGGTGTCAGGCTGCGATTTAAAGCTGACCTCTATAGGTGCATCTCGTCGTCGAACCCTAAAGTCGTGTACGGCGGTGTCTTCATCGCGGCTTGCGCAATCTATCCGGCTTTCCCGGGTGTCATTACCTGGCTCTCCAACAACCTGTCCGGCAGTTACAAGAGAAGCGCGGGCATGGCCATCCAGATTGGCGTGGGGAACTTGGGCGGCGTAAGTCATACCTCCAGTTCGCGATGCGCGTTTTCGTGGGTGAGGGCAATGTTCTAACAAGGCGTCCAATCAGGCCATGGCATCAAACTTTTACCGTCAGCCCGACAGCCCTCGATACTTCCTGGGTCACGGGCTCGAGCTCGGCTTCATCGCGTTGGGCATCACCGCGGCGTTGGTCCTGCTCGTGTCGTATCGGGCCATCAACAGCAAGCGGCAACGGCGCCTCGCGGCGGGGGAGCACCACAGCATGACGCCCGAGGAGCTCTCCGAGCAGGGCGACAAGGCTGTGACTTTCCGATACATGTATTAGAGACGTCGGTCGATTGAAGTGTAGGTGCGGGGATATGTCCAGAGTACGAGCACAAGCAAGCACTTCGCGGTGTCTTGGGAGAAGTAGCCAAACGGCAGCGAATGTGCAAACGAGACTCTGTCTTCCACGTGCTCATGTCGTCCGGATTAGCTCGCGGGGAACCGACTGATCACTTTCGGCCCGTTCAGCTGTAAATCCAGGTCCCCATGTCCCCTTCCTTTGTCCTTGTCAAGTGCACTGCCCAGGCCACTAATTCGTGAAAGTCCGCAAGCCGTGTTACGAGTCTGGTGAAGCGTCAGGAGTGCCCAGCCAGCCAAAGCACGCGCGTGCCGGCGGCCCAGTGAGACCTGCCGGTCGGCGCGACACTGCGCAATGCATGGCGCGAGTCATTGACCGTGGCCGTGGCTACCAACGGGACCTCCTCTCGGCCGTGCTTGTTTCCTTCGGCTTTGGCAATTGGTGTCGTTTTCCTGCCGCAAATCGCCACCCACATGAAGCAAGGTTTGCGCCGTTTCAATGTGGCTGGAAGGACGGGCGCAAAAGTTAACGCGGCATCGGTTGTGACTGGATCTCACATCATCGCTTGCCCCAGACGGAAGGTCCCGCAGGCTGGCGGGCGCCTTTTTTCGGCGCGATGGCGACCCGGCGAAGATCCTCTCGGCGCGGACAGATCTTGGTTTCGAAGGCTCGGCTTGACCGGGGCTCGGTCTGTGCGCTGGAAGCAGGACCGGGTCTGTATACCGAAATACGATGTCAGGCCGAGACGAGCTGGCCGTCTGAACTTTTGAAGATGCTGGATTGTGGTCTGTGCTACGGCCCGCAGCCGCCCCGTCGGCCCAGGCCTCGATTTGGCTCTCTCCAGTCAATCTCCACAGCTATGAAGCAGCTTAATTGCAGAACGGGGACTACCGATGCTCCTCTGTAGCGTCCCGGCCCAGAAGCAGCTTCTACCGAACGAGCGAGCTGATTACACTTTTTACCTTTGGCGTGCCTGCTGTAACAACGCTTGCCCGGGTGTCGGTCTTTGGGAGGATCATCGCCGGTGGCGCTCAAGCCTGGGTGGCGTCCACCGTCTCTTCATGGCGTCGCCGCATTTGCAGGGGCCCCAGTCCTTTTGCAAATGATGCCGCGATTCATTCGCTTGCCATGCTCAGGGGATTGAAGATCTCCGGGGTCTCTGAAGGGCGCCATCCAGCGCCAGCTGTGCGCTCGCGTCCTGAGGCCTGAACACGAAGAAGGTTTTGAGTTCTTCGATCGCCTTTGCGTCCGCTTTGTGCCGTCTGGTATTAGTTTCTCCTGCTGGCACCGAACCTGTCCAAAACCTGCCTTTCTTCAATCACGAACCTGCACGCGACGAAGCCAGACTGCCAGGTGTAGTTCTGCTGCTTCATTTCACCAGCCCCTGGACATTCATCCAACATTCCCCTCCAACGACGCCACCAACAATGTCACGAAGCACCGTCCGGACATGACATCGACAGGCCTGGAGACCCTCCCGTAAACCGACATGGGCGCAGGCGATGACGAGTCGACCAATGGCCGCCCAGGTCACCGCCGCGGGGACTGGCTAACCATTATCGTTTTCATCAGCATCGCGCTCTACAATGTCGTCGAGCTGAACTTTCTCATCGCCAGCACCTTCAAGCGATACCGCGGCCTCTATTTCTGGAGCTTCCTCGTTGCGACATGGGGTATCGCCTTCAATGCGGTCGGCTACCTGGTGCGCAGCCTCCGGGCTGACCCCTCTGGCTACGCCCAGGCCACGATCATTCTCATCGGGTGGTGCACAATGATCACAGGCCAATCACTCGTCTTGTATTCGCGCCTGCACATTGTTTTGCACAATGCGGCACGGTTGCGCATGGTCCTGATCATGATCATCACAAACGCCGTGTGGCTCGGCGTGCCCGTCATCATTCTCGTCTACGGCACCAACTCCAACAACCCTGGGCCATTCGAGAAGCCCTACTCGATCTTCGAGAAACTGCAGCTCACCGTCTTCTTTGTGCAGGAGGTCATCATCTCCGGCCTATACATATATGAGACGGCAAAGCTGCTCAAGCTACATCGCGGCGTGGCAAACTCAGGGACCAGGCGTGTCATGGGCCACCTGATCCTCGTCAACGTCTTCATCGTGCTCCTCGACATCAGCATTCTCGTCCTGGAGTTCACCGAGCACTACAACCTGCAAACGGCGTGGAAAGCGCTCGTCTACAGTATCAAGCTCAAGGCCGAGTTCAGCGTGCTCAATCGCCTCGTCGAGTTCTCGCAGCTGCTGCGCAACGCCGGTTCCATGAATGCGAGCCGCGCTCACAACACAACTGACATTGCGCTCGAGCGGTATATTCTCAACGCGTCGCGCGCGCCGACTGAAACGGAGTACGAGGTGCACGTCGGGACAGGGCGGAGAGACAGTGAGAAAGAGGGCGCGCAGCCACAAGGCCTGGAGGTGGTCAAGACGACTGCCGTAACAGTCAGTCGCACGGGAAGACAGCCGACGGATCCGGCGGACAGCCGGTCTGCTGGCCAGGCGTCAACTGAGGACATAACCGAAGCGGGCTGTGCCTCGTCGGTATCGTCGGAGGCGCATTTGGCAAGGCCGTAGATGATGGGGCCGTCGCTCAGGACGACGATGGGGCACAACTGATAGATTACGCCATGTATATCACGCATATAATGTACAGCATAAGCCTGCCAAAGGGACGGTGAGCTTCAGACCGCCGGCCATCGAGAATCTGTGTCATGGATGTCGGGCACGGCGAGGTGTTGACCATCATGCACGGCGGCTTACAGAATGGAAGCCAAGGCCCAACTGGGCCATTTCACCAGCTCGGCCGCGCATGGGAATCGACGCAGACGCAGCTGTATCTGCGTCAAACAAACAAGCAATGGGTGCATGCGATCCACACGGTACATGGAACACCGATCACGGCCGCCACTTCGCCCTCGCTTACTCTTGGTCGCTGGTGGACTGCGACAACAGTGTAGGAACCTTTGTGATACAGTGCCGCCTTGGGTCACATCCAAGGTGGGTGGCAGTCCACTGTAAGCAGCCGCAATTCTTTATGGTGGGGGCAATGCCTTCAAGCCGCGCAGCCCAGCCAAGCCAGCATCAGCGACCAAGGAGGTATAATAGATTCAGTACCGCTTGAGATGGTAAAGAGGCAGGTTTTGCCCGTTCTAATAAGTGGCGCTTGCTTGCCGTATTCGTCGGTCAACTCCTTTACTTGCCGTAATGATGGCCAGCAGTAGGGATTGAGACTTCCTGCGCCAAGTCTTCAGGTGGACTTCTGCACTGCCAACATCGTTGCATTTTTCACGATGCGTCATCCCCGTTTTCGATCCATCGCGACTGTCAATCGCGACTGTCGCCGAGTACACGGTTAGGCATCCAGAAACGTTATCTGCCTTTAGAAGTGCGTCCGGAGAATTCGCCATCTTCCGGCCCTCCGATGGCAGAATTTCTTCTGATCTGGACCTGGAGAGCCATACGTACCGGGTAAGCTGAAGCATGTAGCCAGCTTTTGCGCCGCTGAGTACTTGGAAGCCGAGCGCGCCTGTTGTTGATCCACAGCCAAGGACCAGACCACTGGGAATCGAGCCGCGGACCGCTCCACCAGGAAAGCGCGGCGCGATGTGCGGGAAGAAAGCGGGCAGGCTTGTCTTGGGCTCTCGGTAGAGTCGGTGACTCGCTACCACGGTCAGGCACTGCTGCGAGTGGGGTATTTCTGCAGGTCTGCGAGCAGGCGCGGGGAGAATCCCGGGTCATGTTGCATCCATGGCGAACTTGCGTAGTGTTCATCGGCAACGGACCAGACTCGATAAGTAGCCCGAGGACTGGCCTCGCGGAACTTGGCGAGAGATGGGCTCTCTCGCATCAATCGCACCGATTGAGGGATCCTTGCCCAGTGTTGCAGCCAATATGACGAATCTGTCGCACTTTGTCGACGTCAACGTGGCGGCCCTGGCCACCGACGCGGGCTACTTTGCCAAACTTCCCGCGACCAATATCATCGAGCCAGCAATCTCGCTGCTCGCTTACCACGACGACTTTTACCGTGTGCTGGGCCGAGATGCCAAGGCGCGGAAGGTCTGGGATCTCCCCTGGGAAGCGTTCCATGAGGCGGGCATCTACAACAAGCGGGACAACTCCCTCTACGTCACGTCAAATTTCCAGAGCCTCAAGGACAATATCAACATCACCGTCGTGTCGCTCGACTCCGATGACTATCCGTTCTACAGCACGCAGTTCCCAGACTTGGCCGAGGCAAATGGAGGAACAAACTACTATCCTCCGGGAGCCAAGCGGAACCAGACACCGCCAATGCAGCTTTACTGTGACGAGGGAGACTTTGAGCGTCCCTCGCAGCTTTTGGCCGTTGACCCAAACACCAACAAGTCGACGCCTGTGTTGACAAACTTCCTTGGCCGCAACTTTTCCTCGCTCAACGATGTCCGACAGCACCCCGTCACCGGCGACCTCTGGTTCACCGACGCAGACTACGGCTACTTCCAGCATTTCCGCGCGGAGCCTACCCAGCCGAAACAGGTCTACCGCTTTGAACCAGACACGGGCGCCATCCAGGTCGTCGCCGACGGCTTCGTGCAGCCAAACGGGCTTGAGTTCTCGCCCGATCTCAAGACCCTGTATGTCTCCGACACGGGCAGCCAGCAGTTCAAGACAGTCCCCACGGGTCCGTCTTCAATCTATGCGTTTGATGTCATCGACAAAAAGCGCCTCGCCAACCGCAGGACCTTTGCTTGGGCGGACACGGGTTTTCCCGATGGCGTGCACTGCGACACCAAGGGCAATGTCTGGGCATCGTGCGGAGACGGTGTTCACATCTGGAACAAAAAGGGCGAGTTCCTGGGCAAGATATTTGTCGGCGAGATGAGCAACAACTTCGCCTTTGCGCCGGGTAAGGTCTTTGTCTTTTCCAATGCTCGCCTATGGGTGGTGGAGAATGTGAAGGCTCAGGGGAGAGAGGTTTGCCAGGACTTTGGCGTCGGGTGTGATAAATAGCCCAAGTAGGTCTACTGACATGACGCATTCTGAAGTAATGAAGTATGTGAGTAATTTCACCCTAAAATATTCTTGACGCGTCTGCGCTCGATGATGTGTACCGTTGAGGGAGACCTCCGTAAGGGGTATTGATCCAAGGGCGTTTCAGGGCACCGCACAGCTTGGTGGCCGGAGACCCCCGAACGCCACTGCTGGCCTCCTGGGCAATTGGCAGAACCGCCGTGCTGCCACTAAAACCCAATCGCTCTCAACGGTCTGCTGGAAGTGCAGCCGGACAGCCGCATGTGTCAGGAGATGGCCTCCCACCTCGGGTTATATCTCCGATCTCTAGTTATGCTTAATTGAACCTGGCCTTGGGCTCCGAACCCGAATGATGCCTTCGGCAGTCTGGATAGTATGCCGACGGAGATAGTCGGGCCAAGCCGCCTGTGATGAATGGCACCAAACTTGCCTGAGGCTTTTGTGCGGCCGACGCGTCGCAGGGACGCAGACTGGAGGCGAATTCCGCTCAAATCGCTCGCACTCGTCAACGACAAAGCTCATGGAACCCGGAAACCATTTTGCATTCGTACAGCGCAATAGCGGCTGAACGCATAGCAATCATGGCATCGTCTTTCGCATCGCCGCGCACCTGCGCCCGGCATGTAGGCGCACTCCAGTCTTTGGGCAGGGCGCGTCTCCAGAGCCGAATCGTGCGTCACAGCTTCGTCCAGGGCAGGCTGGCCTGTTCCAAGACTCCCGGGCCGCCTTGCCATGACGCCTCACGACCCGGCGGTGCTCAGCAGTCGAGTACGGCTTCGATCGCGTCTGCAGCCTTTTGGACGTCCAACGCTACGTGGCGGCGCGCCACAGTCAACACGTTTCGGTGCCTCGTCGGTTGCACGGCCGGCGACTTTTCCGCCATGTGGTTCCTCCAGTCCAGCTACCCAGAACTCGGTATGGAGTGGGTAATGGCGATTTCTAGTTCGTCTTCCCATCGCCGCCGGTTCGATGCAGAGCATATATTGACAGATTTCCTTGCGCAGTGGTCTCCGGGCTGTCGACGTCGATGATGCTGGAGACGGTGCTGTTGCGGCTCGGCCGCGATCGCCTCTCGTGGAAGCTGGCGGCGAGGACCGCAGCGGGAATGAGTCTGATCTCAATGATCACAATGGAGGCGGCTGAGAACGCCGTCGAGTACTACCTGACCGGTGGCCAAGTCTCGCTAGACTCACCAGCGTTTTGGGTCGCCGGGATCGTCGCCATGGCGGCGGGCTTCCTGGCCCCGCTGCCGTACAACTACGCGCGACTGAGGCGGTACGGCAAGGGCTGCCATTGATCGAACCTTGGTTGCCGACGCGTCGCGGGTCAGGGATCGTCTCGCCACCTGCATTTCTGTATTTGTCAAGGACAGCTGCTATATTTGGCGGTTGGGGTGTCGTGTGCCTGATACGTCTCGTGCCTGATCGGAGCCCCGACTTCTTTCTCTGTTGCCAAGCACGGCACGAAACATCCCCAAGAAATACGGCTGCGGGACCCCGTTCTGTCATTTAGCTGGGCATTCTCGGTTTGCGAATTGGCATCTCGGTGGCCAGGGACATGCATGTACTATTATAACCCATTGCAGCAGAGGTAATAGGCCTTGCCATGTATATTGGTAGGATAATAGGATTGATGACCACTCTCGACCTGTGGCTTGACTTACGTGCTTGCTTACACTTTGACGCCAGACTTCCTTTGTGCACAGTGGCCCCCGTGCATCCACCGAGTTGGGATTGAACACTCTGGGAAGCAAATCGCTTGAATGAGCTGCGACGTTGGCCACTGCATCACCCTCGTCGCGCTCAACTGCCAAGTTTGTGGCGTGTTTCTCGCGGGCAATGACGCGGCTCGCGCTGTAAGTGTCTGGGCCCCATCAATGCACTTCAGACTTTTGGTGACGAACGACGTCTGAACTTGTGTGTGACACTTGACACGGCAGGGCCATGCAATGCTTTGCAAGCATCAAATAAACACTACATCCCCGCCAGTATCAAAATTTCCCGCCGAAGCTGTTTAGTCGTGGCATATCTGATCCAGCCGAGCGCGATGCGGGAAGACAGCTAAAGCTTGGATCCATGTCAGGAGCGGCCCGCCAGGCGATTGCTACAATCCAGCGCTACGGGTCGGGACTTAAAGAAAACAGATTCGATGTTCGTGACCCAGCAAAGACGCCGGGACGTGCCCAGTTACATGTTTCTCGTGTTGCATACGGGGCAGCGGGAGACTATGCCAAAGCGCACTTGGCGGGCCGGTGCGCAGTGATTTGACTTTACGAAGAGATAAGAGGTTCATCTCATTGCAACAGAGACCGCTCTGAGGATGTACCCCGCAGAGCCTAGGACCACTGTGACTTGAAGTCGGGCAATATGGGACCCTGATGTAGCACCCTGGGGTTGATGTTTGCATGAGAACACTTTAGTCTTCGGTTGCGCAGTACCTGAGCTCGCTGAGGCCTGCATTTCCAGCTGAACCGCCCAAATTAGAATGCATTGTCTCGAAGCTGTCTCGTAGTGGCCAGTTTGATCGCACGCCTGTTGCATTGACAACGAAACGGGATCTCCAGATCCGAACCGGTGTTGAGATGTAGTGCATGGGTCCGCTAGCCAAGCAATGCGATGCCCTGACCGTACCATCTCAGTTAACGCCACATCTGGGGAATCTGCCAGCCGCGTAATGCCTTCCATTTGATTGGCATTGGGTAGTCCATGTCTGTTCGATAGTTGCATTGTGGGCGATTGGGCATCTAAAGCCCTACTGCCACCAGACCACTGCAAGCTGAAAAGCGATTCATCGCAAGCGCTTATCTGCAACAGAGCGATCACGTGTGCTTCCCTTCTCATCGCATGGGCCGCGATAATGAAGACGTCCGTGGTCCCCGAGATCATGTTTCAGGGCTTGCGGAGAGAGTTTACCGGAGGATGAGGTCAGACCGCGAGACCATGGCACGTTGAGAAGTTCTGAGAACATTCCTCTTGCCGGTACCGTACCCAAGACTGACAGCTGTTACACGCAAACTTGATCTGTCTGAGGATTTCCAGGGCTCCCTGGTCATACTCACAAAAGCGCACGCGGGCAGCTGGGGATAACGACGTTTCAGCGCGTCGGCTCCGGTGAGCCCGCTCGGACGCCAGCGCTGGGTCCCGCCGCAGCCCTGACACAGCTTGGGTAGCGATCACGCCCAGACCCTCGACCGAGCGTAACCAAAAACCGCGTGTTAGTGCAACCTCTGCTCTGTTACGAACAGGCTCCAGATCTTGAACTGGCCAATGGGCCTTTACGAAGATGTGCCTGTGTGAGGGTCTCTCGGCAAGCGACCGATGCCTCCTCGTCAGAGGTGTACCAGTTGGTCTGTGACGACCAACCTGCGAAAGGTTCAGAGGAACCAGGAGACGAGTATGGTCTGGTTTCGTTTGACTGGCATGTGCTCGCTTGCGCTACGTGCGTTGCGAGTAGATCTAATTTGGTGCGGCAGTCACTGGCGACTCCATGTCACGGCCATATCATATACAAAATGCCTGGCACAGCCGCACCAGGCTGGGGCTTGTTGAGATGCTTGCACTGTTTATACCATCCGTCGAGTCCACGTACGGATCTGGCTGGGCCAATTTTGGGCTTGTTCCGCTCGCTGGTCGGGCCTTCTTAATCTCTCGTGGGCTTCGAGCTGGCTCGAGGACCTGACAGTCTCAACTGTGGCGCATGATTTCCTTCTCTTCTTGAACTGTCGTTACTAAAGACCCCTTTGGACCCATTCATCCGAGGCCACTTTCCCTACAGTCCATATGGACGAAGCCAAGCCCCCGAAGCCTCAGTGTGGAGGAGGGGCAGCATCTACCGAGGAATATGACTTGGCCTTACATACTGCCGGCTTGTGTACGTCGATGTATTCGAACCGTTCGTACACCACATGACTGACATGCTACATCACAAAGTCTTGGTCTTGGCTGCCTCTTGTATTGGTAGTGTTCCCCTTTTGGACCGGTTGAGATGGTCACTGACATATCATGAAGGATGTGGCTTTCCCGTCGTGGCAAAGAAGGTCAAGTGGCTCAAGATACCTCCCAAGATATTCTTTGCATGCAAGCATTTTGGCACCGGTGTTCTCATTGCAACTGCATTTGTCCACGTAAGACCCAACCAGCTCGATATGAACCAGCTCTCGTTGTCCTAACAGCACCTGCACAGCTTCTGCCGACCGCCTTTAGCAGCCTCAACGACCCATGCCTTCCGGACCTCTTCACAGACGACTACCCAGCTCTCCCGGGAGTCATTATGATGGGGTCTCTCTTTGTTCTCTTTGTCATCGAGATGTGGCTCAACGCAAAAACTGGCGGGCACTCACATGGTGGCCCAACAGGCGAGACGATCGTTCATGAGCACGCGCATCCACAGAACCCAGTGCCTCCGGCGTACCCATATGGAATGACACAAAAGCCGAACAGCATGGTCACCGAGTATCCCCTCGAGAAAGAAAGCTCACGCGGGTACCGCGGAACAAGCAGCGTCTACGATCACCAAGGACCGCCCAACCCATACTCTGAAGAAGGCAAGCGAGATAGCCTGTCGACTATGCCTGCCTGGTTCATCGTCTTTTACGAACAATATGTCCGTCAGCAAAACTTGATGGTCGACTTGATCCATGCAAATGGAGGCAGCGGGTCGGCTAAGGAGGAGCCTGCACCAGCAGCTGAGCCTCATGTGGACGAAGAGAACCAGCTGGTCGATCCGGACGTCTACCGCAAGATGTCGACCAACATTACGCTTCTCGAGGGCGGCATTCTGTTTCACTCAGTCTTTGTTGGGATGACGGTGTCAATCACCATCGATGGCTTCGTCATTCTTCTCGTCGCTATCCTGTTTCATCAGATGTTCGAGGGCCTCGGCTTGGGCTCACGTATTGCCGCCGTTCCGTACCCGAAAGGCAGCATCAAACCATGGCTCCTGGTTGTCGCCTTTGGAACGACTGCGCCAATTGGCCAGGCTATTGGTTTGATTACTCGCGGATCCTACGATCCTCAGAGTGCTTTCGGTCTCATCATCGTCGGCCTCTTCAATGCAATGTGAGATTGGCACCGCACACCGTTCTCAATCGCGAACATCGCGAGCTAACGCGTCGGCAGTTCGTCTGGTCTTCTTATCTACGCTGCACTGGTGGACCTTTTGGCCGAAGACTTCTTGTCCGAGGAGGCCAACAGGCTCATGAACAAGAAAAAGAAGGCACAGGCTTTTGGCTGGGTGTTGCTAGGAGGTAAGTCGAAACGCCGTCGAGATCACGCCGAGGCTTGATGTGCAAGGATTCTAACGCGAAAATTTTCAGCCATGGGCATGTCAATCGTTGGCGCATTTGCGTAAACCCGAATTGAACACCAGGGCAGATTGGGAGTGTTTCCGAAGAGACCGCGCCGTGGCGCTGGGTTCAATGTTGCCCAGCTCCGCGCGCTTGCGCTCAACCAACTTGGCCGTAAGCACAGCTGCGCAGCTGGGTCCATTACACTCGTTTTAAGCATACTACATGATGCAGAGCAAATATTCTGATACGAGGTATGTCTGTGGAGGACAAGGGCGACATCATGAATGTGCGACGATGGTGTTGATCAGTCGGCTCTGGCCGCCGTACACCAGACTGTTCAAGTCTCTGCATGTCGCACAACACGGGGTCAGCACCGGGTGACTGACCTGGTGCACCTCGACGGTGACCTCGTGACGACGGTACACATTTGCGCATGTTATATTAGGCCGCCCCTAGCTGGGAGTGTTAGTATTGGCTGGAAAGACCGGAGGGCGTGCAATGGCATCAATCTGGGGACATGGCTGGATGCTCCATTCGCTCGGGAACAGGCCACTTCTCCGCGCCGGCTCGGCCGAAGGCCACGGCTTTCGCTCTGGCCACTGGAGGCGTCAGAACGGGAAGGCCTCAGGGTCCCCCGCCTTTTCGGCTGCGCCCTGGAAGTTTTCCATGATCGAAACAATACAGCCATGGCCGCGCAGAACAACGACTGATCTTGCTCGGGCCGTCAATATAGAAGGATTCGCTTTTAGGCTCCCAGGTTTGAGGCCCTGCACTCCATCGCCATGGCGCTCGCCACCGCCCACCTCCGTGTGGCCCGTCCAACCAACGACATCGCCGCGCTGTTGCCGTTCTACTGCGATGGCCTGGGTTTCACAGTTCTCCTCAAGTTTGACGAGCATGAGGGCTTCGATGGCATCATGATTGGACACAAAGACGCTGGGTATCATCTGGAGTTCACCACGAAGCGAGGGCACGACGCCGGTCGGGCGCCAACTGAGGACAATCTGCTGGTCTTTTATCTACCTGAGCAAGGCGAATTCAACACGGCCGTCGCGCGCATGAAAGGCAGCGGTTTCGAGCCGGTTCCGGCATTCAATCCCTACTGGGACAGATGCGGCAAAACTTTTGAGGACCCAGACGGGTATCGCATCGTGTTGGCCAACCGGCCGTCCCCAGCGTGAAGTTGAGTCGCCTTCTCCGGCTCTGGCTCGGCGTCGCACAAGATGGCAGGCACTCTGGCAGCAGCGGACATTTTATAGCCAGAAAACAATTGCTACACGAATACTTTGCCTCATTATGGACCTCTCACAGCTAGACTTTGTCAATCTTGCCAGTCTTGACGTCGTAGATGTAGCCCGTGATGGGTACATCGAGCACCAGCGGGCTCTTCTTGAGAATCTGAATGTCGTCTTGGACGCTTGCCTTGAGGTCGCTGAAAGGGAGGAAGGCGAAATGGTCGACGTTCTCGGCCAATTCACTTCTCACCTTGGACCGCAGGTCCTCATCCGAAAAGGTGAGCATCCCGCAGTCGGTCTTCAATCGCTGTCAGAATCGTAAAGACGGGCAATATATTCATGATGGACGCCTTACATGATGTACAATGGCAATCTCTCGGGTCCCCAAGAGCTGCTGGGAGATGATAATTGATCGCAACGCTTCAATTGTGCGTCCGCCCGCGTTGCGAATAACATGGGCGTCGCCCTCCTCCAGGCCGAGGATTTTGGCTGGGTCCAGCCTTGCATCCATGCACGCGACTACCGCAACCTTTCTGGACGGAGTGCTATATTAGGCAACCATTCCTTGCTGTAAAGAGGGCTGGGAGACAAGAAGCTGTGTAATAAATACCGGCCGGGGGGAAGTGGCAGGCCGCCCTTTGCAAAGGACGCCGCGTACTTCTGGTTTGCCGCCTCAAACTCGGCGGCGACGGACATTTCGGCTGGTGGTCTGCTATAATATTGGCCAGTTTGATGACTTCGGCTCTGGGCTATTGTTCCATCAAGGTGCACACACTCATTGCTATATAGCTTGAGCGAGCTCCTAATGTCTGTATCGCGGCGTGCAATTGCAGTGCCACGGATGTCTCCTTAGCCGTCATCGCCCGACGCTCGTTCGTGCTGTCAGCGATCGCGTCAAACGCCATGAAATGAGGCGATTGGTCTGCGGGCCAATTGAGGAAACGCGACGGCCGTGCCATTCGTGCGCCCCGAGCCGTTTCCCATCCGGAGGGGTGTCAGGCTCCAATCAAGACGTCGCGTGTTGCCAATCATGCCGTAGTTGTCGCGGGCCTCAGCCGCGTCTGACTTTGTCCCGGCTCTCTGGTAGAGGCGGATCTCTGATGGTTGAGGTGGCGGTTACCATTTCGCCTTTGGACTTGCAGAACGTTGGCGGATGGTGGATTGCAGAGTGTGGCATCGGGCAGTTGGGAGCATGAAGCCTAGCCAGTGCTGCCACTGCTGCATGCTACTTCCCCCAGGCGCAGCACGAACCCTGCGAGGGTGTTACAGAGGGCACATGCGGGGGTTTCGGTGCTCACTGCTGACATCTGACCACAGGCCCAGGTTACCCCGATTGTCGCTGAAGTCACAGCATGGATTGCTCATTGCTGTGCAATGTGGGCTTTATCCACTAACAGCACAGAGTCCGTGCCAACAAACAAATACATCATGGCCTGGAAGCCCCGTCGAAAGATTGCATGACGAAGTCAACGCACCTGCATGTGCCGCAGCAGGACAACCGGGAACCGGCAGTTGGGTCCCTGTGGCTGCTGCAAGACCCAAGGGTGGGCGGCGGCCCAGTTAAGCCTCGTCTCCCGCTATCTTACAGTGTCATGTGTGTCATTGTGCCATCTCCGGAAGACCGCGCCCGCCTACCGCGCCCGCGAGGCCCCATCCTGTTTCTGCCAACTCATTAACGCTCGAGAACAGCACGGCCTTTGTTGAGACAATGACGCAGCGATTCGCTCTCGCTCCGGCAGTGCTCCCACTATCCCGAGACGCGCGGGGCGAAGTGCCATTCGCATTCGTGATGATCTCGGGATGGTGGGAGTCGCAGCCGCGGTGAAACGGGCTGGAGTACTCTCAAACTGCTCGGCAACAACCACCATTCGCCCATGTTGCTTTGCACGCGTTTGGTCTTCGACGTGGTAACTGTCAAGACGCGCCCTAGCCAGCAGGCGGACGAGACCTGATGGCTTGCCGGCAATCGGCAACTTCATCGCTCATGCAGCACAGCGTTCGATGTTCGCCTGCCACATTCTGCCTGCCACATTCTGCCTGCCACATTCTGCGAGAACGGGAGATAGCCAGGCGACATGAGGCGAAAGGCCTTGCGCAATAGAGCTGAAAGTATGTCCCTTCAGACCTGTCGCTAGTCAGTGAAGTAGGCTTCCCTTGCGCCCGCCCGGCCAGTCAAGGCATAATGGATGTGTCGATTGGCAATAACGTCGCGGCATGCTTTTGTACCTCCGGCGTTAATCAAGGCTGGTTCCGATCCGCTTTTGTGTCGCGGCGTATTATGTTGTACTCTGTGTCACGACGTCGCCGGTCCTCTTGCAAGGCCTTCTAACATATGACCTTGGTAGGCCGCACTCGCCCTGGCCAAGGTCCGGCATCCAAAGGTGTTTCGTTTCTCCTTCAACCACCTACAGCTGTCTATCTCGCCAGAGCTATAGATCTAACGACATCTTCGCCGTCTCACATTCAGGGTTCTACCGTTCGTTCAAGGTCGTCAACTGCATCTCTCAACCTCCGGTGCTTTGCCTCCAGCATGCTCAACGTCCTCGTAGTCGGAGCGGGCATCGCGGGCCTCTCTGCCGCCGTCTCCCTTCGACGTGCGGGCCACTACGTCCACGTCTACGAGCGCTCAGCCCTGAACAACGAGATAGGGGCAGCCATCAACGTCCCGCCCAATGCTACCCGCTTCTTGCTCGCCTGGGGCCTCGACCCCGTTCGGTGGCGCTTCGTTACCTCACGAGGCATCAGGTACCTCGACCCGTTCACTCTCGAGCCGCTGAGGAATGTTGTACCCCCCAAGGGCGGCCCTCGAGCCTTTGGAGGGACCGACCTGTTCTATGCGCATCGCGTGGACCTGCACGACGCCCTCAAGTGGTTGGCCACGAAGGAGGACGGACCCGGCGCTCCCGTGACGATCCATTTGAGCACGCACATCGTCGCTTATGTCAGTTGTCCGCTGTTCTCTACTATATGAAGGATGTTCGATACTGACAGAGGCCAGGGAACAGGACTCTTCGAAGCCTTCCATATTCCTTCAAGGCGGCCAAGAAATTACCGGCGATATTGTCATAGCGGCCGATGGCGTGCATTCACTGGCCTCGGATGTCATTCTTGGACGAAAGAACTTTCCCGTCCCGCCCGTCCACTCCAATTCCTGCTATCGTTTCTTGATCCCGGCTGCCGCGCTCGAGGAGGATCCAGATACGCGATTCTGGGTTGAAGATTGCAACGGGTGGGCTCGCCTTGTCCCTCACGGCCCAACCAAACGAAGAATTGTGTCATACCCGTGTCGGAAGTACGGTAAAATGATGAACTCTTCGCTGTGACCATGCTAACCGACCTTAGCAATACCATTTTCAACTTTGTGGGTGTATTCTATGACAAAAACATGGACTCAGGCGGTGCAGAGAGTATGTGTCTACGCTGCCACCCGTCGCATATTGCTTGTTCTCACACGCCCAAGATTGGCAAGCCAGCGTAGATATTTCGCAAGTTCTCGACAGGTACTCTGATTTCCACCCCAAGCTCCTTGGGGTAATTAGGTATGTCGTGCATCAACGCGGCCCGACTGAAGTCTTCTAAACTCCTTCCCAGAAAGGCAAAAGAGGCAAAGCGCTACCCGCTGCTCTATCGGCATCCGCTGCCGACCATGTGCAAGGGGCGGATGGCTCTCGCCGGGGATGCTGCACATCCCATGCTTCCACGTAAGTGCATTGACGCACAAAGTGCGACGAGTGCGGCATCTCACCCATTGCCTCGCAGACCACGGGCAAGGCGGTGCGCAGGGCCTAGAAGACGGACTGGCCATCGGGATCGTCCTCCACGGCGCATCCAGCCCTTCTGAGATCGAGAAGCGCCTTGGAATCTACGATCAAGTCCGCTGCAAGCGCGCAAGCGCCATCCAGATCCTCAGCAACGCTGGATTGGAACAGTTTGACCTAGTGCAGCACGAGCTGCGCCAGTACCTGGAGCCGGACAAGATACCAAGTGAGTACGACACACTGCCCAGCCCTACTTTTGAAGATTGGGCATGCTTGGCCTGACTCATGGATCACAAGGGAGCATGCAAGACACGTACAAGTTCAACTTCGGCTTCGATATCGTTCGCGCGACTCTCAAGGCGATGCAAGATCACAACCCGGCCTTCCGATTGCCGGCGGACTTTTTCGAGTGCGAGGTCGTTGGCGTGCCAGGGCAATGACGCGATGCAGCGGGCGACTCGCGAGTCTCTGTCATTAATTCTTTATTTCTATATTGAGCTGATCGGAGATGGGATTGATGTCGCCCTTGTATGGTCGCCCAGACTGTCTGCGCCTTCAATTGAGGAAGCCAAACGCCGAGAACGCGCATGTCTAACACCAGTCTCACGACATCCAAGTTACCTAGCTCGACATTGACAAGATCTAACCGCAGCGTGTGACCGGCAGCCGGTGGCTTGGGCCGGCGGACATGTCCTCATGGCGGTGTCGCGTCCACGGCATCAAAGCCCCAGCCCCAGTCCATTGACGCCACCCCCTGTCGTTCCCAGGAAAACGGATCGAAGCCTCCAGGGGCAAAGTCCGGCTTCGCGCTCTTGAGCTGCTCCACAAAGAACTCCTCGCTCGCGGCGTTGTAGAACATGCCGATGTTTGGCGACGGGAACCCGGCCTTTGCGTCTGCCTCTGCCCGCTCGGCGTTGACGCGGCTAACCTCCTCAAACGCTCGGTCGTAAAGCCCGCCGACAATGACGCGTATCTTCTGGATCGACTCCGACGGATTAAACTCGAGAAGCCTGTCGAAGAGCTGGATGGCCTTGGTGGTGAGATGTTGATCGAGCGAGATGTATTCGTGGTTCGGCTTGATGAGCATGTTGGCCAGCAGGACGATGAGGCCAGAGAAGTGAGGGCAGCAGCATTGCCTGCAGCGTTGTTAGTACTGGTCAGATGCGAGACGTTGCAGTGCTTGACTCACCATACGAGGCATTCAGTCGGGGTAGACTTCTCAAAGAGCTCCATGCACCCACGACTCAATTCGACACACCTGCTCCAGCCACCTGGGAACGGCGGAGTGTGAGCCTTGGTCGCGCAGCTGTCCATCGCCTGGGCAAGGTCTTCAATGGCGCCCTGGTTCCGCGAGTTGATCATTTTGAGCCATTCGGCATTGTGGCTGTAGAGGCCATGCGTCATGACCGTCGCGAGGAGGTACGAATGGTGCATCTTGGTGACGATGACCAGCTCCGTCGGCGCGAGGTTTGTGGCCGCGTTGTCAATCTGGAACGCGGGCGGTACGCGCTCGTACCACCGGTTCAGCTGGATCTGGAGGCGGCAGATCCTGCGCTTCCGTTCTTCGGGAGGCACCCTGCTGGCGCGGTTGGAGCAGAGGAGGTCGTAAATCTGGCCCTCGATGTGAGCGAGGTCGACGCGGAGGCGGTGATAATTGAAGTGGGAGGTGCCGTCTTGGGACCATATGAGCCCGATTCCATCGGACACGGTGAGAGATGGTAGCGGCACATCTATGTCTGCATCCGACTGTATTGACGGGGCCTTGATGCGCAGTGAAATGTCCTTCGTCACGTCATCAGTCTTTGTTCAGCCTGCATTAACAGAATGACGCTGAAATACCTTGTCAAACGTGTACGCGATCCAAAATATCCTTGACCGCTGGAGATTCTCCTCGGCAGTAAAATGCTTCGTGGCTTCCTCCGAGTGTAGCTGCAACCGGTGCGCAAGCCTCATGGCAGTCCCGATGACAACGCTAGCAGGCTTCGGGTCGCTGCTGTTTTGGAACAGAATCACGATGCCCAAAAGGACCTGAATGCCCAAGAGGTCCTCGTCGCGCGTGACCAGATCCGAAACCACCGACTGAGCGTTCTTGAGGTACAAGTTCGCCCGGTGGAAGCGATCCGGCCCGCCACCGTCTTGCAGGGCCTCGGGCGTCGCCGTCCGCAAGCTGAGGCTCAGGACCACTTGGATGGCAGCCCAAGCGGCCTTGGTGCGAGACTGGCCTTGGTAAAAGTTGCTGAGGATCTCCATGAACGCCCTCTGCTCGAAGAGGGGTACAACGAGGTTGAAGATGGAAAAGTAGTGGTTCACAAGGGGAATGGCCTCCTCCAGCGGCGGGAGCGGGAACTCGTCGTTCGGACAGTAGCACTGCACGGAGCTGGTCGTGTCGGCTGCAATGGTCCTGTCGTTGGCGCTGTCCGCGCCTTCAGGGCTTGTGTTGCTTGCGGAGTTGCTCTCATCATCATCGGGGTTTAGGGGGGTGAATTGCGTGTCCGCCCGGGACTTGGTGATTTCGATGATCTGCTGAAGCTGCTTCTCGATGCGCGAGAGCCGTTCCTCTGTTGACGAGTCGGGCGCAGAGCTCCTGGCGTCGTTTTAGCAAGCAGGCCAACATCGCGACACACCGCCCGGCCAACTGCATGAGGCACGCTCACTCACGTTTCAGAGGGTGCCTTCTCCGGCTGAGCCGCCAGTGGTTGCGGCGCCTTCACCTTGGGTCCAGGGCCCTTGCGGCGGATGATGCTTGTGCGGCATTCGGTCTTGTAGAGGATGCAGTTGGAGCAGACCGGCTGGACCATGTCGCACTTGATCTTCTTCTTGAAGCACAGGTCGCACGCTGCATTTTCATCAGGGATCAGCGACTGCGGGGCATGAATGTGGGATGACTGCACGGCTTCAACATTGAATGGAATGGGCTCTTCTTACCCTTTCGGCGGCTGGCCCGTGCTGCGGCGTGGCCGTCTGAACCTGCAGACATGGGGACCAACATGGATGTCTTGCACGCGACAGGTTCCGGATCGCAGACAGACGTCACAAATGGATGTGAAGTTGCCTGGTGGATATTAATGCGACCTGCCAGATGCGCTGCTTCAGGTGGTGCCCAGGCAGTCAGTCAGTCATGCTCTGTAAGGCTTGGAGGTCAGCGCCATGATCAGACGCTGAGGCGCTGATTACAAATGCAGCACCTGCCCACCAAACACGCTCCCCTTCTTCACGCTGCTGATCTCACGCAGGGACCCGGGGCTCCGGGTGGGATGAGGGCGTGCCCCAGCGGCAACTCGGTAACTGCCGAAGAAATTAAACCATCTACACCGTCTAACATATCCATGTCGTTCAGTTTAGCCATTATTTGAGATTCACGGCAACACTTGACGGACGAACACGGACGAAATCGCGCAGTTCATCAACCCGGACGTGGCAGATAGCCTACCCGGGGGCGGTTCATCATCATGGCCGCGTCGGACGAACCGTGCCTGATGCTTGGGATCGGGAATCACTGTGTCCAGTGTTGTGTTTCTATAGTACACGGTCAATGTGATTTTGACCTTCCCCAGAGACAATGGCTGGCGCTCAGTTCCGACCGAGCGGTGCTGGACTGGAAGTATAAATTCACGCCTGGATTGTTGAAGGCGTTTGCCATGCTGACAGCCAGAATTTATGGGGCTCGCTCCACGGAGTTCCACGGATCTTTGGCAGTCCGTAGTCTCTGGGCGGTTCTCAGCATCTGGCAATGCAATCACGTGGAGACCGTTGTGCTCTGTGGCCATCCGCAACTGCCGTTCAACACTCATGCCAGTGGACGGCGGGTATCGACAATGAAGATGAACGGCACATGCCGCCTCCCGATTCCCGGGCCACATTTTACCACAGCCACCCCGGCCTGTCAAACGTTTGAGTCTTTCCGTATTGGATATTGCCCCATTGCCAAGGTGTGCGTTACGGTATTAAGGCTGAATGGTGGCATTCAATTCTGCGACAAGAATTTCGCCGGAGAGTCATTCCTGCTGCTGCGGACGCAAGGGGAACGGAGGCTCGCACGAACCACTCTCCACCCGGGCACCACGTATCTGAGGTCTGCAGGTGATGAAAGCCGTATCGCGGCTGTGTGATGATCCTTCCTCCGTGAGCCAATGTAGCAATCTTCAGCAACTGTGGCCCTTCCACTTGGAACCGTTGAATAGCCGCTCCCAGCCCACGACTTTGCCCGCACCGCCTGCGATCGTCACAATAGTCAAGTAATTGACCGCAACCATGTCCTTATCTGTGCCTTGCGCCCCGTCTCTCCCGTGTCGCCGCACACAATGCCACTCTGCAGGGGATCGCGCAGATGTTTTGGCCCCCACTGGATTCCTACCCAAGTCCTCGCCTCGGCGATTGCCTTGCTCGCCAGCTTTCGCATCATGAAGCTGACAAGGGGGTTGCCGATCTCTCCCCAGGAACGGTTGCATCGATCCCGCCTCCCGCGTCACACAGCCTTACGTAAATGTGAACCAGACTTTTGATGCATGTGGTGAGATGACGGAGGATGCCCTCTCGCGGCTCTCCGCACCTTCTCGTTGTTCAGGAGCTGCCGGGGCGGTCCGTCTTCACGTCAGATATCCGCCCGTGACAGCGTTGGCTCATTGAGGTTTCTTGACTCCTCGCGATGCTCCTACCACGCGCCGCGGCCCTCCGAGGCGCTGCTCTCCTCGTCGCCATAGTCATCCAGATCGCGCCAATTCAAGCAGCGAAACAATGCTACTGGATGGACGGGACGATAACCGACAGCGTCGTCCAGCCGTGCAATCCCGATGCCGAAGTCAGCCCCTGTTGCGCCCTGAACAAGGCCAAGCCCGACCTCTGCCTCTCCTCGGGGCTCTGCTACTCCCAAGACTCTGGCGTCGAGGGGTTCCTCTACTCGGACGGCTGTACGGACCGGACCGGCGAGGACGAGAAATGCCCGCATTTTTGCATTGACCGTAAGGAAAACCTCGCCAACGAATACACACGACGACTGCCCTGCGCAGTGAACGTCTGTCCGCGCGCTAACTTCACACGTTCACATCCGCAGGGTCGGCAAAATGGAAGGCGTACAATGTGCTGCAGTGCGAGGCTGGAAATGCCGGCAGCCAGTTCTGCTGCCGCACGTCGAGCGACAACACGAATTGCTGCGGCAACAAGACTGCCATCCTGAGCACGTCGATAGGAAGCATCGTCTTCCCCACGAAGACGGCCTCGGCTGGAGGATCTTCGACATCATCGACGGCAAGCGCCACAGCATCGACGACGTGCAGCCCGGCCAAGATAGACAGCGCTACGAACAACGAGTGCCCCAAGGACAACACTGCCATGGTGGGAGGAGCCGTTGGTGGAGTACTCGGCGCCGCTCTCCTCGTCGCGCTGGGTGCCATAGCCGTGCTGTGTATGCGCAGACCGAAGGACCATAGCCAGGAGGTCGTTCAGCCCGACCAGAGTGCCCAGTACACTCCCAACCTCTACAAAGAGTCTCCTCCGGGATATCCTCAAACAGCTAGTAGTCGCGGCATGGAACCCTCCCCCATGGGCATTGAGAGCGTTCATGTCCACGCGCAGGAGCTCCCGGTGCGGCAGGTGCACGAGGTGCAGGGAGACCTGGTAAGAATGATTCTTTATGCAAAACATGTCGAAGTGAAGCTCACAGTTTGGCAGGCCCGAGAACGCGACTCGTAGATGCATGGGTGTCACGACCCTTCGGCTTACGTCCCGAGGCTAATGGGTACATGGGCCAAAGTAATGTGGTTGTGAAAGCGGCGGCGAAGAATCAGTGGTAGTGCTTGAAGCGACGCATGTGCTGGCGGCGGCAGTTGGGTGATAGAGTATCCTCCTTTCGGAGTTTGGTAGTCGTTCAATGCGGCTGTTGTCGCCGGCCGTCTAATTCACCGCGAGGCGCAGTCAACCCTCACTCCTCATATCAGAAGTGCGTGATCTGATATGCTTCACACGACGGTCAGATTCTTGGCAGGCAGACCTGTATGTGAAACCAACGACCTCAAGTACACAGGCTATGCCAGCGGCCTAGCAACCTGCCAATCCTCGAAAAACGTCGTCACAGACCTACTCAGCGAGCACGCAATCACCGTGCCATGGTCCTCCTCGGGATACCCCTTAATGGAGACACTGCGCAGGCGCCCACACTCCCTCAACCGCTCATGCATGGCCTTTGCATTCTCAACCATGCCTCGCTCCTCAGCTCCTTTCCTCCGCCGCGCGTAGTCCTCGTCGCTCTCCCCCGGCCACTGCGGAGGATTCTCCTCGTACCCGCCGTAGAACAGCATCAGGACTGGCTTCGTGGTGCCGGACTCGCTGCTGCGGCGGAAGGCCTCCTCGTGCTTCAGTACCGTGAAGCCGTCCCAGTACACGGACGGGCTGCTAGCCACGAAGCAGTCAAAAAGGTGCGCCCGGGTGAAGAGCGTGTAGAGGGTGAACAGGCCGCCAAAGGAATGCCCGTACAGCGCCTGTCTCCCGATTGTGCTCTTCGGCAGCACTGTCGATGCGATGAACGGTTTCAGCGTGCCTTCGATGAAATCCAGGAGGTGGTCGGCGCCGCCGTAGCCCTCTGGGCTGGTCCCGCTCGGCGGCGTAAGGTCGTAGTTGCGCCGAGCACTGAACAGGAAGTGGTTGTCGAGCGGATAGCCGATTGCAACGACGAGGCCGCCGCCGCTAAAGTTGGGCGCCGAGGCGCGTCGCCAGCAGGCCTCGGAGGCGGTCAGGAACATGGCGTTGCCATCGGTGGTGTAGCTTCCGATGCCGTTAGCTATTGTGTCTCGTCCTCTCTCGCGTCAGACTCGGCGGGAGCTCACAGGACGGGAACATCGGTGTGTCCTTCGCGACTTGTCCAGTGCGTCGGCCAGGCGACCTGGATCCTGTAGACGCACCCGTCTCGGCCGGGCAGGTCCCATTGCCCTGTGAATGGGAGCGGAACGTTGATAGGCTGCATCGAGACTTGCATGTTTGTCTTGCCGGGTGGGATGAAGTTGGGTCTATGTTGCGCGTGTATGGGTTATCCCGAGCTGCTGCACTTCTCGGCTTCGACCATGATCCGAATTCCGGAGACAGCTATCCGCCCTCCGCGAGCCGAAAAATAACTCGCATGGCGCTTCTTGAAACCAATGCTAGACGACCCCGCAAGTTCGGTTAGGAAAACCCTGTCGTCGTGCTCGGCCTTTGAAGCCGGCTCCACTGTGGCAGCTGGCGACAGGCACAATCTTATCAGATGATCTGACCAGTCCCCATCACACCCACAAATAAAGAGGAGCCTCCAATATTGGAGGTCCCTGTCCAGTTCAGTCACTGCTCGCTTGGCTGGACGCGCGGATTTATCGCGTCCTCGCGCCGGCAAAACCAGGCCTGCCTGGTTGGAGGCGCTGTCAGAAGCGGCGCGTTTTTGAGCCGGCGCACGCCGCCATCTTCTTCAGACACGCAAAGAGCGCACACTGGCGTCAGCTGTGACGGAAGGCGAAATGGCCTCAACACGTGCTCAATTCGAAAGACAGGAAAACGGGCGCCGCCAAACGAAATGAGACTGCTTTTAATAAACTCATCATCAGGGTCTTTGTTATGCGCCCCGCCAAAACGCCCTGCAGCCTTGAGGGGAACAAATTCGTCAAGAAACTCGAAGGAACAATGCGTGGGTGACGCCAAGATCTCGCGCTACTTGGTAGCTCAACGGACCGAGGCAGCCTGGCTGCCCAGCGAGTCCGGGAGACACACGAGATCTGTCCCAGCGTCGCCCACCTCCTACTACTCCTACATGGCGGTACAGCAGCCGCCGTTGGATTGCTTCGTCGCGTACGGATCCTCGTCCCGCGGGATCCTGCCCCAGACCGACGGCACCATGTAGTCTTTTGTCTCGTTGCAGTACTTGACGATGCTATATGTAGAATATCGCGCGGGTCAGTCAGCGACTCGTTAGAATTCCGACACAGCGGTCGGCATCACGCGGGCGCCTTCGACGTTGGGCAAACAGTACCTCATGGCGGCCACGCTGACGGGGACACGCTCCCTGCTCAGCTCCTCCTGCTGGCGGAGGTTGTGGCTCTCGATGCGCTTCAGCTGCAGCGGCGCCCTTGCCTCCCTCGACAACGGCACGTTGCGATACGGGGTCCCGTTGAGGTTCGCGGCGGGCCTGGTCTCCGGCATGGCGGGCGGGCGGGGGAGCGGGCAACTGGACGCTCTTTCTGTCCAGACTTCCTTCAATGGTGGGCGACAGGCATTTCGCGACCGCGCTCAGCGGTCACTCCACTCGCCAAGCTCGAGGGGGGTCCCTGTGGTCGGCGCAGCACAACCTGATGGAGGCGAGAAAGCAGCTGTGGGTGGGCGGGGCGCTGCTGAACTCTTCTGCTAGTCATCAACAGCAGGCGGCGATGGGGGCATGTACTTCTTGGTGTCGTACTTCGCACACGTTTCACACGTTATCGACGCCCGAGGATGGAGAATGTGAAAAAAAGAAAACGCTGATGGGGAGAAGATGAGCTGATGCGGCGGGGGAAAGCCGTCCAAGTTTCTTTGCCATCGGATCGGATGTCATTTGTTGGCAGCGGCGCTTCCCACGGGCTGGGCCGCCCACCCAGCCAGGCGGCTTCAGCTGACCACCGGTGCTGACCAGCCGCGATTGGCATGCCATGGCCCTGCCCGCGACGCCCGCCTCGCCATGGCATTTCTGACTGACCTGACGGGGGGGGGGGCATTCGGGGCGGGGGAGTGCCGTTGGCCACCACCGTGTGTGCTGCTGGACGGGCGGGCACAAGCAAGGCACAAGAAAGCCAGCATGTGCCTCGACTTACAGTATCAAGTAACATGTGAGCTGTCAGGCGTGGCTGCATTGTGCCGAATGATGGATGGGAGGATTGACCGTTGGCGCAACCCGGACTGAGGGCAGACAACCAGACAGGGCAGTCCGGACTCGTAAATTCGTAAGTCGGGCATCCTCGCCTCGGTCGCCCCCGATTCTCTCCGCCAACGTGAACGCCATCGTCCCGCGCACCAGTGCTTGAGGCGGCAAGCAGAAAATTGCATTCGCTGCAACTTGACCAGGTTCACGTCGGGTAACTGGTCGACGGCGCCATATCGAGGGTCCGCCCGGCCATCGCGTGGACACAACGGGGCGCGTCGGGAGTTGGGGCTCGGTACGCGGGGGGAGCCGCCGTACGCATGCTCACACCAGCGGTGTCCTCATCGTGTGTCGACTGGGCCATGCTGGGCCGGACGAAGCCTGATGTGCACGCCTCGCATGAATGGTCCCATCGTTCTGCCTTGGACTTCGCTCGACTGACGGGATGATTGTTTGGCCAAAAGAAGGGAGAGCATCCGCCATGACCAAGGCAGGCCCTGGGACGAATATTCGGGCGTTACACTCTGGTGATGTCAGAATGTGCTGTCCACCAGACGCCACGACGCAGACGACTCGGAGGCGAAACGTCCAGCAAGAACGGCACGCCAGCATGATGCGATGCGCTCTTTTCATTCAATCGCCCGAATACAGTCATTACCTTCACCACGCAAGTATTCTCAGGATAACAAGCACCTGGATCGACTTCGTGGTTCATTGATCAGTCAAGGCATCTCGCCATGTCCCCCCAGCAAGCCCAGACCCCCGGCGACGAGTCCCATCTGCCGCCACAAGAGCGCAAGTCCGTCACCGACGTGCCCGTGACGCCAGACATCCGCAGAGACACCTACAACGACCAGCCGAGCAAGGCGGAGCGTCTACGGCAGGGCTATTTCCCGCCGCAGCCCGGCACGGCCAAGCAGCACGCGGTACGGCAAACGATTCCCTCGCCATCTCATCAGCAGAAGCGCAATCTAACGGCAACCGGTGATGACGCTCGCCCGCCACGGCACAATGGCGCTGGCTCAACCCATCGCCGGGTCATATCCGCGACGTTCACCGTGCCGCAACTGCTGCAGTACGACAAGGACGGTCAATGGGTGAGCAGCAACCCCCAGTCAATACCACTGCTCGAGACTTTTTCTTGCTCGATCCGTGCAATAACAGCTGACTTGGGAACAGAAACTAGAGGATCGCGGCCACCGCTCAACGCTGCTCAACTCCTTCGCCTACCTCTCCTCCGACCAATGTCCTCTCGACCACACAGTTATCGCCTGGACCGGAGAAATCGTCCAAGTCTCCGACGATGCATCCCCATCGCCAAAGACAGCATCCCCTGCCCCCGCGCAATTGTCAGGCACCAGCACGACTACCACCGGTGTTGGCCTAGGCGCTGTCCAAGTGAAAATCGACGGGGAGACGACCGGCGACGAGACCTTCATCTCCCATCGCGAGGCCAAGCAGCTCGAACACCTTCTCTACACCGACCCGGTGCGCACGCTTCCAATATGGCTCACCGACGACGCGGGCGTCACAGAGGACGGCATCAAGCTCGAGAGGCAATCCCGCTGGCGCGCCTTCGCAGAGCACGACATGTTTGCCCTGTTCCACTACAAGCAACGCACGCCCACCGCCGGCAGGCAGGAAGACGAGCGATGGGACGACTACCGGCGCATGAACGAGGCCTTTGCCGACAAGATCTGCGACGAGTATCAGCCCGGCGACGTCGTCATGGTGCACGACTATCACCTGGCGTTGCTTCCCGAACTGCTCCGCCAGCGCAAGCCAGACATTCAAGTGTCGTTCTATCTCGCCTCGCCGTTCCCAACCAGCGAGCTCGTGCGCTGCCTGCACCGACGCAAGGAAGTCCTTGAGGGCATGCTCGGCGCCGATGTCATCGCCTTTCAAGCGCGCCACTACGCGCAGCACTTTGCCAACTCGTGCGCCCGGATCCTCAGCCTCGACGCCAGCAGCGAGCGCGTCGTAACTTCCTGCGGAAGAACCGTCACGATAGCTGTCCTGCCGGAGGGTATCGACGTCGCAAGCATCACATCCCTGGCCTTCACCCCCGCCGTCGACGCCAAATGCGCCGAGCTGCGCGCCCTCTACGGCGACAGGAAGCTCATCTTCGGGTGCGACCCGCCCGACAGCCTCGGCGGCGTCGACAAGAAGCTCCAGGCCTTTGCGCGGTTCCTCGAGACGCACCCCGAGTGGAAAGACAAGGTCGTCCTCGTCCAGACGTGCAGCCGCCCCGCCGCCGAGCACGCCAACGAGGAGGACGAGGCCAAGTACACCAACAAGGTCAACTCGCTCGTCGCCGCCATCAACCAAGCCCACGGCTCGCTCGGCGGCTTCGCGCCCTTGAGCATGCACTCGCAGAACCTCTCCCGCGAGGAGTACTTTGCGCTGCTGCGGCTGGCCGACGCGGCGCTCATCACCAGCGCGCGCGAGGGCATGAGCACCACGGGGCTCGAGTACGTGGCATGCCAGCAGCGGGACGATCACGACAAGGACAGCGAAGTTGATGAGGGTGATGATGGCACGGCGCACGGGCAGCTCATCATCTCCGAGTTTAGCGGCACGGCGAGCAGCCTCGAGGAGGCGCTGCAGATCAACCCGTGGGACGTGGCGGGCGTGGCGGAGCGCATCGACGAGGCGCTGACCATGTCGCCGGAGCGGCGCCGCGAGGTGCACGGGGCTGTGTACGGGCGCGTGAGGGAGCGGGACGTCAAGTCTTCGGTCGACGACATGTTGCGGCTCCTCGAGCAGGTGTCGCCCGCCAGCGACCGCGGGGTCCCAAAGAAGGCGCAGACGGCATGAATGCACCATGATTGTATGACCAGTTTAGATTCTGAGGGAACCAGCGACTGAGCGCATCTCAGTATGTATGCGGCTTTCGCAGCAATTCTATTGCCTTCAATTGAGCCCACAAGCGCCTGGGGCGCTGCCATAACTCGACCTCTCCGCTGCATGCCTACATGCGCGCAAACATAAAGACAATGGCCCAAGTCCGGCGTTCCTAGGCGGGATAGTCTACGACGAAAGCAAGTCAAGGCACGTTGCACGATGAGTGATGTAATTCTGTGCCGCGATGTGTGGCAGCAAAGTAAGGACTGTAACTGTCGGTTCTCCCACGATTCCTCCGCCATGATCCAGCCAAGAGAAACACATTTGTGTGTCGCGCACTTTTCGCTCACAGGCCCGGCGTATTCCGTTTGTAGGATTGATGCACGTTTCAGTCATTCATCACTTCATGACGATCAACGAGATGATAAGGCGCAAGTCGCGAGCTGTGTATCCGCCAGTTGCCGGGGGGCGGACATGTCGAACAAGGTCGTTTCAACTCCGTCACGGCACCAACACGTGTCGCCGGGGCCTCAAGGGTATAGGGGCAGTTCATGCAACTCTTCACAGCACCTGGAGCACGACCATGTACGCCTGAACGCCCGCACCACGACGGTAGTCCTCGAGCTCGGCGCTGAGGACCTTGACCTTTCCGTCCTCGGCCAGTGAAGCAACCTTGGCTTCATACCCACCGCTGGACCAGATGCTGCCGAGGACCGTGGAGATGATGTAGCCGCCCTTCTCCACGACGCGGACGAACTCGTCAAACGCCGAAGGGCCTACGTGGCCCTGCGTGAAGGTTACGATGCAGACCACGGCTTGATACTGACCGTCCTTGTGCGACAGTGGCTTGGTGAGGTCGGCCGTTTCGAGCTCCTGGTAGACGCCAGCTCGGCGGGCAATGTCCAGCATCCCAGGGCTGAGGTCGATGCCGTCAACATTCTTGGCACCTAGTTTGGCGAGGTGGACTCCGACGAGGCCGGTGCCGCAGCCGGCGTCGAGGATCCGGGCTTTGGAGATGTTGTCCACGCCGACGCACTTGAGCGTGTAGGTGCTGGCGAGAGCAGGGCCGACGTAGTCCTGGGTGGCCTCGGCCATTTCCTTGTCGTAGGTGCTCGCCCATTCGTCGTACAGGGACCGGGTGGCGGAGACATCATTCAGAGCGTAGGCACGGGCGAGCTGAGACATGATGGTGGCTATGTGATGTGTATGTGATGTGTGTATGCTTGTATGTGGATATGGGTATCGGGGCAACGTGTGTAATGTTCGGGGAACGGTGGATTGTGTAGAGGGAGGAGGAATCGGTTGAGCGGAAGGGTGAACGGGAGAGCAAAGGGGGTATATGAGTCTCTGTTGAAAGACCAGAAAGGGGGGCAAGGAGGTGCCTTGTTTGTGTTTGTGTGCTTCGGGACCGGGTGCCAGGGACTCGGGACTCGTGGTTCTTCTTGGAGGGTAGGCTTGCAGCGAATCTCGTGTGACACGGCGCAGACTCAATCGGAGGACGGGATCGATCAAGGAGCAGCTCGCGTCGGTCCTTTATAGGTCCATGGAGTTCCTGGCCAGGGCAGTGCATCGCATCTCAGCGACGGCGACCGAGGAGACATGATGTCACGCTCACTGCCTCCCGTTGTCCGCGCCCACACATCCATATCCAGGGATGTCGACATGTCGACCCAGGCCCCCGTTCCGCGGTGGAGCAACGGCGCCGGGACGACACCACCAGGAGCAGGCCATAGGTCCGTTCCGTTGTCCACGCCGCCGAGCGACTCCACTCCACCGCTTCCGTAGCGCGCCCCTCCCCCGCTCACCCCCCGTCCCGTTGCCTTCCGTGTGTCCCGCGTGTACGCGTCGAGCTGGGTCAGCGCGGCGGAAGCCGCTGAAGAGCCAATTGGCCCCGGGGCGCCGTAGGTTTGGGCCATGATGACACGCCGAGGCCGCTGCGGCGGTTATTCGTGCCATCAGCGAAGCATAAGCCGGTTTGACCTCGCCAGGATGCCCCGTCGGCCCTTCCAGGACGGAGAGCAACTCGCGAGGCTGGCTTCAGCAGCAAGTACTTTGGATACAGAATGTCGCTTTGCGTCGCACGCGGCGCTCTTCCTTTCCCGAACGGTGGCTAGCGTCGAACGCATACCCATCCAGCAGCGCTGTATTTACGGGGCGTGGCAGCCTAGAGAGAGGCTGATGAGACGTCGCGAACAGTCAACGCCTTGTCTGTTGCAGCAGTTGCGCCATTTTCGACGTTTGTTGGATCGTTTTCCATTGGACATCTGCCCATCGACGGACGCATAGCCTGCAAGTCACCCGCACCAAGGCTGCTATTCCTTGGCATGCCAACCGCCCGCGACGCGCCTGAGTGGCTGCGCGTTCTCGAGGCGACAATTGTCCTCTTCGAGCCTTCTCAACAGGGCAAGCCGAGATCGATCGGCCAGCCGTCGACGTCCGTTCAGTTCAACCGTGTGGGCTGCGAGAATCGTGGTTGGGTGGTCTTGGTCTCTGGGTGAGCACCAAATAAGCGGGCCGGAAGCTCATCGGCGAGATGGTTCAGCCAGGTGCTCCAGCCTCAACCTCCTCTTGGGGCTTATATTGTTTGACGCAAAGACAGTGCTCGTCAGGTGTTGTACCGGCATTGTGGCAGTCCAATCGCTTGGAACGGGTGGGCGCCCCCCGGATTGTTGTTGAAAACGAACGACAAAGTTCGGGAAGTTGAGGCTGCCTGATGAGCGATGCTATGGCCACCCTACCATGTCAGCATGTGAACAGGTTTGGCCGCCATCCCAATCTGCTCCGGCGGCAGTGCCCCGAACACCAAACCCCGTTCCGAAACTTGCATTCTCGTCCCGGAACGGCCAATAGATGAGTCGCAATGAGCAGCAGGCTACGCGCCTTCGAAAACGATTCACGTCGTATGGGCCTTTGGGGGCACCGAATCACACGACGGCGCGCCCCTTCCACGGCTCACCGTCTGGCGCCCTGGTTGGATGCGACCACGGCAGACCGGTCTGCACGCGCTGGAGAACTGCTGCTAGTGACGTAGGGTGACAATAACAAAGGAACGGCGCCGAACTCCGAGGCTGTCTTCGTAGCTCGATGAAAAGCTTCCGTCAGGTACGTACGTGGGGAGTAAATCGACATGTATATTTTGCGACAGATGCCCCTCAACACCAGAGGGGTCATGGTTGAGATGGATATGACACATCGTGTTGGGAGCGCATGACGTCTGCATTGCTGCTGCTGCCGACGCCGTTGCTGCTGGCTCCTGGCTGCCCGGCGGATCGAGGTTTGGACAAGTCGATACTCCGAAAACCTGGTTCTCGACCCGTCCGATGCGACGCAACGCCGCTGGCGTTTTCTTGTCGCCGGCGTGGAAAAAGAGGGTGTCCAGCTCACATCCAGCCTGCACAGCTCTGCTGCACTGCTGCAGTTACATGCATCAGGCCACGACCATTGGCCCCGCAAGACGATGATTGGGAGCTGGAAACGTTGCCACCCGTGCTGGTGTGGTCTGCATCTGCGTCGTGTCGCGTGTGTCGGACTCTTCCTCCGGACGGCTTGAGTTTGAAGAACCCGGCCTCGGCACCAATGCGACTGGCGTAGCAGGTTATCCAGGAAGAAGGTATGCCCGGGGCTCTCGATGCTCGGGTCGTTGCATAGACATCTTGATCGCGCCATATGTGGCGCTGGTAGTTCCAGGGCCGCCTCGAACGGAATGTTGTTCGGAGGGTGACGAAACCCTTGCTGAGTCTCAGAGGACAGCCATCCGCGCAAATGAGGTGACTGGAGCCTTACGGTCAGCTACTGTGTGGCTAGTCACCTCGCCGGGTCGGGACATCCAGACGGCCCGTGCCGAAGTGCCTGTGCTGCCCTGTTGGACGGTGTCGATGTCAGTGATGGCGGCGGGCGCTTCACTGGTGAGTTGAGCGAGTGGGATTGCGTAGAGGCCGTCCCAGAATGCATCGTCTTTGCAGACGGCCATGAAGCCAGCTTCCTGTCGCGGCTGGCTTCTCGACGGCTTGTCCTCGGCGACATCTTGACGAGTACCGGCGGGTGATTGTGCCCAATTGTCGGGTTCATTTGTAGACCCAAGCCGAGGCCGCGAAGCCGTCTTGGACTGCAAGGCTAATTTTGCCGGCGGCAGAGTTTCGAACGCAGCTCCCGGTAAAGGAGCCATCGATGAGTAACTCTACTTGATTAACGGGCGAGTAGTGGGCGAGTGAGCATCAGTGAGCCCGAGGAGTCGGGACTCGGGACACTCGATCATGTTGGATCCTGCGGCATAGCGAAGGGTGAGGCGCGCCAGGCGAGGCGTTGCCGCTGAACTCGGAACTGGCGATTGAGGCCGAACATTGCGAGTTTGTGAGGGGATCAAATGCTGTCGCCAGATGGTCCTCGTCCTGCACCTCATCGTTGGAAATTTTTGTGGTTGACATTGAGGGAGCTGTCCCGAGTCCTGACATGGCCGAAGAAGCGGTGGGCAGTCCCATGACCTACCTATTGCTGTCTGAGGTGCCTGAGCTGCCCGAGGTACTGGAGCTGCTGCTGCTGACGGTGAGCGCGGGAAGGTGCTGGCGGCAATGCACCCACTTGCCCTATTCGACTGCCTCATCAGCAGCCTGGAGAGTCAGCACACACAGGCGACCTCAGCGCACCTGAGCGCCCGCCTTGCCTACGGCCTCACCGAAACCACATCACGGGCCGAAACCCCCGTCCGCATCAACATCACATCCTTTGCATCAGCATCCAGCATCAGCATCAGCGTTGGCATCGATATTCCGCGTGTCGTTCTCGAATTCCGAATCTCCCGTCTCCAGCAAGCGCCAGAGCGAGTCGCCGCCCCTCTGTCGACAGGCAGTCGTTCAAGCAAACAGCATCAAAACAACCCCCCAAAAGCACTAGGCCGTTCTGGCCCTTGCGCCCGACCCCACAACGCCTCCAACAGTGACGATGACCTCAGCCGACATCTGACCTCGCGCCGGCGACAGTCCAAACGCCTTCCACACATCTGTGGAGAAGACGACACAAAAACACCTGCGCTCGGCCGGGCCAGCCTGTGTGCCGAGCCGCATCGCGTGCGACCTTCGAAATGCCGCTTCTAGACCTGGCCAACGAGCTGCTGGCAGCCGTCGCCCGGTTCCTCGACGCGGACGGCGACATCGACTCCCTCGTCCGTTGCAACCGCCGCCTATACCACCTCCTCGTCGCCGACCTGTACCGACACAATGCCCAGCACCACGAGGGCTCCGCTCTGCGCTGGGCTGCTAGACACGGGCGCCGCGAGACCCTCGAGCGAGCCATCGATACAGGCGTGCGCCTCGCCGACTTCGTCCTGCTGCCCCTTGCGGCCGAAGGTGGTTACCTCGAGATGGCACGCCTGCTGCTCGAACAGGGTGGCGCCGATGTCGCCGTGTCGGATGAGGGAGACTGGCTGCCTCTCGGTGCCGCTGCGCGACAGGGCCACCGTGAAGTCGTCGAGCTTCTGATGGACGCCGGCGCCGACCTCGAGACAGGCTACTTGGGCTGGACGCCGCTCAACGTTGCGGCCAACTCTGGCCACGTGGACGTGGTTCGATATCTTCTCGACAAAGGCGCCGACATGGAACATCGGAGCGAGAGTGGATGGACGCCGCTCAAGTCGGCAGCATGCAACGGCCATACTGCCACCGTCACGCTCCTCCTGCAGAGGGGTGCCGATGTTCGGGCGGCGGCAGATCGCGGTTGGACTGCACTGCACTCGGCCGCCAACTCAGGCCATGGCGACATTGTGCAGCTCCTAATCGACCACGGCGCCGATCCGGCTCTTCCCACAATGGATGGGTGGACGCCACTCACATTGGCCGCCGATAAGGGCAAGACGGATGCTGTGAGAGCACTGCTGTGCAAGGGTGCCGATATCTCACTGGCCTGCGGCAATGGATGGACACCGCTGACGCTCGCCTCGGACAGCGGCCACGTCGACATCGTTAAGCTGCTGCTCGAGCACGGCGCGAATGTCATGTCGCCCTGTAACCACGGGTGGACGCCCCTCAGTCTGGCAGCTGGAGCAGACCGCGCCACGGTGGTCAAGTTGCTCCTGGAACACGGCGCCAACATTGCCGCCACTAATGATGCGGGATGGTCGGCCCTGCTTACCGCTGCAGACAGGGGCCACAGGGATGTTGTCGAGGCGCTCCTCGCACACGGCGCTGACGTGCAGGCACATACACATAGCGGGTGGACGGCCTTGCATGCTGTGGCCGAAAACGGTGATCTCGAGCTTGCCAAACTACTCCTACAGGCTGGCGCCAATCCCATGACCGGCAACCGGAGCGGTTGGACCCCATTTCACATCGCCGCTCACAACAACCGCGCCGACCTCGTACAGTTCTTCATGGGCCACCCGGGCACCAACTTCGTCCAAAAGGACAACAACGGAAGGACCGCAGCGTTTCATGCAGCCATGAGGAACAGCGTGGACGTCCTCGATGTCATGTTGTCTCGGGACATGAACAAGTCGGAGGTTGTAGACGTCGAGGACGACTATGGAACAGCTGCTATAGTTGCAGCAACACGAAACGGCCACGCCGCCGTCGTCCGCAGACTAATTACTGTCTCCAACTACGACATGGCCTCGACCGATATTTTCGGACGCGACTTGTTGTACTGGGCAGAAAGGAGCGGCAATGTCGACCTCCTCGCGATTGTCAAGGAGCACGCCGCGCAGAAAGGCTACGATAGCGAACTACCTTCTGAGACGGCTGGAAACCCCGTCAGATGGGTGGACGACTCGTGCTGGTGCGAAGTCTGCACCAGGTGTACAGTGCTCGGAACGACTTCCTGGGAATGCCCGGATTGCGACGAGGGCTGCTTTCTGATCTGCGCGGAATGCTACGAATTTGGGAAGCGGTGTCGAGACACCACGCACGATCTCGTGCCACATCTTTGCAATCGGATTGAGTAGTCACGGACTTGACTACCGTAAGGCCGAACACTGGTTCTGTCTAGCTTGAGCCCCGAAAGGGGCAGCTAGACTAGGTTGCCTCGTAATTCTAGATGCTGAAGCATCACCTCACTTGCCACGATGCGCGTCACTCAACGTGGTACTCTGGTCTTGTTGATTGCAATACCAAATCAGCTAAATAACAAACACTTCAAGCCAATTACCGCTAATCAGCCGGTGTAGTCGCAAGTCAGATCGTCGCCGTTCGCCTTGCAGTCCGTGATGACCTTGTTGTTGGCGATGATGTCGAATATTTGGGCACCCGCAGGCGTGACCGTGCCAGACGAGCCCTCGGCGCTCGCCTCCGTGAACGTAACCGATCCAAAGTTGGCAAAGGGGATCAGATTGCCGTTCATGATGAAGTCCTCGACGATCCACTCGGCATTTTCCTCGCACAGCTCCGAGGGCGGGTTAGTGAAGTCGTGCGAGATGGTCTGCCCCGTGGTCAGGTTCTCCAGCGTCGCGACGCCAGACGTCGACGTATGGGCCTCGACCGTCATGCGAATCTGGTCGCCCACGCTCATGCCAAAGTCCGGGAAGGCGAACGAGCCATCAGGAATCCACTCGTACCACGCGTCGAAGCGGCCGTCGCCGTAGAAGTCAATGCCCGTCTGCAGGATGGCCCGGCCACACGTGTCACCGTCGATGCCGACCCACGCCGAGGCGGCGGCCCCGGAGCCGCCCGAGGCCTGGGGGACCGTGACGGTGCCGACGACTTTCTTGAAGCCGCTGCCGACCTGCACCGCACCGGCCCAGTTGAGTGAGTAGCTCGTGTGTGTGGAGTTGAGGACGTCGAGGGCCGAGGTCGAGACTTGCTTCTGGTTGAAGCTCGAGCTCCGGACTTGGGTAGGGCGGCGGCGGTGGACACGCGTGAGTTGCTGGGACTGAGACGGGCTGGGGAGGGCGGCAGCGAGGCCGATGAGGCCTGCGAGGAGAGCAATGTACTTCATGTTACCTACAGAAGATTGGACGACTCGTAAAGATGACAAATATGTAGTTCACGTATGAGTATCTACAACGATGCCTGTCTGTGGTCACGACGATCCTCCGGGGCAGGAACACCACGTCAATTTATATCCACATTCGCTGCACTCAGCGGGCACTAGACCTCATCTCGTGCTCTCAGGGGAAGCATAAGGGGTCATTGCGCTTTGCTGCGCCCACAGGACGAAGTCTCGCGACCATGTGGTCTTCCAGACTCAGATGGAACTTCGAGTCGTCCGCGATTCACTGCTGCCGGAGCACGGCACTGCACGTGGTGTATGTTGGTCGGAAGTCATCTTCAGTCGGCCTCAACTCGGGGCAAAAGACCGTGCAGGAAGCAGGTGGGTCTACCGGTCCTTAAACCTTCACCTTCCTTTTCACTGCCCTTCGTCTGCAAAGCTTAGATGTCACGTCCGTACTGTATGCTCGGTCACGAATGGAGAAACCACGAGCATAAGGTCTTGCCGCTGCCGCCGTCAGTGGACGGGTTGGGTCGTCTGAGCGGCAGTGAGATGCCGCGCCGCGCCGCGCGGTGGGGGGCAAATGCCGCAGAACGGCACCGGGCACCGTATCCATGGGTCTGGGCAGGGGGCGGCGTGTCTGGCTTTGGCAGGTCACCCGGCATCTAAACGGCGTGACTGCGGAGCGGGCGGCTGCACTCGTCGGCATACAGACGGACGGACTGACTGGGGCCGGACATCACGCACATGGTGGGGGGCGGCTCACACTCATTCCAAGCGAACGCTGTGGGGGACCACATGGGGCATCTGAGAAACACTGAAGAGAATCACCGTGTCATGCGTTTCTTTCACTGCAAATGGCTTAATTGCGGTGCCATTAATAGATATGCCGAAGCCAAGCCATGTGTTCGGCCGCTCGCGATGATGGCACTGGGGCACTGGGACTTGGCTCCCAAACCCTCTATGTTCGGCAGTGCATACAAACGTGCGACGAGACTTCGCGCAATTTGGCATTTCATTTACGAAAAATATATAAGTACAGTACTGTACTGTAACAATGTCTAACCGTCAGAAGGAAGCTCATATGCCCGCAACATGTAGAACGGAGGTAAATGGCATCTCGGCATCCTGAGGCCTTTGGCCGTCACAGCAGCCCTCAGTTGTCGACACGGTCAATGTCTCGATCCCATGGACGAATGGCCAAGTTTGGCTTCCAAAAGCAGCTTCCATGGCACACAGAGTTCATAATTGTACGCGGAAACTTACGATACGCCTTTCGCAAGGTGTTGCACAAGTACCCAAGCCAGTACTGTACAAAACGGTCCGGCAAGTCCAATTCTCATCGACAACGGTCTTATAGAGTCTGAGGATGCGTCCAACCAACCACCCTCACACACGGTAAACAGCAGCGCAAGCGACCCGTGGCACGGGCCACAATGCTTGTTTGGCGTAGAATCTGTCGGCACTGTCAGCTACGGACTCTGGACCAACTCAATCCTGCACGAGCGAGCACGGTAGACGAGGCGCCCGCTGACGACACGGCGCGCGGTGTTTAGACATAAGCGCAACTACTCATCACAGATCAACAGAGTGGTCGAATCAAGTGCGCTTTGTACACTTGGGATCAGGCCACGGCCGGTCATGACAGAGGGCAAAGACCGCGCCATGTTGGCCTTGCACGGCCAACGGCGGATAACGCGCGCTGCTTCTGCCACATGCACAGAGCTTACTAACTCTGCGTTGCACGACCGATATGGAAGGACGTTGGTAGGTGGTGTGAGGGCAATCGGCATCATTGGGGACCAGCGACCGGTGCCGGACCAGCCAGACGGCTGGTTGCCCGTACTGTTGAGCAGAGCCAACAGTGCGGCGGCCTAACGGCTCTTTCGTTGCTCCGGTCATCGCACACACACACACACACACACAGGACAGTGGTATGCTCTGCTTCGTCCGCTGGGGCTCCAGTTATGTCCTCTGTAATGCAATATGTGTGTGCTGTGCAGCTTCAGCGCTCGTATTTGTGCAATGGTCATGTGCACTGTGGTCAGCCTGACTTTGTGTATGCCGTAACACACCGGCGTCCTCTCGGTTCGTCGGCCGATCTGGTGGACTCCGTGCCCCGGCAAAGCATCGCCAGGGAATGAAGCCAAGCAATGAAGCCAAGCCGTTTGAACGCCTGAGTAACGCTCCGGCCGGCACCAACAGCACCTCCCGGTCTCCCTACGCGTTGTCTCGGGCAAGGTGGTTTCAGCTGTCACTAACTGATCTCCTTACCTTGTGCCACGTGCCCCCACGACGCGTGTTCAAAGGGCACAAAGTAGTTGACTTGCTTCGTGCATGCGTACGGCGCCCGTCTGGTCTATCCTGGGCGTAGGGGACTCCGACCAGAAACAAGCGCGCCGTCACGGCCGCTGGCAACGCCAAGGCAACGTCTCTACGTGTGATCTCTGCTCAGGTCGGACAACATGAAGCCTCCAGCAACCGGAGCCTTCGGCGCGGTACCACTGCGCGCTCCAACGGCTGAAGGGTGTGCAGCGCCCGCTCGGGGCCGTGCATCTGGTGCCTGTCGTCGGACTCCTGACGACGCCCGCCGTCGGCAACAACCCACACGGAAGTTCCATGAACCCCCACAGCGGGCCGCTGTTGGCGTGGTGTCCGAACGCCACAAAATGTGTAATCCTTCGAGCGGACCAACACGTACAACGCTGGATCCCGTCCTACGCGCGTTATAATGAGTGGCCTGCCGCGACGGCATTGGTTGGCACTCACCACTCTTGGCTTCAGCCGTCGGAAAGGGTCATGATGCCCTGACGGGTGACGACCACTGACGGCCAGCGAATTGGAAACGGCTCTCATTTGAGGATGGTCACTTCTCATGGCAGGGTGTCTTGGCAATATTTGCACACCATGGTTGGCGCCTCACTGTACCTCTGAGGCATCCCTCCGACTTGGGCGCATCTCAGCTTGGCAGAAGACCGGCTTTCGCCACCAAGCCTTGCCAGATGCCAAAGAACGGATATTCGTGTAGAGCGTCAAGTCGGGCGTTGGCTGGTTTCTCCAGGCGCCCGTTGACTCGGCGCCCAGACGAACTTCAGCATTGACCGTGTGTGACAAATTCTGAGCGGGAAATGCACGTCAACGGCTCTCACATTCACGAGGCCTGGTTTGGGAAGAGCCATGAATCGCTTGGCCATTGGTACTGTACTCTGCAGTACTGTATTTTGAGCAGCATGAGTGTGCGCGTCCTCACTTCATGTTCGCGGATTGCCTTGTGCTACCCACGTCTCAACTCCCGAGGGGCATGTTGGGAACTCGACTCTGTCCAACGCAGACCCACCCATTTCCCGTTCCTTCCGCCAGACTTTTTTGGTGGTTCAAGGTGCCGAATTGCCACGGCCTTCAGCTGTTCGAGGGCCGTGCATCCCTCACGGTTCACTGGCGCAACAGTGACAGCAATTGTTGTCGTCACGTCCATGCCAGGCACTCCGAAAATAACACTTGAACTTCCTCGTGAGATGTTCAACCATGACGATCTTGAAGTAAATTTGGCTTTTGCCTGGATCCTTGGCCTGAGCCATCCCAGGGGCGCGGCAAGAGCTTGTGCAGTTCCGTTAGGCCAGGGACTGCTATCCTGGACCAGATCACAGGCATACAATGCAGCACGTTGGGGCATTGTGGTACGGTACCTTGCACTCAGGCTCGACTCAATCTGAAATGGGAAGACGTGACTTGTTGGAATCAAGCTCAATAGAGACAACAATCGGCTCATAACATGTCAAGGATGCCAAGCGAGGCGAGGCCTATCACAGCCTCAACGATTTGGAGATCCGGGGTCCGGGGATCTCAACTTCTCCACAACCCCAGATTCTTGGTGAGGTCAAGGTCGAGGCCCCAGACCGGGGGCACGGCCCGGTGGGGGCTTCCGGTCCCGAACAGTCGACACCCATTGGCATTTGGGATCGGTCGCTGACGGTAGAGTACGGCAGCGGTGTACCAGGCTGTTAGTAGGTCTGAGACGGGCGTTTCTTTACCGAGGGCCAACTCGCATACGTACAATAGCCTCCTATGTGACCCTGGCTATATATCGAGTGCCTCTGGCACGCCTCTGTGCCGATCTTACTTCACCCTCGAGCTCCGGTCTTCAACCTCACAGCCCTCGAGCTGCCTTCAGCGAGTGCTCTTGCCGCAGTCCAAGATCGCAAGCCAGGTTCGCGAGCCTAGTAGACGCACGCAGCGTCCTGCGCCATGGTAGCCGCCGATAGCAGCTCTGCCGAGCAGAAATTCGAGCACGACATCATGTCCGACTCCAAGCCAACCGTGGAGAAGGTCTCGCCGACTCCCTCGGCGACGGCCGATGCCGACGAGGACGACAGAAATGTCAAGCTGAGCACAAAGACGATCATGGCCGTGACCGCCGTCTGCTTGATCTACTTTGCCCAGCTGACTATCCTGGTGGGAGCCGGCTCTGTGAGTAGCTCCTGCACTTCCTATATAAGCAGTGAATTGACCTTATCCTTCACCTGCAGCAAGGCCAAGCCATTTCCGGCCACTTCGGGGCCACAGACAAAGTCAGTTGGCTGACAGCGCCCATCACCATCCTTACGGTCGTCCTATGCCCCATGGTTTCGCAAGCCTGCGACTTCTGGGGACGCAAATGGTTCCTCACCCTCTTGGTCTTCTGCGGCGCCATCGGCAGCCTCATCGTCGCCCAAGCAAAGTCAATGGGGATGGTCATCGCAGGCGTTAGCATCGTCGGCGTGTCCTTTGGCAACCAGCCGCTCCTCCACGCCGTCGTGTCCGAGGTGCTGCCACGCCGGTGGCGAGGCTATGGCCAGGGAGCATGCGCTGCTGCCAACTCGCTGGGGTGCATCCTCGGCCTGGTGGTGGGCGCGGCGCTGAACAGGACGAACGACCCCACGAAGGAGGGTTTCCGCAACTACTTTTACATGACCATGGCGATCCACATCGTCGCGGGCTTGCTGACTCTCGTGGGATACAATCCACCCCCGACAACGAAGCAAAAGGAGTATCGCGGACGCACCATGGACAAGCTCAAGAAGCTCGACTGGGCTGGCTTCGTCCTGCTTGCGGCCGGCCTGACCCTCTTCTGCCTCGGGTTGTCATTCTCGCAGAACCCTTACCCGTGGACGGATCCGCATGTCTGCGCGACATTTGCGGTCGGTATGGCATTCGTCGTGGCCCTCGTCGTCTATGAGACGTGGTTCACCAAAGAGGGCATGTTCCACCACGGACTCTTCCAGATGGGCCGCAACTACGCTATCTGCTTGTTCTGCGTCTTTACCGACGGCATCTCCTTCTTTGCGGCAAATCTTTACTTTGCCTTTGAGGTATGTTTACGCAAATCGAAGCTGTTATCGGCTGGTAGGGGCAGATTCGCAACCTTTTCACTAACACTCGAGCCAGGTCAATGTCCTGTACGAGACGGATGCCATGCTCATCAACGCCAGACTCATCGTCTGGTTCGTTGCATGCATCTTCGCCGCCATGGGCACGGGGCTGTGGTGCTCCAGATTTCGCAATGCTCGCTGGCTCACCGTTGCTGCGCTCCTCCTCATGGTCATTTTCTTTGCCGTCATGGCCAAGGCGGACCGCTCGACCAGCAACGCGGTTTGGGGATACCCGGTGCTTCTGGGTTGGGGTCTCGGCATGTCCATTACGACCCTCGTCACTATCGCTCAACTGTCGACGCCTCCAGGTTTGATCGCCCTTGCCAGCGGTCTGATCATCTCCGTGCGGTCGATTGGTGCTACCGTCGGTATCGCCGTCTACAATGCCCTCTTCGTGGCCGAGCTTTCCCACATGGGCGACAACATTGCCCACGCTGCCATCTCCCATGGCCTCAACCCGCAGTTCCTGCCCGAGTTCATCGGCGCATTGAACACGCGCAACGAGACGGCCATGGGGATGATTCCCAACGTGACGGAGGAGATGGTCGAGGCCGGTGTTGATGCGCTGGTGGGCACCTACAATGGCGGATTCAACCACGTCTGGATTGCCGGTGCGTGCTTTGCCGCCGTGGCCGCCACCGCTGCCTGCTTCCTGTACGACCCAGTGAAGGAGTTCAACATGCGCGTGGATGCCCCAATGGAGGAGAAGAGCGAGAACGACTCTGTAATCTAAACGTCAAGCGGTGCACCCTCTTCAGCCTTCCGAGGCTGTTCGGGCTCGCAACGTTAACGATCAATGATGCCATGCAGGATGCAGTACATATGCACGTTACTCATGGTCGCGCGTCTGGCTGCTACCCGCGGGACCTAAAAACTTAGCCTTACGCAGTGTATAGGATAGCCATGTTCAGATTGTGTACCAACAAGCTCTCGGATCCTTGCGTGCACTGACACCCTTTGTGACCTCTTTGACGTTGCTTGCGATTTTTGACGCGCTGTGATCGACCAGACGAAGGCGATTGCGAAAGAAGAATGTTGACGACCTCTCGATACGCCATGCAAGCCCGTACCTTGGTGATCGCGAGTCACGACCGTAACATTGAGACCGGCAGCGTAGCTCGAAGGAACGAAACACAGTTAGCCCTGCGATATGGTCGGCTTGAGGTAGGAAGCTCACCCGAGTTGGTTGACATTCTGGCTCCAACCATAAGTGTAGACCAGACGGGTTCTGCATTGACCGGGCATGAGGCCATTGACTTACATGTTTGTCGTACCACCTTGGGGGCAAGGTTGCGCGTTTGATGCGCAGTGGCAAAGCGCCAGTCGCGCATCACGAATGTAATGTTGAGCACGCATGTGCGACTACCCATCACCAGCGCTGAACCCTGCGGAAAGCCTCTGTTAGTAGACTCATTTGGTGCTCGCTGCCCGCATATCAGGGAAGTCATCGCACAGGGAGAAGAAGTCTACCCGCCTCGATCCATGTCGACTGAGACATTTACACGCGACACGCAGTTGAACGCGCCTCCACCGACGCGACCGAACTAAATTACCGCAGAGCATTGAAGCAAACCCTTCTCCCTTTCCGCGTGTCCCCTTGAACCAGACGATAGTGATGCGCCTGCCAATTGGGGCGACGGGAATTCGTGGCCTGCGGGCTCTTTGCAGCTTGGCAGGAGATTCCAACAGCGTGTGTGCTAATGAGGAACTATCGGCAGTATTGGCTGGGCAAATTGTATTCAATCTGCGATGGGCGAAGAGTCATAGCATGCCAAGACGCGCCAACCTCTTCATGCTGTCTCGGGTTTGGCCCGGCGTGCCAACAGTCCAGGCCAATTAAGACTCCCAAACACTTCGGCGGAAAGGGAGAACCAGGCACCAGTGACACCGTCAGTATCACGGCGAGCATCATGTTGTTACCCTAGAGTAGACTTCGACTCCTTGAGCCAAGCTGAAGGTGACCAAGCATCGATCTTAATCAAAGTGACCCTATACTCAAGCAAAGTCTAGTATCTCATGAACGCATAGGCAGGCGTCTCTTGCTGTGTTTAGGCATTGTCTCTCAGTAAACAAACTTCCATGTTGGCTGGGCGTGGAAGCGACTCGACACAAACCCAACAAAGTACACTCACGGGTAAACGGTCCATAGAGGCAAGCTCCAAGTCGTATAGATCGAGCAACTACAACCACGGGCGTACATGTCCGAGAACAGTATCACTCTGCTGAATCTTGGAATCCACTGACTACCCATATCATTGAAAAGGCCATACTTCAAGGCAAGGTCTACGCGCATCGGCAATATCGTGAGCAACTGGTCACACGACCTTCCCAATAGGTCACAGCACAGCCTCCAGAGTCAAATGCGACGTCATTGTCGACCACTGGGCCTCATCTATGAGCATAATACTCTACCGCATTGGGGGCCGTTGCCGTCCAGCCGCCAACCTTAGCCCATAGCAACAGAGACGACAATTCCCACCGACGCATTGCGCAGTGGAATCACGATGTCCGTCCTGTAGGTGATGCATCGCCCATTATTGATCTATGCAAACGTCGATACCCATAGTCGTCTACGTAGTCGCATCAATTGATCGAGTCTACGGTCGAAGCGCACGCTTCTCCCAGCTGGACCTCGCAAGTTGAGAGGGACCTTGCGTTCCAACCACCCAAGAACAGACTTTCGGCGGGCTGAGCCCGCCGTCTCAAGCACGCGCGGTAATGCAACGGCCATCTTCCACCCGGAAGGGAAGCAGGGCACGGAGAGATCAGCAACGCTCTGAGACAAAACGCCCGTCTCCTGGCGCGGTCACATGTCTCTCGTAGCCCAGGGATACAAGACATGCGCAGATGTCGTTAGCTCGGCCGAGCACTTGGCAAACGGGACCTGGTCTTCCTGCTTGAAATCATCGTCGTCACCATTAGTGGACAACAATAATCATCACATGCAGATACCATATCCCCACAAACTCTCTGAATACCATACGGAGAACGCCATTGTCGCAGCCAAGCTACGGCTTTGGGCCGCTTTCGCGCCGTGTGTAAGCGGAGCGGTTGGGAAGAGTCGGGGACAGTAAGTACACAGAAGAGAAAGTATCGCAGGCAAGACGTATTCGGTATGATTGACAGAGATAGCAAAAAGTGTCCCACAGGAGGCCCAAGGGTGCTGATTGCGGCAGCCCCATAGGAGACTGCAGACCTCACTCGGGCCGTGGCCGTGTTTGTAAGCCCTAATGACTTGACTTCGGCTTGAGTCATCGCCCAGACCAATATGAGCCAGTCACTCGAGGCGGCTGGACATTCCATGGCATTCTGCTGGCTGAACGGTGGGCAGCCGCGGCCCAGTCGAACTGTACGTTTGTGGACGTCCCCTGTAGCAGTGTGCGTCTGTGACGACTCCTTGGGTTCGAACTCGTAGCTCACACACGTAGCTCTGACGCCAAGCACAAACACAGAGGTACAACGATTCCTGAGAGCGATAGCCACCGGTAATGCTAGCTGAGTTGCGTTACTAAACCAAGAATAACATTGTTCAGAATGTCAATTCGATGGAGTTGTGTGGCGATTCCCGGAGCCGTGGATCCCGTAATACGGAGTCATGACGATCTCGATGTGACCAAAAGTCGACGTTACTGATCCTGCAATTTGCTCTTCAGCCATTCTGGGATCAGCCGCCCCCAAATACGCAGCTGTTGTTATGGTCCAATCTGCTGGAGCCAGCTCCGGGTGACGAAACATCCGCGCCGGTCTCGTGCCCACCGATGCGAAGCAGTCAGTGGCTGGTGGAGGGCAGTGGTAGCATCATGCCGTCCGGAAAATCAAGTGCCGGGTCGAAATTACACAGTGGCGCATCTGCTATGTCCTCGAAATTACCATTTGATGAGAGCTGCTTGGCTTCGACGCCGGGCTATCGCTCTGGTGGCCGAGCTGTCTCGCGTCTATTGCGAAGCATTGTTGATATCGACGATCACCACACGTGGTTTTCGCGTCCTCCCGAGCTCTTACAAGCTGTACGTACTTGCAGTTCTCGCGGGTTCAGCTCATCTCTGAGTCCTGAGACATATGCAGCGCTCACGGCTAGGCAGTGGCGCTGACTGTCTCACCTCCAATACCAGCAACGCTCCGTCAGGGCGAACCTTCAGAGCAGGCGCATTCCATACATCCGTTCCTTCCGCCATGATGAAGCTTCAGGCAAAGGCAGAGAGTGGCTGTTTGGTGGTGTTTGGTGGAGCTGCCTCCAGCCATCTCCAGCAAAACGCCCGCCTGGTGTCGCAGATACTGGAGCTCGGCGCGCAGGCACAAGACCGGAAACGGAATGCAGATTGCCACCAACAATCGGCTCGAGAATGCCAGAACGATTGAGTTTTGCGAAATCAGTCGCGACGAGGCCGGTTGCGGGAAACGGGTAGAAACATGAATCGAGGTAAATAAGACGGTCCTCACTCCGACCGAGGACACAACTCTTCTCTCACTCCTCCATCCCAACGCATCCATTCATTCGCTACAGAAGAGCCAGCTCTCCGCCAGTTTCTCAAGTCCTCATCCACCTCCAAAGACCACCACCCCAAAACCACCGTCAATATGCGTTTCATCACCGCCGTCATCGCCCTCGCTGCCACCGCGGCTGCCGCCCCTGAGGTCAAGAGGTGGCCCCCCATGGACCAGATCTCCGTCAGCGAGGCCAACGATGCCTGCGGCAACAACCTCGAGCTCAACTGCTGCAACAAGGAGACCGACCAGGCTGCCGGCCACGGTGATGTCTCCAAGAACCCTGGTGTTGTTGGCGGTGTCCTCGATGGCCTGAGCCTCTTCGACCAGTGCTCGCAGCTCTCCGTCGCTGCCCGTAAGTTACCCTCACATTGGAAATACTCGAATGGCTCTAACATACATCTCAGTCATTGGTGTCCAGGACCTGCTCAAGTCCCACTGCACCGGCAAGGTCGCCTGCTGCCAGCGCTCTCCCTCGAACGTAAGTTTTCGCTACCATACCATGTACAGTTTGTTAGTTACTAACACACTTATCAGGCTGCTGGCGGTCTCGTCAACCTGGCCCTGCCCTGCATCGCCCTCGGCAGCCTTATCCAGTAGAGTGTATACAGCGCTCGACGCGGTGGAGGGGTGGATGCGGATCCCGAGGCAGTCGTACACTTTATCCTAGACAATACACGTTGTACTTGGGCCTTTGGTCCGTTTTATATTATTTAATACCGAACCTTGATTTGGAAGTGAGCTTTCTCCCCGCCTGTGGTGCGTATCTGGACCTTGACCTCCATGTTGCACGAGCGCATCCCCGGCAAGCAAAATATACGAGCTCAATTCGCTCTGCTCGCTGGCAAGCCGGATACTGGCTTCAGAGCTGCTCCTCCAGGAGGACAGTTGCTCCCCACTTTTGAGACTCTCGGAGGCTGGACGGCTGCGCGGGTTGTCATACGCCACCCGTCGATCTTGTCAATTTTGGCACATTAAATGCCGAGTTCGTACAGCCGCGGAAGTGCTGTTCCCTCATCGTCCGGGCAAGAACCAAGACGCCTCCGTCGAACGCGATGGATGCCCCTGCCGGCAACGGGTGAGCAATCGGGCCAATGCGAAAGTGTGACAAAGTTCCGGAGCCTTTCTGGTGCTTTGGAGCGTGGACGTTGAAGCTAATATCCGGCGTGGTGCAATGGCCAGTCACAGGCGACCCTGCGTGCAATGCTTCTTCATGGGGTTTAGCGGCGGACCGGCGGTAAGGCGGCTGTCCAGACCATGGTGCCCTGGGTTCACCTTCGTATTGCTTCGTACAACACAGCTTGCGCAAGTCGCTTCGTGGCCCAGCATGAGTGCCACTCCCCTTGCCGTCATTTTCAACCGAACACATTCAAGGGCTGACGATTCGGTGACTATCGCGTGGACGACCAGCAGGCAGAGCCGGGGTCGAATGTAGTCGTCATCCATGCCGGGTCAGGCTGCATCCCAACTCCTAGCTCAATCGGGCGCCAAGCCAGGACTCGCTTTCTCTTTCGCGGCACTTGAATTAGAAGCAACTTGCAGCCAATATGTTGCAGGAACGCGCGCGATGAATCCCGAAACGTACTGGTGCAAACGGCTTCATGATGCCAACTTGCAGACCCATGGGTGGCTGTGGTGGTTCTCGTGCGCAACATGAACACGACGCCTCGTCGCCGGTGTTCTGGCGGCCAAATACCTGCCCCTGCCTCTGCCCATGAAGAAACATGTTGAACCCCAAAATTTGATGAACAGATCATGTATAATATGATTTCCTGCTCCTGCTGGTGAGAGTTGGTAATCCGCATCCATCTTCAGACGACATTCAAGCTGCGAGTTGTTTCGACACCGACATAGCATACGAACCTCGCTGACAGAAGACGGGTCAAAACATTCTGACCACTCTCTCGTATCCATATCTAGCACATCTCCAACTCTGTCATACTCGGTAGCCTTCAGCATGGTCGTATCAAGCCGGCCCCCGAAAAACCGCTTCGTCGCGGCGATGCGCAAGATCTACAACCCCGTGGGTTTCAGCAAAGGCTACAACTTCGTCCTATGGTTCATCTTCTCCGGCGCGATGCTGGGCTTCTGCCTCGCACGCTTCATGTACCTCAACTACGACGGCGTCTACTGTCCCCGCCAGGCGGGCGTGAGCGACGCGGCGGTGCCCGGCGAGTGCTGGACGTACGACAGCAAAACCTACCTGCTCGTGGGCATCAAGATGCACCTGTACTGCATCCTGCCGGCCGCGTTTCTGGCTTGCTTCCAGTTCGTGCCGGCGATCCGACACAGGCTCATCCTCGCCCACCGCCTCAATGGATATCTGATTCTTCTGCTGAGCGTCCCCGGGACTATAGGCTGCGTCATGGTCTCCAGGCATGCCTTTGGTGGTGGCGTTGACATTCAGGTTATCGTCGGCCTCATGTCCATTATGTTCCTCGGCGCGCTGGGCATTGCGCTGTACAATGTCAAGATGCTGCAGCTGGAGCAGCATCGCGCGTGGATGCTTCGAGCGTGGTTCTACGTACGGTTGAAATGCCTCCGAGTTGCAGCCTTGTGACTGCCACTGACTGGTACTAATCTAGGCTGCGAGCATCATCACCTGCCGAATGATCATGGGCCTCTCCGCAATCATCACGTCGATGCCATCCATGGGACCGTACTACTACGCCAAGCCGTGCGACCTTCTCGCGACCTTCTTCAACAGCACCAACGCATTGGAGGCCAAATATCCGGTATGCAAGTCGGCGGGGGCGTGGGCGGCCGTCAAGGCAGACCTAAGTGGCGGCGACGAATTGACAAGCGCGTCGCTCAATATGACGTTTGGAATGGCGCTGTGGCTGGCGCTTGCTCTTCATGCTATTGGCATCGAGTTCTACGTAAGATGCGATGTGACACTTCGATTGAGCGAGTGTTGCTTGCTAACAAAGACCACAGCTGCAGCTTACGCCTGCCGAGTCTGAGCGCCTTCGCAACGTGTCGTACCAGCGACAGCTTGAGGCGGGACACAAGAACCCTGGGCGATCTGGATTGACGGCCGACCGAATCGGAGATTCTGCGCTATGGATGCCCAGCCGCGACTGCGAAAATGACCTCGGTTCCAATATCGCGTTGGTAGACCAGTCAAAGAACAGTGCAGCAACAGCGCAGTCTTCGACAACTGCGAGCTAAACTGCCAGAGTCGCCAAGTCGCGGGATTGAGGATGGCTAGCTATGTTGACCAGGACGGAGTTGCTACTCCGTTGCTAAGCTCAGGCTCGTATAGATCATGCATAAGTTGTCACCGCAGCTGTCGAGCCCGTCCATCCTGCATGCATGCGATGGACATTCCGTGACACATGAATTGGGTTCTTGAATCGTGACTGTCAGTCGGTGCATTGCCAAGTGGAGCGCCGCCGTTGTCGGCGTGGAGACGAACCGCCCGGGGGCTTGACGCCATGCCGGTGCCACGGGGCGGCCGTCGAGGTTAACGTCGGCACCTGCTCACGGTCCAGGAGTTGCCGCCTCCTTTCGCTCGGGGGTATAAGCTCTACGTGACCCTCTGTACCGGAAGCCATTGCCGGGCCGTTAAAGGAAACGGCTTGGTGCAGAAGTCAGGACAAAAGATCCGCCCCCGGTTTCCCGCCCGATCCAAACTCTCAACTCCAGACCAAACCCCACCATCCCCGCCTTCGGGAAGCGCTCCAGCTGTGTGAAGCTTTTGCGAGCACGATGGCGTCCGACTCTCAGGAAGCGATTGTCATTGTCGGGTACGTTGTCCCAGTCTATGAGTGCCTTTGATACCGCAAGACGTTTCCAGTGCTGACGGGCAGCACCGCGTCGCCAGGGCGGGCATCATCGGCCTCGATGTCGCCCTCGTTCTCGCCGAGCGCGGACTCGGACCCCGCATCACCGTCTACGCGGAGCACCTTCCGGGCGACACCTCGCCAAACTACACCTCGCCGTGGTAAGCAGCGACGATGCCCCTGAACGGCATGCTAGGGATCGTGGATTGACACAAGACACGCAACCCCCGCAGGGCCGGGTGCAACTTTTCTGGCATCTCGGGCAGCGACAAGAACGCGCTCCGATGGGACAAGCTGGGCTACGCGCACCTGATGCGCCTGGCTGCCGAGCGCGGGCCCGAGGCGTACGTGAAGCGGACGCATTCCGTCGAGTACTGGGACTCGGACGCGCCGCGAGACAAGATCCGGGCCATCTCCGAGTACCTTGAGGATGTGCGCGCTCACCCCTTTACCCTTCAATCGAAGGGGGCAAGACAGTACGTAGTTGGCTGACGTTTCGTGTCTCGCGCGTCATAGTTTCGCGTCATCCCCGCCGACGAGCTCCCATCGGGAGTCGAGTACGGCCTCTCCGCCACGACGGTGACCGTCAACGCGCCCAAGCACATCGAGTACTTGTTCAGACGGCTGCGCGACCAGCACGGCGTGCGCTTCGTGCGGCGCAGGTTGGACTCGATCGACGCGGCGTTTGCGAGCCCTGCGACGAGGGTCGTCTTCAACTGCACGGGCAATGGGGCGCGCACGCTTCCCGGCGTCGAGGACAGCAAGTGCTTTCCCACGCGCGGGCAGGTCGTGCTGGTGCGCGCGCCGGCCGTCAAGAGCAACGTGATGCGCCACGGGCGCGGGTACGAGACGTACATCATTCCGCGACCGTATTCGAACGGCAACGCGATTCTGGGCGGGTACATGCAAAAGGGAGTCTTGTATGTGTTCATGTTCCCCTCCCTTTGGCCTTCGCCCTTGGCCCTTTAAGCCGGCATCGCCACCATCGCACCCCCTTTATTCCTCCAGCAAATCGCGTGGCTAATGGCTCTGTCTCAGCGACGCGTCGACGTACGCGCACGAAAGCGAGTCCATCGTCTCGCGCACGACGGGGTTGAGCAGCGAGCTGCGGGAGGGCGGGCTCGAGGTCCTCGCTGCGTTTGCGGGCATGCGGCCGTCGCGGGAGGGCGGCACTCGCGTCGAGCGGGAGGAGAGGCGCGGTCGGGCCCTGGTGCACAATTACGGCGCCGGAGGCACGGGGTTCCAGGCCGGCTATGGGATGGCACTTGACGCGGTTGAGGCCGCCGACGATGTGCTGCGGCAGCTGAAGAGCGATGGACCGCGATCGCGGCTGTAAGTGAGGGAGCACAATTTCGCTAGGGGAATTTCTGCAATAGTAGAATATTCTACGCAAAATCACGGGAATTTGCTAGCCGGGTCTGAGATCAAATGTGACATTTGGTGACCACAATCTTTGTGATTCCAACGAGCGTTGTCCATCTAGGGTAGTGCCCGGATCGCGTCCTAACAGGAAGATGTGACTTGGCCATGGCATGTCTCCTGTGCCATCACCAGCCCTTCTGCCTACCACAAGGCGAGAACATACAAATGAGCTCTGGAAGGATAAAAATGCAATAAAAAGTACGTCGTCCTTTGTCAACCATGCGTACTGCGGAATATTGCCTAAACACGCCGCTGAGGCTCGGAGATAACTCGCCGTCGCCACACTGAAATGCCCCGCAGACCTGCCTATTTCAGGGGCCGGGGACCGGAGCGGGAGCTGGTGCTGATTCCCCCCCGCACTCGGGCTCCTCCGGCGGGCGCCCGTCCAGCCCGTCCAGCACGGGTCCACAGGGGCAGCAGGTTCTTGTGTCATTGCCGAGGGACGCCCTCCGTGCCCGCCGCCCGCCATGGATGGACAAGGTAGGTAAGTAGACCTCGCAGACTACTGACCTCACTCTGCCCGCATTGCAACCAACGTCGCCGCCAGGAGCAGAGCGTGTGTCACGACATTTTTCATCGTTCCCTTCACAGCTGGGGGTTGGTTACACGAGTGACACGACACGACACAACAAGAGAGTCAAGGACAAGACAAGACAAGACAAGACAAGATGCCGCAGACCACGGCCGCGCTCTACCCGGAGCCCCGGCCCGACATGTGGAAGTTCCCCTCGCGCCGGAGCGTCGTCCATAGTACCGACGGCATCGTCGCCTGCACGCAGCCCCTCGCTGCCAAGTGCGGCCTCGAGGTGCTGCGCGCGGGTGGCAACGCGGCCGTACGTCTCATCATCTCTTCCGGTCTTGCGTGGCGTTGCTGGAAGCTTGAACTGTCACTGACTTGATTCACAGGACGCCGCCGTGGCAGTTGGTGCGTACTAACACCCGTTCCTCCGGAGTCTTACAACCACAATGAGCTCAAGAGAGGAAAGGAGAGAGAGAGAGAAAGACAGAGCGCTAACACGTATCTACCCGCACCAGCCGCTGGCCTCAACATGACGGAGCCCTGCTCCACGGGCATCGGCGGCGACATGTTCATCCTCTACTGGGACGCCGCCACCAAGAAAGTCAGCGCCATGAACGGCTCCGGCCGCTCGGGCGCCAACTGCACACTCGAGCGCATCCGCGCCGACCTGGGCGCCGACTCGCCCAGCTCCAACCTCACCGAGATCCCCATGAAGAGTGTCCACGCCGTCACCGTCCCCGGCGCCGCCGCCGGCTGGGTTGACACCGTCGAGCGCTTCGGCAGCGGCAAGGTCAGCCTGGAGCAGGTCCTCAGCCCGGCCATTGCGCTCGGCGAGAAGGGCTTTCCCGTGTCCGAGGTGGCGGCCTACTATGTGCGTATCACTGTCCCTGCCCCTGGCCCCCTTCTCATTGTCAAAGGGGGCGACTTTTTGCGATGAGAGAACTGCAAGAGACGACTAACAAGCGTCGATGTCCTTAGTGGAACGTCTCCGAAAAGCACATCCGCGAGGCGTCGCCCAACTTCGCCGAGATGCTCAAAAAGGACCCCTCCGCCGCGTCGGGGGTCCGCGCCCCGCGCGCCGGCGAAGTCATGAAGAACCCGACGCTCGCGCAGACGTTCCGTGCGCTCGCCGCCGAGGGCAAGCCGGGCTTCTACGCGGGCCGCGTGGCCGAGGAGCTGGTGCGTGTGGTGCGCGACCTGGGCGGGCACCTGGAGCTGTCGGACCTGCAGCACCACCTCGAGGCCGGCAGCGAGCCCGTGGCGCCCATCTCGCTCGCCTTCAGCGCGCAGGGGCTCGGGCGCGAGCGCGGCGTGGAGCTGTGGGAGCACCCGCCCAACGGGCAGGGCATCGTCGCGCTCATGGCGCTCGGCATCGTCCAGGAGCTGGAGCGCCAGGGCAGCATCCCCGTCTTCGGGCCCGACGACTTCAACTCCACGGCGTATCTGCACGCCATCATCGAGGCGCTCCGGCTGGGCTTCGCGGATGCCCACTGGTTCGTCACGGACCCCAACGTCACGCCCGTGCCGACCGAGGGGCTCATCTCGCAGGCGTACCTTGCCGAGCGGGCCAAGCTGTTCGACCCGAAGCGCGCGGCGCCGAGCCTGCACCACGGCGAGCCTCCCGCCGGCGTGTCGCCCGCGCTCCGCAGCAGCGACACCGTCTACTTCACCGTCACGGACGCGCAGGGCAACGCCGCGTCCTTTATCAACTCCAACTACGCAGGCTTCGGCACAAGCATCATCCCCAAGGGGTGCGGCTTCACGCTGCAGAACCGCGGCGCCAACTTCTCGCTGGATGCGGCGCACCCGAACCGCCTCGAGCCGCGCAAGCGGCCCTACCACACCATCATCCCGGGCATGGTCACCAACCTGGCCGACGGGTCGCTGCACTCGACGTTTGGCGTCATGGGCGGCTTCATGCAGCCGCAGGGCCACGTCCAGGTGCTGCTGGGCCAGCTGATCGCCGGGCTGGACCCCCAGCAGGCCCTCGACGCGCCGCGCGTGTGCATCGGCGCGGGCATCCCTGAGGACGGGAGCAGCACCGAGGTCGAGTGGACGGTCAACATAGAGGAGGGCATGCCGGCCGAGACGATCGAGGGCCTCCGCCGACTGGGCCACAAGGTCGAGGTGGTCGGCGGCGCGGGCCGAGGCTTGTTTGGCCGCGGCCAGATCGTGCGGCAGACGGTCGATGCGGTCGACGGGACGTTTGTGTGGTCGGCGGGCAGCGACATGCGGGCGGACGGCGCGGCGTACCCTGCGTAAATACTTGGGTAGGCTGGGCGAGTCGGTTGTTCAACGCGGGTGGCATTCTATAGAACTGCTCTTAGTTTGTACATGAGACCATGGTATATCCCCGAGTCTGCGTCTGCTTCTCTGCTCTGCCCCCAGTCGTGTGGTTTCGTAATCGTACACGGGCCGCGGACGTAGCTCTGCGGCTGCGTTATCCCTCTACTGCTCCTCACCCGCCACCAGCAGGTCCTTCTCCTCCAGCATCTTGGCCAGGTCGCCGCTCTTGAACATGTTCTGGACAATGTCGGCGCCCCCGACAAACTCCTTCTCGATGTACAGCTGTGGGATGGTCGGCCAGTCCGAGTACTCCTTGATGCCCTGGCGCAGCTCGTCGTCCTCGAGGACGTTAAAGGCGGCGAACTTGGCCGGGTTGACGCCCTGCAGGCCGAGGATCTGGATGACGCCGCGGGAGAAGCCGCACTGCGGGAACTCGGGCGTGCCCTTCATGAAGAGCACCACCGGCGCTGACGCGACGGCCTTGTCGATGGCGCTGCGCGTCTGGTCGGACAGGAGTCGCATCTGGAACGGCGTGAGGGGCGAGGCGGCGGCGCGGAAGGCCGACTGCATGGGCATAGCCCGCATGGCCGCGGCCGGGCGGGCTGTTTGCCGCAGCAGGTTCTGGACCCGACTTGTCAGCACATGGGCCTTGGAAGAATTACGGCCTGGGAACGACGGTAGCGTACCGAGGCGACTGTGCGGGAGAACATGGCGGGCTCTCGATGTGGCGATGAAGGACGACGACAGGAGATTCGTGACGCTTCGCTGCGATGTTGAAAAATGGCGAGGGCCTCGACAGCTTCAATTCGCCAAGCAGAGTTTCCGCAGCGGGTGATGTAATGGCGAATTGGCCACTGCGCTGACCAATCAAGTCATCAACAGTCAGCTGCTCCAGCATCACTTGGGCCCTGTAGCGACTCCACTGCCAGGGCGTTGGCGGCGGGCGCCGGCGGCTTCGGAGCAACGGAACGACAGGCGGGCGCCTGGTGGGTTTTGGGCTTCACACATTGCCAAGAGCAACTTGGCAAACGCATCATCGTAGCTTGGCCAAAACTCATCATCACCAGCGAACTGAGAGCAGCCTCAAATTCCAACCGATTTCGTTTCACCGTCGCTTGTCGGCAGCGGCCGACGACTCCCCCGCGCCACTCACAACCTCAGCCAACATGCTCCACGCCGTCCGAAAGGGCTCCGACGCCCAAAACGACGGCGGCGTCTACACGTCGGCGGCCGGCAATGTCTCACTCGCCCGCGGCGACGGCAAGGTGCACCTGCTCCTCGCGGCCTCGGGCTCTGTCGCGACCATCAAGATCCCGCAGATCATCAACGGGCTCGCCTCGCACAGCAACCTCTCCATCCGTCTCGTCCTCACCTCGTCGGCCGAGCACTTCCTGGCGGGGCAGTCGCCTGAGCAGCCCACGCTCGCCGAGGTGCGCCGGTTGCCCAACGTCGACGGCATCTACACCGACGCGGCCGAGTGGACGCGGCCGTGGACCCGCGGTGCACCCATCCTGCACGTCGAGCTGCGCCGCTGGGCCGATGTTATGGTCGTGAGCCCGCTGAGCGCAAACACCATGGCCAAGATGGTCGCCGGCCTCTGCGATAACCTGCTCCTGTCCGTGTTCCGCGCCTGGGACGCCGACGGGTCCATCGACGGTGTCAAGAAGAAGATTGTTGTGGCGCCTGCCATGAACACGGCCATGTGGCGGAACCCTGTCACTGCCAAGCATGTTCGCACGCTCGAGGAGGACTGGGGCGGTGTCGACGGCTGGGTCGAGGTGCTGCGGCCCATCTCAAAGGGCCTCGCCTGCAAGGACGTCGGCGACGGCGCCATGGTCGAGTGGGAGGAGATTGTGGCCGTCGTCGAGGCGAAGCTGGGGCTGCAACGGGTCGAGATGAGAGGCTGAGATGTTGGCAGGATCAAGGCAGGTTGAGGACGACGCACCAAGCACGACAGCATCTTGACATCGGAGCAAGGATGCATGATCGAGGGGACGCTCAGGATCAATAAAGGATTTGGAACATACTGGGCCTCAGGCAGCCAGGTGCTGTTGGCATTGTCCCGTGTGCAATGGAAGGACGCGCGTTGACTGAGGTGGGATGAAATGATGGAAGGTGGTCAACATCGCTCCTGCCGCTCTGCTTCACCCGCCTTACAAACAGAACAGCTGGCCGCCCCTCTCTCACACTCAACACTCCCGCCACCACCAAACAACACCTCGCAGACCGTCACAGTCTCTTCTTGCACTTTTCTCCATCATCGCGTCGGCATCAATATCGTTGCATGTTAGAAGGTAGCCTCGCACTGCCCGCCATGGCTCGGTTCGCCCCGAACGAAAAGAAGAACAACGCCCGCGCCAAAGGACGCACCAGCCGTGGCGACCTCGTGCAGTCGTCTACCACGGCCAAGCCAGAGTCGTCGTCCAACTTTCGAGCCCGACTCGGCGGCGAGGAGCCTGTGCCCGAACCTACACCCAAGCTCGAAGCGCCCACCGAGAGCAACGCCATGGAAGAAGTCTCTCAGAGCCTGCGCGCTAACTTCGACCTGAAGACAACCACTGGTTCGTCCAACAGAGTGACAAAAGCCCCAAAGCCGCACAAGGAGCATGGAGCAGTCACAAAGCTCAAGGGTATGTCGTGCTCAGCCTGGTAACAATCCGAGCGCCCACTGACTGCATGCAGAGCTGCTCGCCGAGTACGGCGTTGAGATCTACTCCAAGGCTGCCAACGATATCATGCAGGTTTACGCCACGGTCGATGAGCGCACGGAGCGGCTGTCGCTCGTCTCGTCTGAATTCGCCTCCAAGGCCGAGAAACTGTATTCCAAGATAGGGCGTCCTCTCTCTTCGACCCAGTGCCAAGGAGGCGAGGCTGCACGTGCCACAATTGACGCACATCTGTCCAACCTACTCACTGGGATCGAACAAGCTCAGAAGCAATTGGAGGAACTTCAAAAGCAATGGGAGGCAGCCTTCGCCGAAGAGTGCGACGCATGGAGGGCTTTTTACGAACTGCAACGCAAGGACCCGCTGCCCGCTGCCGAATTCGAGCGGGAGCTCGCCAACATCAAGTCGCAGATTCAGGGCATCACGCAGGAGTACGAGGAGCAGATGGACGGGCTCGAGGCGGTGAGTTCGATCCGGCGCATGTGAGCCATGCCTGGACTGACCGACCGACGGCAGGAGTACAAGGCAGACATGCAGGCCGAGACACTCAGGATTCTCCAGTCGTGGGACTGAAACGGAGGAACAACGCATACCCCCCTGGCTCACAACTAGCTGAACAACTTCGATACGAGTAGCTATCATCAAATCTACGCGAGACCGGACCTCGAGAACGAGTTCGTCGTCGTAATACGTCCCATTGTCAAAAAAACGTCTATCAAATCTGGCTATATGCTTTGCCGGACCAGCGTCGTGCGCCGAACTCCAGCCCATGAATCGCCCCAATGAGGTCTAAGCAATGGTTTAATCATCAAACGTCGTCCATTAAAGGGAAATGCCGGCCGCTCGGCGCGGTCGGATGCGATTATTCCTCAGCGGGGCGGGACTCCTTCTCGGGAATGATGAAGCCCCACGGGTGCTGCTCGCGGCCGTACATGATGTCGCCGATCCAGCCCTTGATCTTGCCGGTGACCTCGCCGGCGGCGCCCTCGGGACCCATGGGGATATTGATGTCCTGGCCGCGGTGGTGAATCTGAGAGACGGGGCAAATGAAGTACTAAACTGGTCAGTAAAGTGAACACTAGACGTGGCGAAAAGGGCTTGACCTACAGCAGTGCCGGCGGCAAACGACTCGAGGATCCGGCCCTCGGCGTCGGCCTCGATGAGCTCGGCAATGGTGTACTTGCGCTCGGTAACCTCGATCTCGCCGGCGAGGCGCTCCTTGGCGACCTCGATGCAGGAGCGGCGGGTGACGCCGTCAAGGATGAGCTTGTCGTCGAGGGGCGCGGTGATGAGCTCCTTCTTGCCGTCCTTGCGCTTCCACACGATGAAGAAGTTGCTGGCGCCGGCCTCGGTGCACTCGCCCTGCTCGCCGTAGAGCCAGAGGATCTGGTGGTAGCCGCGGCGGCGGGCGTCCTGAGTGGCCATCAGACTGGGACCGTAGTTGGCGCCAACCTTGGCGTAGCCGAAGCCGCCGACCCAGGCGCGGACCATGTCCTCGGGGGAGGTGTGAAGGCGCATGCCGCCAGGAGGCGAGTCCATGCGGGGCATGAAGGTGACGATGATGTAGAGCATGGCCTCCTTGGGGGCCTGGACGCCGAGCTGGGACTGGGTGCCGATGAGGGTGGGACGCAGGTAGAGGAAGTTGCCGGGCTTGTCCTTGGGCAGCCAGCGGGGGCCGTCGACGGAGAGGAGGGCGACCATGAGCTTCTCAAGCTCGGCGGGCTCGAAGAGGGGCAGAGAGATGCGGCCGGCGGACATGTGCATGCGCTGGGCGTTGCGGTCCGGGCGGAAGATGCGAAGCTTGCCGTCGAAGCCGCGGAAGACCTTGAGGCCCTCGAAGCACTCGGTGGCATAGTGCAGGCAGCTGGCGGTGGGCATGAGGCTCAGGGGGCCGTACGGCTTGAGCTCGGGAGCGGCCCAGCCGGTGGAGGCCTTCCAGACGGCGGTGACCATGTGGTCAGTGGCGACGGTCTCATCGCCGGCATTGGCGACGGCCTCGTCCGGGACGGTCCGCGGGTTCTCGGTCAGGGTGTAGGTGAGGAGAGAGGCATCGAGGGGAGCGACCTTGGCGACGCCGTTGCCGTTGGCGTGGCCGTTGGAGTGAGCCTTGGTGACAGGCTGGGCAGCCTCCTTGTGCTGGATGGCAGCAGCCGTCAGGTTGACATCGTCCTGCTGGGACGCGGGGACGGCGGAAGGAGCCATGATTTAGGTTTTTTTTTCTCTGGACCGAGGAGCGTGGACCTCTGGTGAGTCTGAGGGGTGGTGGTTGTGGTGGTGGTGAGGATGACGGGCTCGTGTAAGTCGACCAAGGCTGACCACGTTGTATAGGAATGTCGGTTCCAACAGAAAGAGCGGAATTGGCCTGCGACAGATCCGAAAAGGAAAGGAGGAAGAGTCACGAGAGTCACGGAGGAGGCCAAAAAGTAAAAAAAAAGGGTGACGGTGGACGGTGGACCGTTTTAGTACCTCTGTCGACGGCTGGCGGAACCCAGGCCGGAGGTGGCGGCTATCAAGGGCCCTGCGTCGTCGTCGCCGTACAAGCTACCGCCAGCACCGACCGGCCTACATTTTACGGAGCGAGGCGCGGCGGGCGGCGCATTGGGAAATTTTCTGCCGGGCGTCTGGGAGTACCTGCTCCCTGCCTGGCAACGCGGGCCTGGGTACGCAACCACGCCCAGCCGCTCGGTACAGATGGCCCCCGCGGCGCCGCGGCGTCAAAGAAGTGGAGGGGGGAGGGGGGAAGAGGAGGGTAGCCGCACCGTTGCCTCCCTCGTTCGGTGCCACGGGTGGGCGGGAAGGGAGCTGGAATGGGAGAAGAGGGATCCACAATGGACATGGCCGGCAAGGCGTGAATCGCAGATGGGCGGTGGACCAGGACCAGATGGGCTTTCCGAGCGTGGGAGGGGCAGGTGACTCGTGGACCCCAGGATGGACCATTCCAGTGGGCGTCGCTGGGCGTCGTGGTCGGTGGTCGGCCCTGGAGATGGTGGAGGAGGCGGCGGAGGACGACCATCCATGACATGGCATGGCGGTGCGAGGCCAGCCAGCCAGCCAAGCCAGCCCCGACGCCTGCCGCGGCCGCCGCCAGTCCTGGATGTCTTTACAGACGACACACACTTTTCTGGAGGTACCTGCGCTGGACTGCATGTACCACCACCATGGCTGGGTCAACGGCCCAGTGGTGGTGGCGGGAAGAGAACCGTGCCCGGACCAGGCGGTGCTGCACGTGGACCGCAGAGGCTGCCAGCGCGCAGTGCGCTGCGGTGGCGGGCGGTGGGAGTTGCAGTGCCGTTGCCGTGCAGTGCATCATCTCGATTTCGATCAACAATGGGCGGCGCCGTGGAAGGGTGGAGGGGCGACTTTGAGGCTCCCCGTGCGCGGGTCCCCGGACTTGGGGCGGGCAAGGCGGGCTCGTCAGCACTCTATCATCGCCAGGCATGCCCGTCGATGATGGCTCCTTTTGCTGAATAGTATCCATGGATGGCGCAGCATACCGAACACAGAGAGAACAGCACCTCGGGGCTCAGCAACGCATCTGCCACCGGGCCACCCCAGACGCAGACGACCCGAGGGCGACGGCCGGTTCCATTCCATGTTCCATGACGAATCTGCGGTGCATGCAGGACGGCCCCTGTTGGTGCCGTGCAGCGCAATGCAGTGCAGGCCGCCGACGCCATGTTCATGCGTCGTTGGAGACGGTTCCAGAGCGGCTAGCCGGTCGCGGAGGTGATGCTGCATCCCCCGTCTGCCGCCTGCTGCAGCGCCCGCTGCTGGTTCCAGCAGTCCATGCTTCTGCCGCGGCGCCAAAGTGCCTGCGACCTCGACGCGCTGCGCTGGGTTGCGCTGCGCTGGCGGCGGCGAGAGCAGTGGCGAGCTGCCCTGAGGTGGTGTTTGACTGGCTGGCAAGCAACAGCGCAGCAGTGCAGCTCCGGCACAGCGCCATTGATGCGCCAGCGCGCCCCCTGCTGGAACATGGCTGGAACCTTGAACCTGGAACGCTTCCAGCTCGACGCCCAGCCTTCCATCATATCTGCGTACGTCCCAAGCCAGGTCCGTTGAGGTGCCCGGCTCTGGTGCGTGCGCCCGCCATGCGTGGCCCGAGGACGAGGGGCGGAACCAGGCCGTGGGGAATCCCTGCGAACCCATGGTCCCCCCTCCTCCATTCGTGCTGCCTGCTCCCTGTCATCATGCTGCTGCTCCCTGGCGTCGGGTGCTCGCGCTGCTCGTCCAACTAAGGTATCAGCCCCCCCATCCTACTCTTCCCTGCACCCTCTGTTTCCTCGCCCCCGGCGCCGGCGCTGATAGGCAGGCAAACAAACCTGGAAAGGGCTGCTGGTGCTGGATCGAGGCCCGCCAACCGTCCCGTTCTGCTGACGTGGGGGATGTACCCGAACATCCACATGCCGTATCAGCAAAGGGCGTGACGCCGACATGCAGCAAGCATACCGCAATGACATGATCCGGGCCGCCCGCAACTGAGACCCGGGCGCCGAAAACGCACTCGCAGGGGTTCGCTGGTGTTAGTGGGTTCGAGGACCGCCCGGCCGGCCGTCGTCGGGGGAGGGGGCTTGCCTGCACTGGCATGCGGACTGCCCGTTCGCCGACGACGGTCCCGGAGACGGAGTCGTGGATGGAGGCAGAGCAGGACACGTTGAGGCGACACCGGGGGGCTCGCTGTCGACAGACGGAACATGCATAACACGAAGGAAGTCGTGGATGAGTTGGGCGGATACCGTTGCGGTGATGTCACGCCCTCCTCGTCCTGCGTCTCGTGCCTCTTCTCTCTCTCATTGTCCTCCTCCCTTCCCGAACCTCGTGTCTCGCCGGCACCACCGCATCGCACCGCACCTTATCAGTGGTCCAGCTCAGCCCCTTCGTCATCTTGCCATGCTCTTGCTCCGGGCAGTGCTGCCGCTCTGTCATCTTGTCATCTCTCCCCTCTCGCTCTCCGCTCGGAGGGGAAGGCGCGGAATTCAACGGCCGCCCCGACCGCCCGCCGTCCCCAGATTTTTTTTTCTTGTTATCGGTTTCCTTCCGCCGGCCGTGGATAGCCGCGTGCTGGGCCGACGTCCGCCGCGCCGCGCGCCGCCGCCTCCTCCCAACAATCATCCCCGGCCCTTGGCCAGGTTGCCCCACCACACTCTTGAGTCTTGAGCGCAAGAGAGAAAAAAAAGTCGCCGCGCCGCCGACGCCGCTTCCGCCCGCGCCGCACCAGACCCGCGCTCGGGTTGGGTGCTGTGTTGAAGTCCGGTTTCAATGTGAGGCGAAGTCAAAGATAGGTAGGTAGGTAGGTACTGGCGGCAGCTCTCCGCACTTGTACTGCACTCTACGATTGGGGTTGTGTGATTGTACAAGGCCAAGCCACGCGCCGCACCAATTCATGTCAGGTGAGCAAGCACCGGCACGCACATGCCCATACATTCGCACGCACGTCGCCTACGAACCGACGTTATTTATTACGTGCTTGCATTGTACGTACGAGTTTCATGTACGCGTGTGTGTTTGCTCACACTATTGCACCAAGCATCCTGTAACCCTGCCCCTTGCCTGCCTACCTACTTCGTAGTAGGTTTCGGTATCACGTAACAGGCAACGCAACTTGGTGTGTGTGTGACCGCGGCAGGCGTAATGATACCCCTTTGAGGAACAACGCGAGGAGGGAGGGGGAGGAGGAGCAAATAGGAGGAGGAGAGGGCGGGTGGGAAAGGTGAGCATGAGGTCATCGTGGGTGGTGCTTCCCGGCTTGTGTGCTTCAAGTTGGGGAGGGCAAGCTGCCCCAAGGACTTCGTTCTTGCGCGTCCAGCAGCTTGGACCTTTGCGGTGTGCCATCGGATTCGTACGCATGGGATTCACCCATGGTCCCTTGAGAGGATGCCAGCTCAATGTCTCGATAAGTCGCGACGCCACCGTGCCTGGGGGTCCCTGCGGCCATCATCACCATCATCATCATCAACCGTCCACCGAAACCTCCCTCTCGCTCGCTCGTTGCCATTATTGTATGTATGTATGTATATATATGTGTATACTGCACCTTCCTTTGGCCCATGCCCGCTCTGCCTCCACCACGGCCAGGCCAGGCGTCTGGCCTGTTGAAGACGGACGCCTCCCCATCCCATGTTTCCATTCCATTAAATATCCTAGACTCCGGCCGATGCACATTGCACACGCACACCCACACTTTCTACCAAAAGGCGCGCTTCTCGAAACCCGTACCAAAGCATGCTCCTCGGATACCCACAGCAAGGCCTGCTGCAACCTCCCAGTCTCCCGTGCTCCTGCTCCCGCTCTACGCCCGCCGCTCCGCCTCCCTCCGCCGCTGCTCCTCCTCGAGCACCTCGCGCTCGCGCGCCGCCGCCTCGGCCTCGGCCTTGACGCCCTTGGCGCGCTGCCGCGCCTCGTACATGTCGCGGCTGCGCATGATGCGCTGGACAATCTGCCCGGCGTTGACCTCGGAGAAGGCGTGGGCGCCGATCTCGCGGTATATGCCCATGGCCTTGGGCGCCTCGTAGGGGTCGTACGTCAGGGGCATGAAGGCCGTGGGGCCGTGGTATATCGCGGCGGGCACGCCGCCGAAGGGCAGCGTAGAGAGGTACGTCTTTGTGGGCGTAAAGGGCGCGCCGAACACCACCGCGTTGATGTACTTGCACTGCAGGACGCAGAGGCCGCGCTCGAAAATGTTCATGATGGGGTAGTTGACGCCCTTCCACTCGTTGATGACCTCGTCCTCGTGCACGCCCACCACGACAAACGCCGGGCCGTAGTCCTTGCCGCCGTTGGAGGCCTTGCGCCTCGCCACGGCCGCCTCGTCGAACCAGCCGGCGCCCCGCGCGAGCTCCTCCTCGGCGACGCCCACGCGCCGCAGGAACTCGATGTGCCCGCTCGAGAAGAGGTCGTACCCGCCGTCGACGTAGACGACGCGCTGGCCCGGCAGCGGGCCCTTGCCGGCGAGCAGGCGCTCAAACGAGCCGCCATTCTCATCCCCCGCGACCGCATCCGTAGGCGTGCCCGGCGAGGGCGTCCAGAACCACACCTCCGCGCCGGGCGCCTTGGCCGTCTCGTCGGTGGCGTAGAGGCGCAGGCGCGCGAGCATGGCCTCGCCCTGGGCGCGGCGCTCGTCGGGCGAGCCGTACCCTTCCTGGCCGGCGAGCATCTTCTGGAGGGAGTGGATGAAGTGCGTCTTGGTGCAGAGCAGCATGCGGCCGACGAGGTCCGTCGTGGAGATGCCGGGGGAGCGCTTCACCACCTTGAAGCGGCCGGCCTGCTTGACGAAGCGGTAGCAGTCGTTGCCGTCCGAGTCCGAGGTGATGTCGTCGCCGTGCACGACGTACCGGCAGCCGTAGTGCGAGATGAAGGGCAGCTCCGTGACGTAGGGCGCGTGGCTGACGGACTCGGTGACCCAGCGGCAGGCGTTTGTGGCGGCGAGTCTGCGGCATCACGCCTCTGGTCAGCTTTCAAGTCATATGCTTTGTTCCACCCTCCATCTTGCGCATAGCTATGGAGGTATCGCGGGGGGATCGCGGAGCAACGCGAGGGGTTTGTGCTTGCCTCTCCTCGAGCGTCATGACCGTCGGGCCCTTGTTGGCCAGAATGTCCTCGTCCGAGTGCACGCCCACGTACAGCTCGTCGCCGAGCTGCCGCGCCTGCACCATGGCGCCCGCATGGCCTGTTTGAGCGGGCGTTTGCCTGGTCAGCCGTCCGTTCTTCTTTCTCGGGTGTGTTCTCGTGCGCGCGATGGGCTCAGCTCCTCCTGTGCGCGTGGGAGGGCCATGGGAAGCATAGGAGGGATTCGCGTATGCGTAGCGGAGGGGGGTGCCGCGCCGTCGTCTCGTACCGTGGTGGAAAAAGTCAAAGCAGCCGTCGACCCAGATGCGCCCGTCGAGCAGCTCGGGAGCAGGCTCGCCGCGCGGCGCATTGGGGTTGTCGCCTGTTGACGCGGCCATCGTGGTGCTCGTCGGTTATTTTTTTGGTTCGTGGTGTAGCGAGGGGGAACGGTCGGTCGTTGGAAACCCCGTTGGAGGTTTCGCGTAGCTCGAGACGAACAATCGACAGCGGGGGTGGGGCGCGTCGCAAAAATGACGGGAGCCGAGAGACGACGCCGTCAAGCTGCTGCAGATGATGAAGGCTGTCTTGGGTGCGGTGCTGTGCTGTGCCGCGGCGGATGGATGATGCAAAAAGGAAAGGGGGTTGTAACTGGAGGAGAGGCAATGGGAATTGAATGCCAATTGGCAAGGTTTATTAGCGAGGCATCACATGCCGTGGCCCGTCTGGCGAGGTGATGAGGCGAGGCGAGGCGACGGGAGCTTCCCAGTCAGTCTGGCAGTGCCCCCGATTCCATTCTCGCATTCGTTGATCACTCCACTGGAGCTGCCTGCCCTGGGCCGCTGCCCGTCAGGGACTCAGGGGTAGCTCCCCACTGCACTGGCCGCGCCCCGAAAGGCGGTCAGCGTCCGTGCTGGGCGGGTGCCTGGATACGGGCTGCGCAGCCAATTGCAGCACCGCTCTACTGGCAGGGGGGAGGGGGCCTGCGTCCAGCCTCCAGTGGGCTGCAGCGTGGGGTTCGTCAGTGGACAGGGCCATGAAAGTGTTGGGCGCGCCACAGCAGCAGCAGCATCCATGCATCCTTCTTCGGCCACTGTTTCCGGCTCGTGTCCGTCGCGGAGCCGCCTCCAACAAACCCGCAAACTCTCGTGTCCAACATCTCGCCATTGTCGCACCACTCGGCGTCTGCCCGTAAAGACGCCACGCGTCCACAGCCTCAATGCGATTCTAGACCAGCACGCGGGTTTATGTCTGAGTGGGACGCCACAGTAACGGCGCCGCCAGCTGAAGTTCGTAAATGGGCGTCGTCCGTCACTCGCGTGTCGTGGGTGGTCTTGAGTCTTGACGTGGATACAGCCAAGCGAGCCAAAGCAAGATAGCTGTCACAACCTCTCGTCCCTTCTGCCATGCTCTTGTCTGGACACAGAAAGAGGAAGAAACTGGTCTACAATACAAGCTTCATTGGAAGCGTTCTCTCGATCATTGCGTCCAAAAGGGTGAGGGATGCATCGACTGGGCTCTGTTCATTTGACCCTGCCATGAACTGGCGATGCACTACGTGTTGTCGAGGCCCGAGATTTGCAGATTCACCTGACCTCGACTACGGCTTCGTCCCGAACGCTCCATGCCATTGCAATACGGATAGATCTATTCGTAGGTGGCTAGCTACCCTACCCGCCTATCCCTGTCTGCCCCTAGTTCAGGAGGAGAGTCTTGTAAACACCTCGTCTCTTGGCAGTGACAGACGAGCATCTTGCATGAGCTGACAACCCTTTCTCAGTTCCCAACTCCTGTTCACTGTGCTCAAACATAGCCCTGGGGGTTGGCGAAAGGATGGGACATGTGACTCACCCACAAAGGCCATGAGCTTACGCCACATTAGTGTACGAGAAATACGGCTCTATGACCCGAATCGTTCGCGCCAAAGACGCCCCGGACATTGAAGAGTCCGGACCTTGACATTGCAACTTGCAAAGTATTTAGCCGACGCCTTTCGTCGCGGCTCCAAATTCCCGTGAAACTGCTAGTATCTAACATTCGCCTGGGCGACTCATGACACACATTACACCGTCTCATAACGTCGAGCGTATAATCGACTCAACCAAACGGCCATGAAGCCCTCACAGCGCGTCGAGCCCGCGGCCAACGAGGACATGCCGCGGTGCATGGAAATCTTCAACCAGGCCTTCGGCTTCGTGCCCATCCACGAAATCTCCCACGGCACCGACACGCCCGCCAACCGGCTCATCACCGCGGCGCTGCACCTGCGCGGGCAGCGCGAGCACCGCACGCGCTTCCCCCTCGCGCCCCCCGTCTGCGTCAAGTGCGTGCAGCCGGACCCTTCCACCGGCGCCGACAAGATCGTCGGCTACGCCGAGTGGTTCATCTACGACCGGGCGCGCAGCGACGCGGAGCTGGCTCGCGAGGACGCCGAGCCCTTCATGATGGGCTTCTCGTGGATGCAGGAGACTGATCCGGAGGGGCGGGCGCGGTGTCTGGCGTTTGTGCGGCCGGGCAACGACGCGCGGAGGCGGCGCATGGGCGGCCGGCCGTACGGCCAGCTCAAGTTCATGTGCGTCGATGGGGCGCATCGCCGGCAGGGCGTGGGGTCGGCTGTCGTGCGCTGGGGGATGGATCGCTGCGCGGAGCTGGGCGTGCCGGCGTACCTGGAGGCGAGCGTCGAGGGCATGGAGCTGTATCGCCGGATGGGGTTTGAGGACATGGGCCCCGCGACGGATGAGAATGGCGAGCCGTATGCGTATCCCGCCATGATATGGTGGCCTCCGGGGGCGAAGCGGGACCTGGATGGCACCATGGACACGAAGGAAGGGGCGGCTGCGAATGGGATATAGAACATCACAAGTATGGCATCTCATGAGCCTGTGTATTGAGGCGAGGTGAAGTGGAACTGCGTTGAGAAGCGATTGACACGAGGCCATGCATACTCATACATGATGGGGTGACAGAGCAAAGGAGTTAGTGAACGTGTGTTTAGGCGGTCGCGCCAGGCGTCGAAGCAGTACAGTAGACGATCAAGACGAAATTATGGCTAGCTAGTCAATGTGGGAGCAGCTTCACAGAAAGATTTCGGCCAAGTAGCCTCATTAAAAGCACGCGGTGCCACAATGTGTAATGGTGTTCTTCACGCCGCTCCAGGCACTGCTTTGCTAACTTTGGCATGACTTGCAACTTGATGCGCCCCATCATGTCTCTGCCTCATGCTACCGCGACGAGGGTACCTCTTTCCCCGGCGCATTGGTCCAACGATGAAGCATTTCGTCCACTGACCAAGTTCCCACCCCGTCCGACTCCCTAAACTCGTCCAGGTCGAGGTCCTCCAAGTCGTCGTCCGAGGAGACTGGCATTTCCACTCGTGAATCTCCATTTGCAACTTCGTCTTGTTCCTCTGCATCGTCTTCATCCTCTGCATCGTCTTCATCCTCTGCATCGTCTTCTTCCTCTGCATCGTCTTCATCTTCTGCATCGTCGTCCTCCGCTTCGGCGTCGAGCTGCTCCACTGTACCGACCCTTACCTCAGGATCGATGACCTCGGCGGGTTGCGGTGTGCTTCCAAGGCTGGCCTGCATCGTCCTACCACGCCTTCGCCGAAGTCTTGCGAGAGAGTCGCCGAGGGAGCCCACAGAGCTTGCCAGAAGACCTGACACGGCTTTTCTTCTGCGGCGTGCATGAGAAATCGCTGTGTCGAGTTGCACGCTCCCCATTTCAATGTTCTCAACTACCTCCGCAGAGTCCAGAGGATAGACTTCTGCTTCTTGCGGCTGAGGACCGGGGTGAGTTGGCGGACCGCGGTATACATGTCCGCTTATGCCTGGCCGCCGGGCTGGCTTTGTCCGCTCGGGCACTTTGTCCTCTGGGAGGACGTCCTCCGAAGATTCGGGCGTATGTTTACTTCGGGCCATGAAAACCTTTGCGCCAGGCTGTATCCATCCGGGCCAAAGAGTCGGGTGGATCGTCTCGCCGCCTTCGTTTCGAAGCTCAAACGCCCCTTTGCGCGCTGGTCGTTCAAGTCGCTGGTCATCGCTCATAAGGACGAGTATGGTACGGGCGAATTCCTGCCGGAGGAGCTAATTAGGATCAACCGCGCTGGTATACTCCTCTGCCAGGACTCACCTCGTATGTATGACTGGCCCAGTAGGGAACCATAAACTTGCGGCCGATGTCGTCAATTAGCTGAATCGGCCGTAGGGGATCCTTGACGGAGAAGAAGACCACCAAGGCGTCTGATCGGCCTCGCCTCTCAAGCCGGTGGAACGCGACAAGAGTGACACTTCGGTTGGTCGTCCTCTTGGCGGAGTCTGTGACCTTGGCGAGCAGGGCCTGCGTCTCCGAGTCGGCATTCAGGTACTGCGTCCACGGGCTCATCTTCTGCGATTTGATAGTACGCGTGAGATTATACTCGAGGTTCTGATGGCCGAATGGTATGGGCCGGATGTCCCCATGCTCGACGATGAAGGCCTGCAAATCATTGCTAGGCGAGTCTCCCACAAAAGCCTTTCTTCCTCGGAGTGGCACCTTCAACTCAGCACCAGGTAGCCCCAAGAAGCACTGCACAAACGGATTTGTGCGGCCGCTGTGGTGGGAACGTACTTGTGGCGGGGATGACGAGAAGGCTGTCGTATCAAGCGCCGGCCCTCTCCAAGCCTGCTTGCCATCCAACGCAACGGCGTCTCCGTTCAAAGGTGGCCATTTGGTCTGAACCGAGCCTTCAAGAGATGTGTCTCGTTCCACGTTGTGGACAGCTTCAAATCCACCGCGGCCTGTCTTGTGCTCGTCATGGCTCCGGGACGTGACGGTCGCTGCGGCTTTTTCGTTGTCACGCGAATGCTCGCTTGCAGCATGCCCTCGGGCCGTCGTGTCCTGTCTTCGGTCCGAGGAAACTACTGTGTTTGCATAAGGGCTCTGTGCATAGGGGTTTGTCAGGTTGGGGCGGAAAGGCTGGTTGAGAAAGCTGGCCCCTTGATCTGTGGTCAAGGCTGCCTTTGCTCTTGGTGGCGTCGATGTGGACTGCAGTGTGTCAACCTCGTCCGGACCTCTTGGGCTTCCTCTGGCCCAGGCACCGTCAGCACTTGGACGTCCGCCCTGGGAAGTCCGTCGCTTCTCAAGGAGCAGAGCCTGGCGCTCCCAGAGTTTGTCAATGGCCTGCCGCGTCCAGACGTCATCCTCGGCGGATGCCGCTTTCTTCTCGCTCCTGTATGACTCTGTCAGCTCGCCATACTCAGGGGCAAAGGTTGGGGGCGCAGTCCGTGTCCACAGACCTAATACGCTGTCCAGCCAGATTTCCTAACTGTAACTGAACCAGCAGGCTAATCTTGAGCCACCGCAACTGCTCCTGGCAGCGATTGATGCGAGGTATCAGCCATGGCCAACGGAGTCGTCTCACAACATTCATCGGCTTCAGCGCCGATGCGTCCAGTGCCGCCCGAGCGCCGAGCGGGTGGCCATCGCGGCCGCCGTCGCTCTCGGAGCTGCTGCTGCTCGCTTTCAACACGAGCCGGATGATGACCCCGTACACCTTTTCGCAGCGAACCGCTAGCGTCTCGACCTCATGCAGTCCGCTTTCATTGAAAATACGAGAAGCGCTTTGGGCATCGGGGACGGCCTTGTCCGCGTCGACAATGGTCTGCAGCTGACGCAGGGCGGCGGCCGTGGCGTTGACCTCGAAGACGATGTCGCGCAGCGCGTCGTCGGCCTCGATGGCGAGCTCCGTGAACGTCTGGAGGGCCGTCGCGAGCTGCAGCCCGAACGAGACCGCCCCGACGATTGTGCCGACGAGGTCGGCCATGGCGCGACGGAGGCGGATGTGAGGCGCGTAAGACGGCGAGAAGCTGCCATCCTCCACGCGGTGAGCCTTGATTGCCTTGACCGGCGCCGATCACCCCTGGGGCTGAGCTGCGACGCTAGCGCGATGCTCGCCCGCCTGTACGAGAGGTGAGAGTATCACCCACTCGATGCTGCCGACATGAGCGAGATATCCGACCCAGCTCATGTCTCGGCGCGGTTTGCAGCCAGGTTTAAGCCTGAGACGGTGAACAGGAAAAAAGAACCCATACGGCGTCATTGCTGTCCACGAGGCTTTGCGGCGAGATGGAAAGCAACGGTTGTGGGGACTGACTCCGACTGACAACCTCTACTTTCCACAGTGAGAATGGAAGATTGGTGTAAATGGACAACATAGGTAATGCTTGCGGGCATTGAACGCGTACGACACAAAAGGAACTCTCCAAGGTAAAGTCGCTACCCAGGCCTCAACATAAAACTGAAGCTTCATTAGATTCCCAGAAGCCCAGACTGTCGAGGTACCGGTGAACCCGGCGTACCTTGCCGGGCGGCGTCACGACTCACGGTTACTGCCGTTGCGGTGGCGTGGTCAATACGGAAATGCAACGCACCCCGGAACTTTATTCCAACAGCATCTGATCTGAGGCTCCTTTTCCAACCGGACGGCTCAGACAAGCCGTTCTATCCCTCTTTTGTCTGAGCGAGAAGGCCTCCGATAGGATCACGTCTCGTCTACCCATGACCCACGCCCTGCAGCCCTGACGGCCTCGCTGCTGACTGACACCTTGGCATCTCGGCACTTATACGGAATACGCGGGATATGTGCCTGTCCTGTGCCTTGCGACATGGATCTGCCGTATTACTTTCCCTTTCCGGGCGGAAGCAACGCCTTGATCGGTTTGCCGTCCTTGCGTCCGCCACTGGCGATTGAAAAGATCTCAAACTCTGCGGTGCCCGTGTAATATTCGCCCGTCCACTCGACGAGAAACGTCTCCCAGCTCACCCACGAGTACTGGGCGACATCCGTCATCAGGCGCCTGCGCTAGGCTGTTAGCATGTCTCGGTCGGTACCGAAGAATGGAAGATGGAAACGCACGCGACCCCGAATCCATGCAACGCTTCGTTGGCGTACGTCGTCATGCCATGCATGTTGGCCAGGATGCGTTGGCCGTTCTTGTCCTCGAGAACCCACCGAGTCTCTACCTCCTAACATAAGGATCAGCGCTCTGCAGCTCAATGGTCAGAATCGCAGCATGCTTACAGTCTTCGTGCCGCCGGAGCCAGGCAAGACCCTCTCAGTGGAGGAGGAGAGGTTCGCCACAAGGTTCCCGTTAAAGAACTTTCCCTTGACCGCGCCGCCGCGGATGGGGATCACAGAGATGAGACCGTCGAACGTGGTTGTGTTTGCCGGAGCCCCGCCGATCTCAATGTTGATCGTGAGGACAGACTTGGTCTTGGGCTGTCGGTACACCCCTTCCGTGGTGCTTCTGGTCGACAATGCGCCAGCAACGGTCGCGAGAAACAGAAGAAGATGCATTTTTGAGTCTGGTTCGATAATATTGTAAAAGTTGTAGTATGATGCTAGCCGAGGCTTTTGGTAGAGAGAAAGCTGAGGTCAAAGTGTCGAGTGTTCGACGTGACACAGGACAAGCCACATTTTATATTCGACAGTCTGGTGCGTAGAAGCCGTCCAAACGTCCGAAATGAAGCGGTTGGTCTGCCCGCTCGCGCTCGCCATGACGACCGCCGTCTTTTGTCGCGAGCGAGATCTTGGTGGACTGCGTCGCCAGCATCGTCCATGTTGGTTCTGTTCCTCATTCCAACCGGGGGGTCGTTCTCGCTCTCGTTTCCGACGCCTTGCATCTACCCAAAAAGGTACAGGGTGTGGCACAGCCAGCAAATACGAATCACGAAGCTGGAGCGCTGTTGCTCGGGCCAGTGCGCCGTTGGCTCCGGGTCGTCTAGTCCGTGTCACGCTCACAGCCTTAACTCCACGACACAGGATTGAGCGCAAGCGGAGAGACCAGGGGGAAGATAGTCGACGTGGCGAGCGTACCGACTCGCCTCATCTTGCGTCATGGCATGTTGGTCCTTGATTCAACGGAGCAGTACCAAGTATTTCCTCGTCGAGATGACCCGGCGATCTCGAGTCTGCCTCGACCAACATCTGCCGTGACTTGCCGGACCAACCCGCTGATTGGAACCCCAGCTCTTCAGTGACGTGTATAATATTGCCGGCTTCAGTACGGTACCGGTCTTGGGCCCCCGCAGAAATTGAACTTTCTGTGTAGCGAACTGTTCTGCCAAGGCACTCGAGCCTCCATCTCGACGGTGTCTGCAGCCCAAAACCCTTCACGGCCATGGGAATGGCAACGAAATGCAGATCTGGGCGGAGAAGATCATAGACTCCAACATTACTTCATTTCGTTGGTGTAACTATTCCTGGCTTCCTGCACGTCGACCACGTGCAGCAGCTGCGCCTTCAATGTTGTGCAAAGAGTCGCGTTCTGGCCATCACATGTATGGCCGGGGCCCTACTTCTCAGTCAATGCAGACATCCACAGTAGGGCACGTTGAACCTTAAAACTTCGTCAACTTGGGTGGGATTCTACGCACAGTTTTGCAAGCATGAAGACTTTTCTCCGATCGGAAACTCGCTCGTCTCCTACGGCACCAATCGCAGTATTTATCCGAGCCCACTAGTCAGATCGCTGCAATCACTGGCATAGCATCCTCTTAGGGTTGCTGCATACATTAAAGATCAAGGATCTCTGTCTAGATTAACGAGAGTTCCACGTGAAGGATGACTCGGCGGGCGACGGTGGGTAGTGGATAGTTTATGCCAGCGGCCGGAGGTTGCACTCCGTACACACAAGTGAAGGTGCGTGACAGCAACGGCCCGAAAGACTACAAATCGACGAACTGGACTAACGGCATGACAAAATTGATTGGTGTCGCCTACTGCAATATGAGCTGTCCATGGCCTGAGCCGTCGCATGAGTTTAACCTTGATGTGTTTTCTGGTTGAACTGGGCCTTTGCGCTCTCGTTTCTTCATGCCAGGGCGGTTTGGCAACTCGCCTTAGCCCACGACTCCCTGCCGCCAAGCCGGGACAGCCGTACATAGCCGTGATATCTTGAGTGACCGCGGATATATGCACCACCCCACGGGCAACGAGCCTCCCTGCGAAATGGATGTCCCAGCCGGGCAATTTGCCAGGAACCTGTGTCATTGGGGTCTGCATGAATGTGACCCATTCCTCGATACCACTTAGCAAAAAGGCTGCCGGTCGTTATATATATGAGCCCCGGGAGTTATCTACGTTGGGCACTTCACATTACAACTCAGCAGTAGGACACATGTCATTGGAAGTGCAAAACCGCACCAGACGTCTCCTGAGTCGCCACAATTACCCTTTGAAATCGGTCATAGTCGGGTGTTCAGGGTCTCTTCTGTCATCTTGTCAAGTATTAAACTATGTTTCTGACTCTTGCTGTCGCGGCCTTGTTGATCGGCCAGGTACGTAGCTATTACCCCGAATGACGTACACACGGCTGACTGATTTACTCTAGACCCACGGGCAGCTGGAAGCACCCATACCGGGTTTTGGTGTCTTCATTCCCAGCTGGGACGTACAGCTGTCGCCCGGGGACGCTCCAATGACTGTCAATGGAACCATTCAAGATGTCGTACGCGAGATCAGGAAGGTGGACCCTCTTTGGAATGGTGCATTGTCGAATACGACAGAACCTGAGTCGGCAACGTCGAGAAAGAGAAGAGGGGCCGATTTCTCCGCCGGTCCCGTTTCCTGCAAGGACAGTTCACACCCCTATGGTCACGCTATAGTGAGAAGAATCGAGGAGGGCATCAGGTACTTGCGCCGCGTTAATGGTCAACCGCATCACGATGCCGGCCCAGACCGCTGTGGCCGGGTCAGCTGCTCATACAACTCTGCCATTTGGTGGTGCAACAACGTAAGTCGGGTGCCCTGTGATTAAACATCAGGTGTGGGATGCAGGCTAAATCGATTGCCCAGAATGGTTACAAGATCAGGCTTTCTTCATTTGAGGAGATTGCTGATGGCGCTCAGCGAGTGTTGAACATCTGTCCTTACGAATACCGCGTGCAACATGGGGCGAGCGTCGGTGGTGTGGCATTTCATCCTACCGAAGGGTGGCTTGTTCTCGTCAATAAAAACCGTTGCTAGGCACACATTCGAGACGGCCACGGTATCGGGTTTGCCTTCATGTTCGAGTTCTTGATTGGGTCCAAGCGGTTGCAGCAAGTACGAGACTGGCAGCAATACGAACCACGTTTTTCTGTACCCCGAAATCTACTCTGCCCTTCGGGGCTCGTATTGTGCAGGGGCAACGTTGAAATTAAGTTCGACCCCGCCATTGAGTTCAAGGGGGCCAGCAGAGTTTGGTGGTCGTATTTCCGTCGAGCCAGTCGGTTGCAATGGATTGCATGCGGAGAAAGCATCCAGCCCAAGCGAGCGAGCGCAGAGCTATGAAGTAGATTGCAAAGTGCTTTGAAGCCATAGTAGCACGCCCTTACCCCAGGGCCCTCAGATCTTGTGTCAGCATGACAGCACAAGCCACCCCTTCACCAATGTCATCACTGCATCCGCAAGCGTGCCTGTGTGGCGGTGTGGGAAGTCTATTTCTGGCGCAGGACAAAACGTTCCTCAGGAGAGCGTGATCCGTTCTGTCAGCCAAATATTGATCGATCACACATGGGCGACGGAGCCTCTGCTGTGTCGTGGCGCTTTCTCAGGCGGGACCACATGCATGTAGGTTCAACGGCTTTCCGGGCTCAAAATTACCTCGGGTCCATGCTAGCTGGACAATTGGAGCAAGAGCCATATAGTGCACCTGCTGTTGGGCTCACTCTGGAGCTTTGACCAAGCCCAGCCTCGATGAAACCAGCACGTACCGGACCCAGCTCACAATGGTATCCGAGCGCCATGATAGTATTTTTGACGCCGGAGGATCTGCCCCCGCAAGAAACCGATCATGCGATGCCGTGTTTGACGGCAATTTCCAGATGGGGATTCCAACAACAGCCAACGCCGAGGAGGCACTGCCGTGGGGGCCCAGACCGCAGCGAGGCTTGGAACGTGAGCAGCCTGCGACGCAGGGTGAAGAAATGCATCAGAAATTAGCCTTGGGGCGTTGTGTTGTGCATGTCTTAGGTTTTGTTTTTGAACCCAAGTGGAAACATGGCAAAGCTATATAACGGCGGAAGCTCTGCTGCAGACACCAGGGCTTGGAATTTAGCCAGGCAGTGAGACATCAGAGGGAACCGGTCGCCCACCATGACTTTGTGCTCGATCTTCGTCCGGCTCCTTGCCCTCACGGCAGTTGCCTCTGCCGGCTATGTCACCTCCAAACGTCCAGACTCTCGAATCCGGGACTCAGCGGCAGTGCAAGCCACGGGTCCCCGGCGGGTTGTGGACAAAAGCGACGGCGCGTCATACATGCGAACTGCACAACTTTCAAAGTCAATCGTAGTCGGCGTGTACGAGTCCCTGGAGGGCGACAACCAAGTTCTCCGTGTCGTCGGATCACTCGACTCGGGCGACTCGTGGAATCGCGTCGGCGCCGTTCTGTCTGTGAAGAAGGACGAGTACAGCATCGGAAACCCACACATCCTTGCGCTACCCAGCGGCCGGCTGTTGTGCGCGCATCGAAGCCATCGCCGCAACAAGGACACCTCTACCGGATATGCCACTTTCGGCATCACAGTACACCAGTCGGACGACGGGGGAGAGACGTGGAAGAAGCTTGCCGATGTTGACAGTCGGAAACGAACCGGCGTCGACGGCATTTGGGAGCCGTTCCTGCGACTGTCCCCAACCTCGAACAAGCTGCAGGTATTCTGGGCAAACGAGATGACGACAGACAACCAGGATATCGTCTACCAGGAATCATCTGATCTTGGACAAACGTGGTCGAAGCCCGCAACTGTCGCTGGTACGGACTATACCGCCCGTGACGGGATGCCGAGTGTGGTAAACGTGGCCGCCTCCAGCCGAAATTCTCAAGCCTTGTAAGTCCTCTGTCCCCGGCAAACATTACCATCATATCAGCGAGAGCATGCGCTGAACGACATTTTCTTCCAGTGCCGTATTCGAGAGTGGCAAGGGTCCGACTTTCGTCGTCGATTACGTCAAAACCATGAAAGACAACGACGACTCCCAATGGGGCGGGCGCAGCCGTATATACACCCCAAAGAACAACTTGCAAGCTGGAGCACCGTGGGTCATCAATGTTGGAGGTACCCTGGTCGTCAGCTTCATGACGAACGAGGACACGCCGGAGATGCCGAATGTCGACGGCGGCGAGCTGAAGATCGTAACGAGCAAAGACCTCGGCAAGACTTGGAGCTCGCCGGTGGTCGTCGGGAAGAAGGGCTCTCACTGGCCTGGCATTATGGCCCTCAACGACAAAGAGTTCCTGGTTACGTGGTCTCAGGACGGCTCTGGCATGTTGGCCCAAAAGTTTGCGACTTCTTGACCGCACTCTTGCGATGTCAAAGCTTGTGCAAGACGAGAGCGTTTTTACTTCGATATGAGTATTTGGCAGCATTTTGCATACACGCATATAGACGCATATACTACATCAATCAGGGTTCAGCCTAATATAGTGTTTATGTCCATTGGTCGGTGTCGCAACCTCACATGACGGCTGTTCGCTGCACAGGGATGCTCCTTGTACAATTCGGCAACACGGCGCCGGTGGCTCCGGTCGGCTGGCTCAAGTGGCGTGAATCGAGGGGCAGTTCTCTACTCATCGACTTCACGCCACTGTGAACATCATTTCGCAGTCTCTGAAAGCGCAGACGAGCTTCGGGACTTGTCCCTGCACACAACGATTCAGCCACTTTGACTTCTGCCCTTGCAGCTTGAAGAGCAGAACACAACATATAATCGCCATGGAAATCACCAAAGCTCCCTCAGTCAACGTGGGCATGCTCATCCGGCGCCCGCCCCATGCAGTGTTCGAAGCTCTTGCCGACCCAGCCATAACTACCCGCTTCTGGTACACCAAAAGTTCTGGTCGTATGTTGGCGGACGCCAAGCTCAAGTGGGAGTGGGAGATGTATGGCGTGTCTACAGACGTCTTCGTCGAAGCTGTCGAGGCAGACCGATTGATCCGATTTCGATGGGGCATGTACGACGCCTCGAACCCCTCGACCGTGGAGTTCCGCATCACGCCGTACCACGACAATACGGCATATTTGAGGGTCACGGAGACCGGGTTCACGGGAAATGCGGATGCGCAAGCCAAAAGAGCGATCGACTCTACTGCCGGATTCACCTTCGTCATCAGCGCGTTGAAGGCTTCACTGGAGCACGACGTAACCCTCACCGTCACGGCGGATGCCTTTCGCTCCGACTTGAAGGAGTAATCGTGCACCCGTTCGGCTTGCTGCAGTCTTTGGCCAATTGCTCGGAATACTGGACACGCTGCTCAATCCTGGGCTCATGCATGAGCTCACTGTTCCTCAAGGCGCACAATGTGCCTGCCGCCCCCTGAGCTTTCTCATGTTTATCTTTCCCCGACTCCTGTCTGGCAAGAGCGGGACGTTTGATCCGGATCAGCTCGTGAATTTCTTCGGCCCGTGGATCTGCAGCAGATCTATCAACATGAAGGGACGAGTTGCCGCATTCCATCTCTCAGGTCCAGGCCCCATGAGCTGCGAACTGAGACCTTTCCGTCGATCGGCTATTTGCTTGGCGAGCCGCGCCGTTAGCGAGAGTGAAGGAATGTTGCTAGACGAAAAGTTGAGGTGCTGATATCACAATTTTGATTGGGTGCGAGGTAGTCACGAGGCATAGCGCTGCTGAAGAGTCGAGATTCTCGTACGATGACATCCGCGTCGGCAACGGCCGCCAGCGACTTTGGGTTCACTAGCACCATCTATTGCGGACTGGGGCTAGACTATAGACGTCATCTGAAGTGCGCCCTCTCGCTTGATCGTTCTTTGACGGCCGTTGACTCGACAGGGCAATTGAAACAAAATGCATGTTCCATCCACTCGATCCGTCGCTGTCTTGCCGTCAGCTCAATCAGGTTGAGACACGACAAGCCCACACAACGAAACCACCCTCAAGCGTCACACACAGCAGTCATGTCGGCTCCGTCGGATGTCTTCAAGTCCGTTCTGGGCAAGCATAGACCGGACCCCAAAACATACGAGAAGTTGTTCCGCGACTTTCATCGGCACCCCGAGCTATCCTTTGCCGAGAAAGAGACAGCTTCTAGAATCGTTGCCCACCTCAAGACTCTGTCTGGGGATCTGGACATTCGCACCGGCATCGGCGGCACCGGCATCATCGCCATTTGCAAGAACGGATCCGGGCCAACCGTGCTCTTGCGCGCAGATATTGATGGCTTGCCAATCGAGGAGAAGACGGGCCTGGACTATGCGTCCAAGCATACCATGCGAGATGTCGACGCAGATAACGCTGTCAAACCGGTGATGCATGCCTGCGGCCACGACTTTCACATCACATGCAATCTCGGGGCCGCCGAAACGCTCATCAAGGCGCGCGATGCGTGGGCCGGGACAGTCATCTTTCTGTTCCAGCCAGCCGAGGAGCGCGGCCGGGGTGCCCAGGCCATGGTCGACGACGGCCTCTATGATGCCAAAAAGCACGCCTGCCCAATCCCAGACATAGTTCTAGGACAGCATGTGTTTTCCGTCATCAGGGCAGGGACTGTCATGACCAAGTCCGGCCCCATACTCAGCGCCGCCGACAACTGGCGCATCACGGTGTTTGGCAAGGGCGGGCACGGCAGCATGCCGCACCTGTGCGTTGATCCAGTGGTGATTGCGGCTCACATCGTGGTGAGGTTCCAGACACTCGTCAGCCGTGAGCTGCCTCCAGACGAAGCCGGCGTCGTGACTGTCGGAAGCCTGAAGGCGGGCGAAACGGTCAACGTCATAAGCGACCAGGCCATCATCCAGGTGAACGTCAGATCGGTCAGCGAGCAGTACCGCAAGGTCATGCTGGACGGGATCAAGCGGATCGTCCAGGCCGAGTGCGACGCAGGCCGGTCGCCTAAACCGCCCGTCTTCGAGTTCCTGGATTCTTACCCTCTTACTGTCAACGACAAGGACATGACTCAGAAGATTCAGAAGAGCTTCGCGACATATTTTGGCGAAAGACATATTATCAGCGACAAGGCGGCGTCTGGCAGCGAAGACTTCCAGATCCTGGCGTCCTCCGTGGGAAAGCCTTCTGTGTTCTGGGGTTGGGGAGGAGCTGAGGCTAGCGTCTACGACAAGCACGAGAAAGAAGGAACGTTGAATGACATCGCTGTCAATCATTCGGCGTATTTCGCGCCGGCCATTCACCCGACGTTGGAGACGGGGATTGAAGCAATGACAGTGGCGGCGCTGACCTTTGTGGGAAAGGATGGTAATTGACCAGGGTTGCTGTAGAAGCCAAGTTTCGGTAGCACAATTCTCTGTGTATTATCTCATGGGCCATTGCATTTACGGATTCCTGTTCTCTATTGAACCTGACTCGACTTTGCCAATCCAGCGTCTTCGCCACCGCTAAATGCATGTCACCCTTGCCTCGCACTCGTACATGTATGATGTCTGCACACAACATACCACTCATTTCGAGACGTGCCAGGTCGAATGTAATCACAGTATATTGAACTTTTCTCCAGTATGACCTCGTCAACGTGTCTGACAGAGGCAAGCACCCGTCTCGCTACCAACACGCGGGCTAGAAGCAGCGTGCAAACCTTTCCCCAGGGACCCAGTTGCATCTTCTCCTCCTCCCTGTACACTACGTTCCTCTGTCAGCCCCCCTCATATAGCTTCCACTGTGCTATGCAGGCTGCCTGCGCTTCAATGTCGCGCGGTTTTGATTGTGTTGACTTACCCGATGTCCTTCCGCATCGCCGCAGGGCTTAGATATCCAGACATTCTCGATTGTGGGGGAAGATCCCGCTGTGTTCTCGAGGCTCTGGCCCTCAAACGTACAGATATTTGTTTCTTTCTTGCACCACTGCGCGAAGACACCTCTGTTAGGTGCCACTCTGTTCATGCCGACTCAAACTGCCTTACCCCTGGATACCCGCTCATTTCCCTGTCCTTGTCTTTTGGACCGATGGCATCAGAGCGCCCATATAGGACCAACGCCCAAAGTAAGCAATGCTGCCTCATAGTGAATGAAAAAGATTGAGGAACTTTCAACAGCCTGGTCTGCAAGGAGCAGCATTTCATTCGACTTTATGCTCCCTGATCAAGGAAGTGATTTTTCCTTCTGCCTAATAATTGAGTAAAATCAGAAAACCCGCAGCGTTCTACGAGCATTCTCAAGCACTCATGCATTATGCATCTTTCAGAATCGCACGTATGACAGGCTCACTCTGAAACAAGCGAACGGCAAGCCATGCAGCATCTGGTTGCATGCATGTACCGTGGGTTACGTGTTCCCTGTTGGCCGGTCCAGCGGCGGAGTCATTCTCTTTCCAGGCGCATTCTGCGCTAAAAAGAACACACTGCTGCTGCACGTACGTTGCTCGTCCCTTTTCTCTGTCGGTTATCATCGGATATCCTCCTGGTGGTTGTCTACGCTGTTGATGTCTCTTGGTGGTGTTGTCAAAGTTGAGTACATAGGGACTTTCGCATGACACACCGTATTGCCTAAGTTTCCACTTACTTGTCGTACCAGAGCCTCCCTTAAGCTCTAGCATAGAGACAAATGACGGCTTTGCAGTGCGAGTTATGGAGGTTGTACAAGCATTGTTCGCCTCGCCCAGACCGCAGCATTATCTTGCTGCGCGCTGTCCTCGGTCTTCGTGTCTTGAACGCCAGCCTCTAAACACGTTACATGCTATGTTGTGACCCTGACTCTCAGGATCTGATGCTTTGTAAGAAGGATGAAGTCAACAAAGTCTGCTACCTTTAGTCGATCCTCATGTCTGTGATTAAAGGCAAGGCTAATAAACTTGCTCCTTCCTCGTTACAAGAGTCATATTTACGTAAAACATCCGGCACAGGTTACGGTTTCATATAATCATGGTACACTCAACCCCTTGACTGCCCGAAATGCCCCAAATTCTTCAAGAGGCGTCTGTTGCCTCATCCGCAGATGATTCAGCACCAGATTCATGTTCGCTCTCCTCCTCTTCCTCGGAGGACTCCTCATCGCTCTCGTCCTCATCCTCCTCACCAAACTCATCATCGCTCTCCTCTTCTTCATAGTCAGACCCGTCTCCGCACCCGCACTCGTGCGGTTCCCAGGTATGGCCCTCGCCACGGCACCTAGCCCCGTTGTCTGCGCAGGGCGCACAGATGATGAAGACGACGTTGTCGCCCCACCCGCAAGCCTCACACCCCTGCGCCCGGTCACGCATCGCGGATATGGTGCAACGCCCGCAGACGTCACAGTAGCAAGACGTCTGCGAAAACCGGATCGCCTCGGCTTGGTCGGCGAGCTGCGTGTGGCGGGCATCATCCCCGGCGACGGAGGCAAGGAGCGCAAAGGCCTCGGCTTTGCCGCTCCGCGCAGCCCAGTCGAGAGCTGAATGACCAAACATGTCTTGCTCGTGCAGTGGCTGGTTTTCAAGCTCTAGGAGACGGCGAAGTATGGAAGTTTGCCCGTTGCGCGCGGCCATGATGAGCGGCGTCGCTCCCCACTTGTCTTTTGTGTCGCAGACCGGAGGGGGTTCTTGGGAGAGGAGAACATTGACGATGGCCTCTCTTCCTCGCATTGCGGCGAGGAGAAGCGCTGTCCGGTTGTCAATATCTCGCTGGTTGATGTCTACCTTGCCCGTTGCGAGCAGTCGCTTGAGCACCCTGACGTGGCCACACGTGGCGGCAGCCATAGCAGGCCCCGTTCCCGTCGAGTTGGTTGCCTGCAAGCTCGCACCGCTGGCCAAAAGCATCTCCACCACCTCAAGGTTGCCGTTTTCTGCCGCTATGAGGAGCGGCGTGTATTGTTGCTTGTTTGCTTGTTCCAAATCGGCGCCCTTCTGTATGAGCACCTCGGCTACACTGTCGCATCCGTTGGCCGCGGCCAACAGCAGCGGTGTCCATCCGTAGGAGTCTACCGCTTGGCAATCGGCTCCATGCCCCAAGAGAAACTTGGCAATATCGACGTGGCCATTTTTCGCGGCGACGTGCAAAGCGGTGCAGCCAAACTCGTCGACGGCGGCCAGGTCGGCTCCATGGGCGTGGAGGAAGGAAACAGTGTCCAGGTCGCCATTGTCAATAGCCAGTGACAGCAGTGGCAACTTGGACGTTTTGTCGTCGACGTCTGCCCCGCGCTCTACAAGTCTCATCACGACTTGAGAGAGCCCTTTCTTCATGGCACTGGCCACGGGAGACACCCCCTCCGCATCCCGTGCAGCCACATCAGCACCGTGATCGAGCAGTGCGTCCACTATCATGGGCACGTCCCTGTCTGACACTAGATGCAGTGGCTGGTGGCCGGATGTGGTCATGAGCAAAGTATTCGCCCCTGCATCTAGGAGTATCTTGACGGCATTGGCCTGTTCGCTCATGACTGCGTGGAGCAATGCTGTTTTGCCATCCACGCATTGATCATCCACACGGGCTCCGTGGTCCAGCAGAACTCTAATCACGGCCGCGTTTCCCTTTGATGCTGCTGTGTGCAAGGGGAGATCTCCCTGGTCCACCCCTTCGTGCTGGCTGGCGCCGTGTTGAAGGAGAAGCAAGGCCATTTCCGCCGTGCACTCACCAGCCACGGCGTTGAGCATTGGGAGGCCCGCGACCACGTGCCCTGTTAGACCGGGCGACTTCTTCAGCAGGACCTTCGCGGTGACAAGGTGTCCGCCTTTCACGGCCAGTCCCAGAGGCGTGCTGTTGTTTTCAATCTGCATGTAGTCCGCGCCGCGATCCAGGAGCATCTCCACCATGCGTACATGACCAGAGCGGGCGGCGAGATGCAACGGGGTCCCGTCAGGCCTTTGGCGAGGAGCGATGTCGCTACTCGCATTGACCAGCATGGCTGCAATGTCCACCTCTCGGGGGTACCGCGCGACGGTGTGCAGCGGCGTTTCACCGCGATCGAAACGCGACGGCAGCAACGGATCCGCGCCGTGCTCAAGGAGAACTCTGACGACGTCCGTGTGCCCGTTTTGAATGGCGACAATGAGCGGGGTGCTCGCCATGCAGTCCCAGACGAAGGACTCCAGCTTGCACATGCTCAGCAAGGTCTTCAGGACGCGGACGTGACCTCTGAGTGCGGCATCGAAGAGGAGCGGCGCCTTGGACTCGCTAATGCGAGTGCCCGCGTTGACTGCATGCTGGAAGATTGTTGGGATGTTCTTCCTCGCGGCCCAGGTCAAGGCCGTGTTGGACTCTCGGTTGCGACGATACAGGACGACCCCGACGGGCCCCTGAAGCCGTCGGCACGTGCGACTGAACCTGCTCAAGTCGGCTTCCGTGGGCAGGAACTGGGCGACTTGTGTGACGAGCTCGTTTGGCAACGCAAGCAGCGCCATAGTTGCGGTTGACAACCTGATACTGACAGGATTGACGAGGTTGCGGCAGCTGAAAGGGACGGTTTCATCTGTTTAAGGCACGTACTTCGTATGTAATCCCAACGGCCCATTAGTGGCACCCCTGCGGCCTGTCGGTTCAGTTTGCGAGAAACGAAACGCTGTACGCGCGCGGGCAGGGACCCGAGTGAAGTGGGTCGCACAGCGCAGGCGTATTGCTCGTATCGTCAGGCCTCTCACTGTCCTGTGAGGTTGCGACTCCTGCCTGCAATTGCAGCATAGTCGGAATTGGGGCGTTGTCCTTTGACTGTCGCGTGCTCCAATAGTCGTAGCCCCGAACCGTGCCACATTGACAAACGTATTTCTTCATCCATGGCGTGTGCGCTGTTTCATAGGAACGCTCGATCCTATTCTTCTGCATGCTGCAAGTTGCAGCCTGCAACTAAGTACTAAAGTGTGCCACACCTCTGGAGTACGTACGTGTAATTTAGAGAGACCACCGTCTCGTCCACCTCAATTCGCCGCCAAGGTTGCGCCATGTTGCTTAGCCCGCAGTCCAAAATGGAACTCTTTGTTACCGTATTCATCTTGCAGATCCTCTTCGGAGCCGTCCAATGTGCCGTGTCTTCCAAGCCCGCCGCGCGTTCACATGCACTCAACACATACGACCCTCGTGGCAGGGAACGTGAACGGGACCCAACCCGCTTTACCGGGCCCAACCGTCCGCCAAAGGACGTTCAGAACGTTGAGGAGGCACGACACGAAGCTGAGCTGTACAATTCATGCGTACAAGGAATAGTATGAACCTTGGCTCTGAACTCGCGAGGTACCTACCATGACGCTAAGAATAGTCGATACGGCAGTGCAACCCTATTTCAGGGGAATGTTCCCTATACAAAGCCAGAGTACGGTCGCTCCAGTCGCTGCCCCCTAGTTTGGACTTTGAGTATGTATACGACTGGGTGACATACAAGTGCGCTGAAACTCCCGTCAGTAAAACGCTCTCCCCTACATCCTCGTGCAACACACTGATGCTCAATCACATAGTGCGTCAAAGGTGGTTGCAACATCAACTTCTGGGTCTGGGGCCCCGAAGTACAGTGCTGGTGATCTCCGCGACGACTTGGCGTGGCCGACAGGTGAAGCCCTTGGGTCAGAGACGCGCGCAATTCGGACAAGACTCCGCGGCTCGCGACAATCCTTCGAGCCATTGATGATGGCCGCCTGCATTGCCCTTTTTGAACTCAGAACCCGTCTTTCGATGTGGCATCATGCGCCTGCAGAACGTAGCTTTTATCAGGGCCCTTTGCTTCAAGTCAAGCCGTCCATATTAGCTCCAATACACATACAAGGTAGCTTGCCAACTGCTGATTCCCAGGCATGAGCGCCCCATACAAGTACCATGCCCAAGCCTTGACGCAAGCCGACACTACTACTTGCTGCTCTGTGGTCGGATAGCCTGTTGTGATGCCAGTTAGCACGCCACTCATTCTCTCTCACGCTGTGTCAAGCCGACATGGACGCAAGACTTGCCTTGGGCTCCTCCACGTAGTCATTAATGCCACCCATGGCAAGCGCCCACATGACCTTTGACTGCTTTGGCATGCCCGGGCTGCCAGCCCACAGCATGGTGTGCGGGAACCCCATGTCGAACGGCACTGCGCTCTCAATGGCTTCGATATCGGCGTCGCTCAGCTCAATGGAGAGCGCCTCGATGTTGCCCTTGAGATGGTCCACCTTGCGCCCGCCAACAATGGGGAACACGTTGGGCGTCTTCTGCATGACGTACGCCATGGCGATGCTCGTGATGACGGTGCCCTTGGCCTTGGCAATCTTCTCGAGCGCCGCGCTGACCCTGATGTCCGACTCGGAGAAGCTGATCTGGCGGCCCTCGCCGGCCCTGCGCTGCGCCTCCGTCTTGAACTTGCCGCCGCCGAGCGCGCCCCACGGCGCGATGCCCATGCCCTCCTCCTTGCACATGGGGATGATGTCGCGCTCAAAGTCGCGCCTGCCCGCGCTCCAGTTGCCCTGGTAGACCGAGAACTGGCGCAGGCCGTGGTTGCGCGCGTACTCGTTGGCCTTGCTGACGATCCAGGCCGGCGTATCGCTCACGCCCAGGTACAGCACCTTGCCCGACGCGACGAGGTGGTTGAGGCTCTGCATCAGCTCGGGGATCGGCGTGCTGTAGTCCCACCAGTGGATGTAGAGCAAGTCGATGTAGTCGGTCTGCAGCTTCTTCAGGCTGGCGTTGACCGAGGTGATCAAGCTCTTGGTGCCGTTGCCGTTGAAGTTGGCCAGGATATGCGGCGCGTCGGGGCCGGATCGGAAGTTTGTGGAGAACTTGGTCGCGAGAACTGGTCCGTGTAAGTCAGCTAAGGCATCGCCAGCCGTGGTGTAGTCGGGTCGTAGGGGTGAAGCGTACCGATCTCGTCTCGGTTGCCACGCTTCTTCATCCACTCGCCGATCCAGCGCTCCGATTCTCCGAACTGGTAATTGTTGGCGGTGTCGATGAAGTTGCCGCCCTATACTATCCCGTCAGCTGCCGCCCTCTTCTAGTATGGTATGTTGTCGGCTTTCGTCGTGGACGGCCGCGGGAGCCTGACCTGGTCGTAAAAGAAATCGAGGATGCTTTCGGTCGTAGCCTGGTCACACTCGCCCATAAATTCCTTCCTGAGAATGTCGTTAGATCCCCGTACCTCAGTTTCCAATCGCCGCGCAGATGCGACTCACCAGCCATTGCCAAAGTTCATGCCGCCCAGGCAGAGAGGGCTGACTCTCACGGCAGCATTAGGCGCGAGCAGACGGTAACGGCCAAGAGCCGACTTGGGCGGCGGGGCATTGGGAAGTGCCTTGTCCATTTTGTCGAGTACTGGAAGGTAAGTGGTCGCCTAGAGATGGCCGAGAGCAAATCACGAGTTGCAGTATCTAGATGGCTGCGGTGTCCTGTGCCGGCCTGGAGAATTGGGAGCAAGCTGCCGCTTTTATTTGACAGCTAGGCCAGGCGAGCTTCTCGCCAACCTACACAAGCATTGACACCCGTGTGGCCACCCGACGATCCCGCCAAACTCCGTTCCGCAACAGTCCACTGATCTCTCAAGTAGACGAGAGAGGCGTGCCTCTCAGCTGGAGATGGTGGCGCGGCCGTTAAGCTAGAACTAGGGTACTTTGCACAACGTGCTGCATAGTCATACTCTCTCGGGATGTAGGCCAGGCGCATTATCCACCAGTACCAGGTCCCTCCCAAGCAAACCTTAATGTCCGACAGCAGAGTCCCTTCAACCTGGTTCCCAATCCCAAGTCCGCAATGGACCTCAACGGGCCCTTAAATCCGTGGCATTGCATTGCCATGACGACACTAAATCCGGCCAAACACCGTTTGCCTCTCCGCAAATCTGAACGTACACGTCGAGCAGGTAACGAGTCTTGAGAATGATTCTCGGTGCCGAGTAGATCAATGTCACTGCTCATGGGTTTGAGGGGTTGTGTCGAGCTGAGACACCAGGGCTGGAGCGGCTGGGCCACTTGGTAAAGTTTAATGCCGTCGATACTGTTCCGGGCGCGATTCCTAAAGCTTGCTTTTCAGGGGACCCCCGCCTCAGGATGGCCTTTTCTGCCAAGCAGTAATACCGACGTTGCGAGAATTGTTCATTCCGCAGATGGCAAGCCATCGGATTGATCTGTAGCGAGCTCCAAGCCTCCATCGTCAATCTATTGCGATGCCACGGTCTACCAGACGGGCCCGGGAGGTTGGGAGCTCCCCGGACGCCACACCACCTCGCCTGGCCCCGAAGCTGCGCGTCGGACTTAAGCTCCATGGACTTTGCAGTCTTTAAGGAGAGCCCCCTCAAAGTGCTGTCCACACCATGTTATTTTGCACATGGTTTGATTGCTAAGCAGCAAGCTTCATGACAATGCGGAGATGGTTCCCACAGCCGTTCAGTTCATCATCCAAGTGCCTCTTGTCATGCGGAAGCGTCGTCAGTGGCGGAGTCGTGTCAGACTAATGCTGCAAATGGAAGCCATGGCTATCACGAACGGGACGCAGCTGTCACCCGGACATCGAGATACGGAGACGTCGGACTCTCGATGTCGAACACTGACGTCGTGGAAACTGAGATGTCATCCTTTTGAGACTCCCAGGTCCAGCGGCCCCCGCAAAACTGGTGCGGCTCCGTGTTCTGGAAGCCAGGAACCAGGCACTAGCACTGTCGCGACCCGTCGCTGGCGCTTACGGTCAGCACCCAAAATCACATCCTTTTTTGTCTCTTGCCACGACCACAGGAAATAGGGCCGCAAGCACGGTCGGATACTTTAGCGACGTGCCTAATTCGTACGTAAAGAGCGCAAATGTCGTTGTCTCGCCGGTAGGGAAGCCTTGAGCACGGTGCATGGTGCATCGCTGCATGCCAGGCGAGACGCGGTCGCAGGTTGAGGCGGCGAGGCGTCACCCATTTCCTGTATGGTCAATGATCATCTCAAGGAAGCCTGACAGCAGTCAATTGACAGCTTCTGCTTATGCAAATGATGTCCATAATGCGACAGCTTATCGGCCAGCTGCTCTCCCAGATTGCTCCATAACCGCTCTGCGGCAGCAATAATGCCAAGGCTGTGATGGACTGCACGTCTAGACTCTTGACACGCTTGATCGTACCTTGGCGGCTTGCCAAAAGCAGTGATGCCTCATGTTCAAGGGAAGTTGTTACGAAGCCGCGGCGTTTCCGTGGCGCCGTGCGCCCTCGTTACGTACTGCGGCAAATATCGTTGTCGCTTGATTCTCTACTGTTGGAGTATATGAGCACATTAGAGCCTTCGATTGTTGGCGGCCAGCACCATGGGCGAAGCACGGGTCGGGTCGGTCGACACCTCGCCCTCTGCTCTCTGCCGGGACAATTGAGACACTGGCATATCACCATCAAGGAAGAGATCGCAAAACGCGTCGACTCAAGTAGGATACATCTCGCACTTCACGATTCCCTCTCGGAGTCCGGGCCGACGGCTAACGCTCATTACCCAGAAATTAGAATGCGCTTCATCGAGGTCGCGGCGCTCATCGTCGCCCTCGCTACAGGCGACACCTCCGCCGAGGGCATCAACTGCTTCGGCCGCAACGCCCTCTGCCGCAAGGGCGACACGCACAGCTTTGCCAGAAAGAGCATCGGCATCTCCGAGTCCCGGATGTACAGGAACGGGGAGCACATCATATGCGACCAGATCCTGCCCATGGGAACGGGCGTATGCGTCTTCCTCCAGCACATGCCGGAGAATAGAAACCGGGCGGGCGTGCCGGGCAAGGAGATCAAGCGGCTGCTGCAGGCGCTCGACTCGTACGGCTGCGACAGGTGCGGGAGCGTGCCGCTGGGCTTTCCCGAGTCGAACAACTGGAAGATCACGGGAGAGCTTACCGTCAACTATGTTCGCCATGTGAATGGGTGTACCAATATTTGCGACTAGTATAAGCCCTGTATGCTTTTGGTTATGGACCTTGTGCTTTGGAAGGCGTTTATGGTATAGATGAGCAATATAGGTCAAGACTATCGTATACCTGGAGGCCCCAAGTGCTTGCACACTATTGTTACCCCCCAACCCCCCCGGGGCTGACATTGATGTTGATGTCATGACGCAGGTCAGCAAACTGCCACCAAGTCACAACCACGAAGCGATTCCGGACAGACGAATTGACAAACGGGCGCTAGATGAAGCGATAACGGCCAGCGAGAATTGTCCGCGCCGCCCGCCGGTGTAAGAAACAAGAAGGCAACGGCGCCGGAAAGCAGGCCGAAAAAGGGCCTGGCCCGGCGTCAGCCGCCACCGGGGCCAATCGATGCGCAACGTGCCACCGCGCTGGCTTACATGCGCCGCTGAAGCCTCATCCCATGGGATCGCGGGCAGCTTTAGCCGCTGGCACGACGTCGAACAAGGTCCTGCACGTGGCAGCGGATGCTAGCGAAGAGCGAAACTAAAAGGATCTCTCCAGCCTAGACTACTGCTGACCCTCAGAGCTATTGGAATTTGGAGCGAAGAGACGCGACATTGCGACTAGTATTCGATCTTCCGACTGCCATCCGGGCCGACTTGCGGCGAGGACGACGACAACGAACGCGGCACAACCGCGACCAAGTTGAAGGGGAATTAGCCTGAGCTGGAGAAGGAGGCAAACTCACGCCCGTATTAAAGCGCAGCCGTGCTCCTCCGGACAGAGACTCGTCAGTTCGGCTGATCGCACATCACGAGGACAATTTAACTTGTCCCCCTCACCACAGCACCTCGCCCAAGACATCGCCAGCTTCAACCCCGCACCGCCACCAAACACGCGACCGAGATGAAGGCCACCACGCTCACCGCGCTGGGCCTCGCCGCGTCCGGTGCCTCGGCGCGCTGGCACGAGGCCGACGGCGCCACGATCCGGTACTCGACGGTCTCGGGCTACTTTTTGCAGGACGAGCCGACGACGAACCCCAGCGGCTTCGACTACGTGCGTTGACGCCATGAGTGTCCATGGACATGAGCGTGAGAGCTGACTGACTGACTGACGGCACGCAGGCGGCGTGGAACTTTGGGCTGCTCAACCGCACGTATCCCACTGACGGCTGGGGCCATCACCAACCGAGCTCGGGCTCGGTCGCATCAACGCAGTGGCAGCGCTTCGCCCGCTGGGTCGACTACCTCAACAGCAACTGCCGCAACGACGGGCGCACGCGGTACAAGGTGCTCGTCATGGGCCGCCACGGGCAGGGCTGGCACAACGTGGCCGAGACGTACTACGGCACGCCGGCGTGGAATGTCCGTCGTCTCTCCGTCTCTATCTCTCTCTCTCGCCAATAACCTCCCCAATGCTGACGATGATGATGATGGTGAAAACAGTGCTACTGGGCAGAGCTCGATGGCAACGGCACCGCGACCTGGGCCGACCCGCTGCTCACCGCGCAGGGCGCCGCCGAGGCCAGCCGCGCCAACGCCTACTTCGCCAGCCGGCTGCGCGACCACGGCATGCCGGCCTTCGACTCGTACTACTCGTCGCCGCTCAAGCGGTGCATCCAAACCGCCGACGGGACCTTTTCGTCGCTGCACCTCCCCGCGGGCAAGCCCTTCCGGCCGACCATCAAGGAGCTGTTCCGCGAGGGCATCAGCATCCACACGTGCGACCGGCGCAGCACGCGGCGCGAGATCCGCGCCTTCGCGCCCGCCAGCTTCCGCTTCGAGGAGGGCTTCACCGAGGAGGACGAGCTGTGGCAGGGCGCGCAGAGCAAGGGCGAGACGGAGGCCCACGAGCAGGCGCGCAGCAAGACGGTGCTGGACGACGTGTTTGCGCACGACGACGGCACGTGGCTCAGCGTGACGAGCCACAGCGGCGAGATCAGGTCGCTGCTGGCGGTGCTGGGCCATCGCGAGTTCGGGCTCGGCACGGGCCAGATCATCCCCGTGCTGGTGCGCGCCGAGGCCGTCAGGGGTGGTGGTGGGAGCCCGCCGCCGGGGACGACGACGGCGCCCGGGTTCACGTTTGAGGCGACGTGCACGGCGCCGCCGGTGACGAGCATCGCGGGCCAGGGCTGCGTGTGCTCGACGACGGGCGGGGTGCCGGCGCTGGCGAGCGCGACGCCGACGCCATCGCTGAGGCAGATGTGAGGACTGCGCTGGGGGGTCAGTCTGTGAGCGTGAGGAAGAATCTGGTCAGGTAGTCGTAATGCCGCGGGTACGCAATGCAATCCCGTGAGGTGTGTAGTAACGTTACTTGGGCTTTGTAGACGAGGGCATTTGATACCGGCGCGACGACGGTGTGGCTGCGATGAGACAAAGAGATGCCACTATCAACAATGGGCGATCATGATGCAACTGTCACTGACTCGCGACAACAGTCACAGGGACACAGGTCAGGTAGACGGTTCATCCGCAGAAGAGCTGGACGTATCTGAACTTCCGAAGAGGGGCATGGCTCGGCGATATCCGCAGACTGGGTGAGGTTGAGACGGCGGCATCAGGGGACGGAGGCGCATGGGAAAGATCAATGCGGCGTCGCGGGAGTCGTCGAGTCAGGGCCAGCGGCCGTTACTCTCGCGCTGAACCATGGGACGCAGCATTGCAGGGTCCGGCATGAACCGGCGGAGTCTCCCAAGTTCCCAACGGCTTTGTTTCACTCTGCTGGGCGAGACCCAATTGACGTCTCGGATGCGCCGACTGCCAGCTATGTCGCGGACGACTTACTCCCCAGCCGGCAGCTGTAAAGTGCAAAGGTGCCGGCCGTTAGCATGCCCCTTCCGAACGCGACCCCCATGGTCCCAGCAGCGGCCAAGTTGATGATGCCGGGTCGGCGACAAAACTTCCCGTCCACGGCCGGCACCAAAGCGGCAGGTGACAGGCTCCAATAAACCCCTGAACCCCCTGCCCGCTGCACTGGAGTTGCACTGCCTGAACGAGCTGGAGCCCGCCCGTGGTTGCGTGCCCAGTGCCCGCCGGGAGCCACACCCAATCCAACCCCACAGGCGACCCGGCCGTCTCATCATTCGACAATGGGTCCCACTGACGCAACTGCCGGCGCCCTGCAGCGCCGAGTCCGCGCCGGTGCAGCGCCATGCAGCAGGCCGGTGCAGCCACCTCACCCTCCATAGGCGGCACCTGCGGACCCGGCGGCACACATGCATCGCTGACGCAGACGAGGAATCAGCAAAGGGGCAGAAATATGACACTTCAGCTACAATCCCGTAGCTAAATATTGAGAAGAAGAAAACCCCCAAGGTGGGAGGTTCACTAACTAGGGTCCTGCTCCTCCGAAGACGGTGTGGCCTATAATAATTGACTCGCTCCCGTCTCCTCCGGGCTCCTTCCTCCAAAGTCGCTCCCCCCCCCCCCCGCCCGCTCCTCCACGATGGCCGGCATCGAGCTTCTCTAGCCTGCATCCCTCCTTCCTCCTGCCCCTGTGGCCTGACTTTTTTTCTCCCTCCCCCTTCCTTCATCCTTCTTCCTCCTTTTCAAATCCTCCTCCGCATCCTCTCTCCCCGACGCAACGACTCACCCAAACTCTCCCCTTTGCGCTTCCGATTCTCTGTCCATAGTTTTGTTCGCCTTGCCCGCACGCACGCACGCTGGTCCCGTGTCTTCGATTTACCACCGAACCCATCCTCGTTGCTCGGTCCCCTCCACAACCTTGCCTATAGCACGTCGCCGCCGAAACGAAGCGAGCCCCAAGCGAGAGCCACAGACCGACAGCGCGATAGAGAGCCACGCGGAAGAACAACGCCCGTCAGCGCGAGCCAACAGGCGAACCTTGAGAGAACCAGGAACCAAATCAATGCTCCGGTCCAATTGAGCCACGGCTTCCAAGGTTACTGAGGTGCCGCCCCAATCCCATCGCGTCGTCGCAGCACAGCGTCAGCGCCAGCCCAGCCCGGCGCATCACGAGCCGAGCCCGGCGCGAATAGCTGGGCGACCAGCGTCGGCGCCAGGCCCAAGCCCAGGTCCCGAACCACGACTAGCCAGCCAGCCAGCCAGCCGCAGAACCAGAATCCATCCATCCATCCCCAATCGCGCGTCTGTCAATCTCACGCCAGACGCCACAACCCCTGACGCTCACACGCGCGGGCACACACACACGCACACCCGACGCCCCTGGCAAAGCGGCGCGCCCCCATTGACGAACCGAAACCTCGGGTTCCAGCCCGCCCACCAGCCAGCCCGTCTGGCTCCCAGGGTCCAAGGTCCCAAGGCCCGCGCGCCGCATTGGATCCGGCTCGAGTCTCGCATCGCTACCGTGCCTTGGTTTTAGCCACGCACCCAGACCAGACCCCTCGACGAGACCACGCGAGCGCCGCGCGCAGCGCACCCGTCGCCCGTCATGCCGCACCAACAGCACCACCACAACCACGCCACCCAGGCACAGCTGCCGCCCGCCTCTCCCCTCTTCAACTCGGCCATCTTCTCCCCCTCGTCCTCCACCTCCTCCTCCGGCCTCCCCTTGCGCCCGGCCACCCGCGACGGCAGCTTCAGCGTCGACCCCCTACATCTGCCGCCGCAGTCGCCCCCGCCTCCAGTGCCCTCGGCGGCAGCAGCTGGAGCCGTGCCCATCCTCGCGCGCGAACCGCGCAAGCCCTCGTTCGGTTCGCGCAAGGTCTCGCTGGGCGCCGCGTCCGCCGTCTCCTCGTCCGCCCCGACCGGCCGTCGCCGGGGCTCCTCGACCACCTCGATCGGCAGCACCGCCTCCTCCAACGCCGTCGTCACCGACGCCGCCGCCCCGCCTGCCCTGCCCGACTACGCCCTCGCCGCCGCGGCAAAAATCCATAGCCAGACCCAGAGCCAGAATCTAGCGCGCAGCCCCGTCAGTCCCGACGGAGGCGGCCTCGGCCACAGCTACGGCACCGCCGCGCCCCCGGGCTTCGTCCCTCTCCACGGCCGCTCCGCGACGGCCAACTCGGCCGCCGGCATGACCATGATGCCACCGCCGACGCCCCTGAGCGGGCCCGGCATGTGGCAGCCCAGCGAGGCGGGCGCCATCCACCAGCACATTGCCGACGTGGCCAACAAGCGCATATCGACTCTTGACTACCTGCGCAAGGCGTAAGCACTCTTCCCCACTCGATGGGATCGCAGACTGACCTCCTTTACAGTCACGAAGGCCGTGTCTACTGGTTCAACACGTACCTCTTCGACAAGCCCGACCTCGCCCGCATGCCCTGCTTCGACCCCCGGCGCCTCGCCCGCAAAGCCACCAACTACCTCCTCCTCGGCCTCTCCATCCCCACCATCAACGATCTCTACTCGTCCACTCCGCTCGAGTTCCTGCGCTGCCTCAACGCCCTGCTCTCCGAATTCGACTCCTTCCAGCAGATCCATCACTCCGACTCCTCCGCCGCCTCCACCTCGAGCGCCGCCGCCGCCGTCAGCCTCACCCGCGCACGCCTGCCCAGCATGTTCCGCCGGCCCGGCGGTGGTAAGTCGCGCCGGTCCACCTCGGCTGCCGAGTCCCCTGACGACTACGGCGGCGGCGCGGCGGGCGGCTTTGGAGGCAACGGCGCGGGAGGCGCGGCTGGCGGCATGGGCAACGGGTACGGAAACGCTCCGGGCGGCAGTGCGAACGGCGCCCCCGCCGTCATGAACTTTGCCGCCTCCGAGTCGGACCTCCTCCCTGGCGAGGAGTACACGTACCTGCTCACGCCATCGCTGCCATTCGAGCCCGACTTCTTCGAGACGTTTGCGACGCTGTGCGACGTGCTCATCGACTGCTACTCGCGCTTCCTCGCCCTCGTGCCCACGCCGCGCGAATGCTCCGCCCCCGTCGCCGAGCTCTTCTCCAAGGCCGATTCGCGCCTGCGCAAGATCATCGTCCAGGGCGTCGTCAAGGAGTTTGACGACCACAGCAGGTCCCACGTGCGCACCGAGGTGGCGAGCATCGGCAAGGTGGTGCTGGGTGGGCTCATGTGAGGATGACTGCGCTCCATTTTGGAGGGGCTCATCCCGATGCTTGGCTGTTTCAGCGTTATAGTCTTATATGGGTGTCACATCTTTGACGGCATTGCTAGCCAGCTTGGAGTTTTGTTTTGGGTTGACAGGGCGTTTCTTGGGGTTCAAGTTATACTACACTATACCTACGCGGGGAACGTTTATCATGAACGAGTTGCAGGCGAGCGCGTGCGCGCTGTCATGGGGCGAGAACTGGGCACGCAGGGGGCGTTATATACAAGTGACATCTTGTACACTATCCTACAGGTCGTGTGTGATCTATATACACGCATGAACTGCGCCATGTCCACTATCTTACACTTGTAGAGTACGTATACGCGCACATAAACAGCGCCGGTTCTTTACCTGGTCGTCGTCGTCTCCGTCGTCTGTCACTCCTGCTGCTGCTGCTGCTTCGCCTCCTCCTCGGCTGCAACAGCCTCCACCTCGCGGGCGACGAGCCACTCCCTCGCCGCGCCCATGATCCTATCGAGCGTCTCCCCGCCCGCCAGCACGTCCGGCAAGTTATGCGTATCCAAGCCCGCGCGGTGGTCCGAGCAGCGGTCCTGCCCGTAGTTGTATGTGCGGATCTTGTCGCCGCGGGTGATTTGCGCACGGCTGAGGACGCTGCTGCGCAGGCGGGCGGCCTCCTCCTGGCGGCGCTCGACGCGCTGGGCGGCGACGCGCGAGCGCAGCACCTTCCAGGCGTCCTCGCGATTGCGCTGCTGCGAGCGGTGGTCCTGCATGGAGACGACGGTGCCCGAGGGGGCGTGCGTCAGGCGGATGGCCGACTCGGTCTTGTTGACGTGCTGGCCGCCGGCGCCGCGGGCGCGCATCGTCTCGACGCGCACGTCGGCCGGGTTGACGTAGAAGTCGCTCTCCGGGTCGTCGACGTCGATGACATCTGCGCCAGACCCTCCCCCGCCGTTGTTGTTGTTGCTGCTGTCGGCAAAGGACGGCAGCACCCAGACGGCCACGGCGGAGGTGTGCACGCGGCCTTTGCTCTCCGTGCTGGGGATGCGCTGCACGCGGTGCATGCCCGCCTCGCCGCGAAAGATGTCATACGCGCCCGGGTCCTGCACCTCAAGGACCGCCTCCTGAAGCGGCTGCTCGCCCGCCGAAGAAGACTGATCGCCCGCCGCATCCGCCAGCTCATATTTAAGAACATTCGCGCGGTACCCCCTGCGCGCACACAGCGCACTGTACATCTTGAACAGCGAGTCGGTAAAGTACCGTCCCTCGAGGCCGCCGGGGCCGGGGCGGAACTCGAGCATGCAGGGGAGGTGGGCGAAGGGGTGGCGCGGGGTGAGGGCCGCGGAGAGGGCGCGCTCGAGGCCCTCGAGACGGGCCTGCTCGGGGGCGAGGTCGTCGCGCGCGATGGCGGCGAGGTCCGGGTCCGTGCCGTCCGGGTCGGCGGCCAGGGCGGCGAGCTCGGCGACGGAGGCGCGGGCGGACGTCCACGCGGCGAGGGCGGCGGCGACGCGCGAGAGCTCGCCTGCGCGGCGGGCCTTGGCGGCGTCGAAGGCGGCGGTGTCGGAGCTGAGGGCCCGCTGGAGGGTGTCGTGCTCGGCGGCGAGGGACTGCGCGCGGCGGAGGAGGCTGGGCGCGAGGGCGGAGGCGGCGGCGGCGTCTGCGAAGGTTTGCAATTGTCAGTGACGAGGGTGTCCATGCTTCCCAAGGGGTGGGGGCTTTTGCTGGGCTGCGTTGGCGGGCGGAGAGTGGTAGGTAGCTCACCATTGGAACTGCTGCTCGATGCGTAGCGCGCGAGTGGATGGCGCGCGGGGGAGCGGCGCAGCGCCCGGGCGCAGCTGCGGCAGATCCATGGTGCCGCGAGCATGGCTCGCTGGACGAGAGGGTCGGAGAGGCGGTGGTTGTGGTGGTGAAGGAGGGTGGTGGTGGTGATGCGCTGAGGTTGGTGTTGAAGGGTAGGTCGGTGACGCTGGCGGCGGAAATATTTTGGACAGGGGGTGGGGGGCCAGGGCCCAGGGGTCTGGGGTGTGGCCCGATTAGGCGTTGACGCAGGCGGCTTCATCTTCCAACACCATGACCACACGGCCAGGCACTCCACAGGGCAGCATCATATCACGTCCAGTTGCCTGCAATAGTTTGACACTACGCAGGCTCAAAACTGCCATTTTCCGCCCCAAGACGCCTCCCAAAGGTAGTTAGTTGATCAAGCTAAATTCCTGGGCATATTCGTCACGTATACCTCCTGATCTACACCTAAGCAGGCGTCTCGACTACAGCACCCGTGCCAGGCAAAGCGCCGTTGAACGCAAAGTTGGCCCTGCAATACTATCAAAGCCTCCTCTCGGATCTCACCGGCCAAAATAATGAGCGCGCCGATTAATAAACATGTGAGGAATCACTACATCCCATCACGGCGAACAGTCTCTAAAGAGAAGTATGCTCCTGACTCGCCCTGGGTGTCAATGGCTCCTAAATCCGGGGGGTCGGACATAAACGCTCACGCCATGCAAATGCCGAGCCAGCGTTCCAAGGTCAAAGGGGATGGACATCGCACTTCTACTCGATACCAGACTTGGCTGAAATCCAGCTTCAAAACAAAGCCCTCCTGTCACAGCTCCCCACGGCCAAAGCAGCCGACCCCTGACACGAGTACCCAAGATGCCATTCTCTCATCCTAGCAAGTCAAGCTGCAACGAGCTCGTCTCATACTACGCAGACGCTACCAAGGGCAAGACGATCCTCACAACGGGCGTGTCTCCGACCAGCATCAGTGCGCCGTTCGTCCGCGCCCTCGCCACAGCCGGTCCCCGTCTCCTCATCCTGGCCGGGAGAAACCTCGACAAGCTGCAGCAAGTCGCCGATGAAATCACCACGGCACACCCAGAGGTCGACGTGCGCCTGCTTCAACTCGATTTAGGCAGTCTCTCTGCCGTACGAAAGGCAGCTGAAAAAGTGAACGTCTGGGACGACGTGCCTGTCATTGACGTGCTCGTTACCAACGCGGGGATCATGGCCACGCCATATGTCCTGTCGCCGGACGGCTATGAGAGCCAGTTTGCCGTCAACCACCTCGCGCACTTTCTCTTCGTCAACCTCGTCATGGACAAGCTCCTTGCATCGCCTTCTCCGCGCGTTGTCAGTGCGACAAGCAAAGGTCACCGCTTCAGCCCGATCCGGTGGGGTGACATCAACTTTGATGTAAGCTCATGAGCACCACCACCACCACGGCAACACACTTCGTGTCATTTAGTCCAACATGCCAACTAACGATGCTGTCGAATAGAACGGGGATATGTACGACAAGTGGGCAGCGTACGGGCAGTCCAAGACCGCCAACATACTCCTTGCCATCTCCCTCGCAAACAAGCTTGGCAAAAGGGGCCTCCAGGCGCACAGTGTCCATCCTGGCACCATCGCGGGGACCGGCTTGGCTTCACATCTTGACATGTCGGCAGACGTCGCCTTGCTGAGTGAGTTCTCTCATCCTGTCCGCGGAAATACTGTATTGGTACTGATACCGATGTTCAGTGGCACGAGATCAGTTGCTCGGCAACCCTGAGGGCTGGAATAGGGTCACGGAGTACGTTACCCCTGAACAAGGGGCAGCGACCTACGTGTTTGCCGCTTTTGAACCAAGTCTCACAAGTATGCACTTCCCTGTTGGTTCATGTGGAGTAGATCGTGGGTACTTCGATTTTCTGCAACTCAGGGGCTAACTATGGGCGTACCAGAGCGCAATGGCGCCTACCTTCTTGACTGCCGTGTCGGCGATCCATACGTCGACACCATCATGCCTTGGGCAACGAGCTCCATCGAAGCCGAGCGCCTGTGGAGGCTTAGTGAGAGCATTGTGGGACAAAAGTTTACTTACTGAGAAAAGTGAACTGCTTGTCAGTCGACGAGGCGTGGCCGTCGAGGGACGTATCCGTCAATCACACACAACGCACGCCACGGCATAACGGTTCTGAAGTTTCAAGTATCATGAGCTGTATTAGTCTATTGTGGAAGGTGCAGCGGCCAGCCATGCACACCAACCCCTTTCCTATTATGTTTTCATGCCTCGCAGTGTGGAGAGCTTCATCAGTCATTACATCAGGGCGTCCCAAGGCCCTCGTCTACGTCCAGTCTATCCCCCTTCCCATCACCACCTGCGCCCCTTGTTGTTCTTCAGGTCCACCCACTTCGCCGCGCAAAGCAGCGCACCACCCAAGACGAGGCACGCACCTCCCCACATCTGCGCCGCGATGTAGCTCCCGCCCGCGACTTCGATGAGCTTGCCTGCGAGCGGCGGGCCCGTCAGCGCGGCGACGCTCACAATCGTAAAGACCATGCCGATGCGCGTGCCGTTCTTGCTCAGGTCGGTGCTCAGCCCGGCCAGCGACGACGGAAACAGCACCTGGATGGCCGCGCCGAAGAAGCCGTACACGAGCAGCCAAGCGTAGTCGCCGCCCAGGCTGCCGACGCCCGCCCACGCGAAGACGCACACAGCCGACGCGAAGACGATGGGGATGAAGGTGTACACGGCGCCGATGTACCGGTCTGCGACGTACGCGGGCATAAGTCGCCCCGGGATACCGATGGCGTTGATGATGAGCAGCATGGTGAAGGACGTGGACTGGGATACGCCGAGGACGTCGACGCCATACGCGCGAGCCTTGGTTCCTCGTCAGTCACACTACATCAAGCAACTTCACGACCCCAGTTTCACGAAGGGAGACTCACGTAGTAATAGACAAAGTAGGCCGCCCACAGCACGAAAAACATGCTGATGGAAAACAAAAAGTAAGTCGGCTCCTTGAACGCAGCCAACTCAAGGAGCGGCCCCGACCGTCTTGGAGGCAGTCTCGGCCGCACAATGGCCATGACTATGAGCGACGAGACGAGCACGACGAGGCCCATGGCGCGGACCGTCCAGTGAAACCCAATCCTAGGCATGAGCTGCTGCGCCATGAGCGGAAACACCATGCCGCCCGTCCCGCCACCACACCCCGACGTGGAAATCGCCATGCTGCGCTTCCGCGTAAAGTACGTCGACATGTTCGCAATAGTCGGCGCAAAGACGATGCCGCAGCCGAGCCCCTGGCACAGGCCCTGCGCGAGAAACAGCTGCAGGTACGTCCGCGCGAAGCTCGTGGCCAGGATGCCGATGAGCTGCATGGCGCTGCCGAGGAGGAGGGCGTGGCGGTAGTAGCCCGCGTCGAAGGCGCGCCCCGACACGGCGCCGACGAGGAAGATGAGGCAGATTTGCACGCTGCCGATCCAGGCGATGGCCGAGGGCGCCGTGTTGAGCTTGGAGGCGTAGTAGGGCTGGAAGATGCCGAAGCTGATGATGTAGCCCCAGGTGTTGAAGACGATGAGGTGGCCGGCCAGGACCTGCAGCCAGGCCGTGAGCCCGCCGTCTGGAGGTTCGGACAGCAGCGGCTTCTCTGAGATGGGTTCCGCAGCTGGATCTGAGGGTGCCGGCTTCTTGATGAAGTCGGGTTTTTCTTCCCGGTCTAAAGGCCCTGGCTTTTCGGTGACGACGACGACAGGAGATTGCTCAGTTGGTAACTCCAAGACCGACTCGGCGTCCGGGACGATTGTGGGAGTCGAGGCGCCCGAGCCAAAGTCGTCGTCGCCGGTGAGGGTGTACTGCGATGGGTCTGGTAGTGTTTCCATGTTCGAGTTGTATTGGTTAATGCTGTTCTCTCTGTGTGTATAGTGATAGCACCTCTCGTGGAGTGCTTGCAGTCGATGTCGTCGTCGTCCAGCGACAAGATGCGAAAACGAGGAAACACAGCTCCGGCGACCGGCAGGCGGCCCCCTCGCATCATTATATTAAACCCAAGACGAGCTCGACGAGGTCGTCAGAGAAGTTATGGGTCATAACGTGTCTGATAAGCAACCGAGGGCAGCCCAAATGCGGCGCCCCCGAATTTAGCAGCAGCATGGCAAGATAGCTACGAATCGTTTAACCTGACGAGTGGCAGGAACACCAGACCCTCGGTGAGGGAGACGAACGCCGCACGCTCATTCGCGGCTTCAGTGCTTTTAGACTTGCGGCCGCGATCCGCCCGCGAGGCAAGTGGGCTCGAAGCGCACTGATAATACGGCGCCGTTTGGGTTCGGATGGGGCCCGCCGAAGAATCGGGCGACACGGAGGCGCGAGCTTGGGATCACCTTACCTGGCGGTGGTGATCTCCCTATCGGCCGCTAATAAAGGGGGGGCAAAGCTTAACGGTACGTGACGTGGATGGATCGCCTGCTTGCTTTCTTACGCAGGGTCCTGTCTGTCTAGGGCTTTTACGGTTTTGTTGCTCCGATTGCGTGACGCGATGGACGTCTACGATGGCATCCACGGGCGCAATGTCTTGGAGCACAGGAGCATGCCCGAGTACGAGTTGCAAGATCACGGCATATTTCCAAGTCGAGAGCTCGTCGAGCGCGATGTGCAGACACAGCCCACGCTGTCAATCCAGGGGCACGCCGGTGGCAACGGCGGCGGCGGCGGCGGCGGCGGGCGCGACACACACCTACACGGGCGGGAGGGTTCGCGTCTATATCGGTGGATTTTATTTTTTTTAGAGTTCGGATTTGAACCGACAGTGGAGGCTCGAGGTACAAATCCCAACGTGAGGATCCGGCGCGGGCCTCAGGTACCGGAGGGAGGATAGGGTGACTTTGCGCTCGCGTGGTCGGCCGGGGGCGCGCGACAGAATCCACCAAGAGCCAAACAAAGCCGCGCTGTTCCCGTCGCCGGTTTTTTCGGCGTCACCAGATGATACTTGTATTTGACGTCGACTGTCTGCCTCCACTGCGCTGCGAGCCCGGAGTTGGGTGACTGATCGCACGGAAGGGAGACCGGAGCAGTGGGGCCCGAAAGCGTTGCCGGAATTTGGTTGTCGGCCGGCCGGTCGGCCGTGCGTGACTCTTTGGCCGGGCCTTGCATGGACCGGGGGGCGTGTCATCCTCGGGGGTCCAGCTGCGTATCTGCTTGTCATGTGCCGGCGTTGGCTTATCGTGTTACTATTTACATACAGACACATATATCCCGTATCGCCCGTAGCGGTCAAGCAAGCGTCGTGTGCCGACGCGAAGCGGGCAAGACTTGCAGCCCAGACCCGCATGAGCGATATGCCGGCCGTCAACAAGAGGGCGCGCGCGGTGGCTCCCCGGCGAGCCATTCACGCCGGCCGCCCTATTTTCGCTGCTGACAAACTGTCGCCGGTGTGCTCCGTTCGAGCCCCGGATTTGGTGTTCCAGGTCGTGTTAGTGCCTCAGCCACGACGGAGCAGCGTCGACGATGGCTTGCGGTAGTCATTCCGCTATTATATGAGGGACGACTGTGCGCACGCGCGCCCACCTCCGTTGTGAGGAGGAGGAAGATCAATCTTTGCAAACTCTTCTCTCACTCTCCTCGAACTCTAAGACGTTGCATTGGCATTGGCATTGAAACAGCACTCGGGAACAAAGAACGGAAAGCGAAAACAAAACATCGTCGCCCACCATGTACGCCCTCTACATCGGCAACAAGCGCTACTCGTCGTGGTCGATGCGCCCCTGGGTCCTCCTCAAGGCGCTCGACATCCCCTTCGACGAGAAGCTGCACTTCTTCAAGCCCGGCCAGGCGCAGCCCGAGTTCAAGGCCTTCTCGCCCTCGGCCAAGGTCCCCTGCCTGCACGACAACGACTCGGGCAACGTCGTCGTCTGGGACTCGCTCGCCATCGCCGAGTACCTCGCCGAGCAGCACCCGGCCGTGTGGCCGTCCGACCGCGCGGCCCGCGCCTTTGCGCGCTGCGCCGCCGCCGAGATGCACTCCTCCTTCGCCGCCATCCGCGACGAGTGCAGCATGAACGTCGCGCTGCGCATCGAGCTGCCCCGCCCGCTGAGCGAGGGCCTGCGCCGCGACATTGCCCGCCTGGGGGCGCTGTTCGCCGAGGGCGTGGAGCGCTTCGGCGGGCCGTTCCTCGCGGGCAGCAGCTTCACGGCCGCGGACGCCTTCTTCGCGCCCGTGGCGTCGCGCTGCGAGACGTACGGCATTCGCTTCGAGGATAACCCCAAGGCGCAGGGCTATGTCGATGCGCTGCTCGCGCACCCGGCGGTGCAGGCGTGGATCCAGCAGGGCATCCGCGAGACGGAGAGGGAGCCGTATCACGAGGAGGACTGCGTGCGCGGGCGCAAGGTGCTCGAGGATCTGGCCAAATGAGTGTGACGGAGTCAGGCTGGCAACGCGAAGGGACGGGGTTGACACAGACACGGACGATGGAGGAGGCTATCACGAACGGGTGGGAGCAAGGCGTTGGTGGTGATGTGCCGGTATTGAGCAATGCTGTTCGCGCAAAGGCTGCATGGAGGACAGACGACGAACTGGAACGCGTCATGAAGAAATACACGTTCAATTGGTCCAGTATCCCTCCCTTTTGCCGAGTGATGTGTGCCCGCGGTTCTTTGTCTGTTTCGACTGCGCTGAACCAGGTCATGTCCAGGGTAACCAAAATCGACATGGCTTCAGGTACGAGTGCTGTTCGCGGCCAGTGCCCGCTCGAACCACCAGCAGTGACCACCACCACCACCACCATACGCTATAAACGGACAGCTGATGTCTCCGCCTCCAAGCTTCAGCTCCCCAACCTCGCATATTCACCATCACATCATTACAGCACGCCGTAGCTGCCATCGCCGCCATGGCAAACCGGGGCGTGAGGCAGTGCCTCTCCGACATTACATTTTACCTCGTCACCATCATTGCCATTGCCACGCTCGGCCCGCTGCAATTTGGCTTCCACCTTGTAAGTGCAAGCTGCTCCAACCCGTCGTCACCAGCATCAACCACGCCCCTCTCCTCCTCCCCCAACCCTCATCGCAACCTCCCTCGCCGCAGCTAACGCGTCCAACTCCCCCAGGCCGAGCTCAACGCGCCCCAAGATGTCATCACCTGCCGCAAAAAGACCATCTCGACGGCTGCCCGCCTCGCCGCGTGGGTCCACTCGTCGAAACCAAAGGACAAGGCCCCCGCTGGCCTCCTCCCCGACTGCATCCCCATGAGCGAAGCCGCCTTCGCCACCGTCTCCTCCGTCTTCACCCTCGGCGGGCTCGTCGGCGCCCTCTGCGCGGGCCCCCTGTCGTCGCGCCGCGGCCGCCTGCCCGCCATGCGCGCCACCGCCCTATGCTACGTCGTGGGCGCCGTCGTCGAGACGTTTGCCGGCCGCGTCTGGCTCCTCGCCCTCGGGCGCCTGCTCGCGGGCCTCGGCGCCGGCGCGTCCACCGTCATCGTTCCGCTCTACATCAGCGAGGTGTCCCCGCCCGACGAGCGCGGCCTCTTCGGCGCCATGACCCAGGTGTCCATCAACGTGGGCATCCTCGGCACCCAGACGCTGGGCTACTTTCTCAGCCACGGCGCTGCCTGGCGCTGGATCCTCGCCGCGGGGGCCGGCGTCGCCTTTGCCCAGGCGGTCGGTCTGCTGGCGGTGCCCGAGAGCCCGGCGTGGATGGCGGCGCACGGGGACCCGGTCAAGGCCAAGGCCACGTTGCAGCGCATCCGCGGCGAGAGCTTCGATGTTCAGAGCGAGGTTGCCAATTGGGACCACCACGAGCGCCGCGGCTCCAACGATGAGGAGGAGGGTTTGCTGTCCCAGCCGGACGCGGTGCCCTCGTCGCCGACGTCGATTCGGTCGCACAAGGCGCCCGTGCACCTGGGCTTCTTGCAGGTTGTGGCCGACCCGCTGTACCGGCCGGCCATCGTGGCCGTCGTCGGCATCATGGTGGCGCAGCAGTTTTGCGGCATCAACAGCATCATCATGTATTCGGTGTCCCTGCTGGCGGACTTGCTGCCCATCTCGTCGGCCCTGCTCACCATCCTCATCTCCGTCGTCAACCTCGGCATGACCATTGCCTGCTCGCCGCTGCCGGACCGCCTCGGGCGCAAGACGTGCCTGCTGCTGTCCATCGTGGGCCAGGGCACCAGCTCCTTTGTGCTGGCCTTTGCCATCGTCTACGGCGTGAAGATGCTGTCGGCCATTGCCGTGCTCTTCTTTGTGGCCTTCTTCGCCGTCGGGCTGGGCCCCGTGCCGTTCATCATGGCGTCGGAGCTGGTCGGGCAGGAGGCCGTGGGCGCGACGCAGAGCTGGTGCCTGGCGGCCAACTACGTGGCGACGTTCATCGTTGCACAGTTCTTCCCGATTGTCAACACGGCGCTGAACAATGCGCTCGGCGGCAAGGGCTGGGTGTATTTCTTGTTTGCCGCGCTGGCGGCCGTGTCTGCCGTGTTTGTCTCGTGGCGAGTGCCCGAGACGAGAGGCAAGAGAGACGCCGACGAGGTGTGGGGGAGGACGCGGCGCTTGGACTAGCCGCTGCTTGTGCGTCGGCCGCAGTTGGCTACATGATGTGAGCGTATACAAGCGTTGTTTGCGAGGTCTTGGTTATAAGCGACTGCGTCTTCTATTAATTTGACCACTAAATCTATGACTTATGAGCGCTATACATTTTCTTGCTGGCAAGGACCTGGTACAGGTACATGATGCCCGCCTTGACACCGTCTATGATGTAAAGATTGTCGGCCACCGCATCGCCATGCACCTCGCGCGCCGTCGCGCGAATCGTGTCCTCCAGCCCAGCCATCCCGCCACAGCCCATGACTATGCACCGCACATCCCTCTTCTGCAGCAGCCTCCTCGCCGCAACGCTGAGCCTCTCCCTAACCTCCTCCGCCGACAGACTATGCATCTGCCCCGCCGTGAGGCCCGTCGAGAACGTCCCCGCAAAGCGCCCGTCCGCGCCCGCCGCGACGACACCCTCGGTCAAGTGCTTCTCCCAGAACTCGCCCGTGGTGATGATGCCCCATTGCGCACCGCCGGCCGCCTGTGTCAGGGCGACGGCGGCGTGCACGCCCGCCTCGAAGATGCCGGTCACGGCGGGCCTGTCGTCGGCGACGTCCGCCGGGGCGAGTTCCCGCACGAGCGGGTGCACGCTGAAGCACGCCACGAGGACGGCGTCGAAGTCGTCGCGCGGGTTGATGGCCTGGGACTCGTTGATGTCCCGCCAGATGCTGCGCGCGCTGGCGTCTATGTCGTGCTGGTTGTCGATGCTGGGACAGGTGCCGCTAGCGCAGGTGTAGGGGACGATGTCGAGATACTAGCGACACGAGCAACGGTGTTAATTTTCCACTCTAATTTTCCCTCTGCACTTACTCCAAGTTCTCACGGTGAAGTATGAAAGATGATGATACACGAAAAAAAAAAAAAAAAAAAAAAAAAAAAAAAAAAAGGAACAAAGGGTGAAAAAAGAGGGTGGGAATCGTACTGGCGAGACGGGCGTGGACCTGGCGACGGCGGCCATGGACTCGGTCATGCCCGTGTTGGTGTTGGGGTTGAGGAGCAGGATCCGCGGCAGGGCAGCACCGGCACCGCCTGAAGAGCTGCTGCCAGTCTGCTGTGCCATTGTGTATGCTGGAGAGGGTAATAAAACAATATAAAAGTATAATGCGAATGCGCTACGAGCTATGCAGATGAAGTGAGGGATAGAAGGGGGAGTAAATCATGACGAGGACGAAAGGCGTCGTTGATCAGACATTAGATATGCGGCGTATGCGATGTCGGGGACTGAGGGGGTCCGTCCACGGCGGGTTCCTAAGCCGCCTGTGAGGTGGAGGTGAGTCTCCTTCACGGCGGGCGACTCCACTGATGCGAGCGCTACAAGCTGAGGGGTCCAGTGAACAAGAGTCGGTGGAAGTTGCGCTTTGGGCTCTGGTGGGTCGCGCGAGCGGACTGGCCCCTGGTTCAACCTGGAAGTAAACGTCGTCGACGCGCTGCAGCCGAGGCGGCATAAGTCAGTTTACCATGGACCACGGCGACTCAAGTTTTTGGAAGCATCTCCCGCCATCGCCGTCAAGGTCCGCGAAGCGAACGTTGCGGCCGGGGCCTAATCCTGAAGCTACCGAGCCGACTGGCTTCCACTGCCAATTATACGGGTGTGATTCAACCTCGCCATCATTGAGATATGCCGTCAACTCGCCAGTCTTAGGGTCGACAACCAGATAGTCGTCTCTGCCGTCTCTGG